ATTTCCTTTGATAATGAATAAACTTATTTGCTGTAAGAGGCAGCTGAATGTTTACTTTGGACATTTAACATCGTTGATCCTTCAACCTTTTGAAATATTACAATCAGTCCAATACTCATATTTCCGCTCAATCGAAGGGGGCGAGTTTTTCGATCTGTACATTGGAGCGAGTAGGTTTTCCTATATTTATTTCCTAGTACAGATGCGAACGGAGAAGAATTTCCTTTGATAATGAATAAACTTATTTGCTGTAAGAGGCAGCTGAATGTTTACTTTGGACATTTAACATCGTTGATCCTTCAACCTTTTGAAATATTACAATCAGCCCAATACTCATATTTCCGCTCAATCGAAGGGGGCGAGTTTTTCGATCTGTACATTGGAGCGAGTAGATTTTCCTATGTTTATTTCCAAGTACAGATGCGAACGGACAAGAATTTCCTTTGATAATTGTTAAGCTAATTTCCTGTAAAAGGCAGGTGAATGTTTACTTTGGACATTTGTCATCGTTGTTCTTTCAACCCTTTGAACCATTACGTCAGTCCACCATTTACAGAATTTACAAGTCATAATTATTTTTCTGATTCCAATTTAATGTGTATACTTCATCTTTTGAATATTTAATTTTTCTGAGTGTACTCAAAATTTAAATTGCATTCCCGATCTAAATCATGTGACAAATACTGTGTATAATATTTTATAATGTTTTTATGCGTATATTTTCTGAATTTCTTTTACATACTTACGTACCTCTATTTTTGAAGTCTATTACTTTTGAAGTTTTTGATAGTATCCTCTTTTTGAATTCATTATAACTTTCTTCGAGAGCACAGACTTACATTGATTTTTGGTTCAAACTTTTGATGTTTGTTTACATATTTTTGAGTGGTTTTGAACTTTGACAGTATTTTGTAGTCTGGATAGTTACATAGATTCGTTGCGATGTATGCCTTTGAGGGTCTTGTACTATCCACAGTTTCTTTAATTGAAAGTGTTTTCCTCATATGCATTTTATTTTCTTCTTGAGACTTGTCATATATGCTTTCCGCCTAGTTGCAAATCTGTGCGTATTGATAAACTCTTGAAACCTCTGGCGTATAAGTAAAACTCACTTTTGATATATTAATTTATGTCTCAGTTCAATTCAATCAGTTCAATTTGATTTGAAGTAATTGTCAATTCCTTCTTGAGATTTTTCATATATGCTTTCAGCCTTTGTGCACATTTGTGCGTATTGCTAAGTCTTGAGCTTGGTTGCGACATTGCTTTCATGTTTCGCTATAGATTTTGAAATATCTGGTGATTTTGCTTTTGCATTATTGCATTTGTTTTGATAGTCTGCTCTCATAATCTTTTTTCCGGCTTCTTATTTATTTCAATTTCTGTCTTGACTTGAAGTAATCGCCAATTCTTATAGATTCAGTATAGTAATTCTCTTTTCATACTTTACACTGGTAAATTATTATAGTTTTTCTAATCTTGTAATATTTCATATTTGAACTTAACTTTCATTTTACAATGTTATGGTTATTCTCAGTGTAGACTTTGAAGTGCGCTGATGATATCAGTGATCTACATGAGAATATTCCATAGACTATAGACATTCTTGTCTAGGGCTTTGGAATGCACCTATGGTGACCTTAGAAAGTTGTCTTTCTCTCATATTTTTGCTTTAAATCAAAATTCGAATTCTTACCTATCATATTTATTTCTATTTCTTGTTCACTAGATTGTTTTTTTTATAACTCCAATGTTGCACCTACATATATCGTAGACTTTTGCATACAATTTTTGCTTGCGGCATTACTCTCATGTATCATGATTTATTAAAATATCTTGTGATTTTCGTTTCGCTATTTTGCTTTTTACATATGCTCACTTCGTTTCTCATTCATTACTAATGAAACTTTTAATATTTTGCTTACTTTTGTATTTTTTTTGAAAATTTCATAAATGTCTCTTATATACTTTAGTTCTCTGTAAAAAATTTGAATTATTTTGTAGTCTTACAGACTGCTGGCGCCCGACAATTTTTTTTTGGAATCAGAACTGCACTTAGTTAACATCTTTTTTTGATTAAAATACCTTCGTGATCAAGTTTTCATTGGTTTAGTACTTGTAAATTGTTTTGTTATATGACTTGAATTCCTAGTGGAATTTGTTAATTTCTTTTGATTTTCATATTTTGAAAATAGTAATGCACTGTTTTTTTTTAATATTGGATATTAGGTTAAAATATCACTGTAAATGATATTCTTTTTGGGTTTGGAGCATTGCGAGATAATCTGGCAATTGTTTTGAGAAAGATTATTATTATTATTTTAGTACCTCTTATGGTTTAGGTACTTACTTAGTTTTGAAGTTTTTAGTAGTCAGTCGTGCATTTTGGAAGCCATTCTGATTCCTCACTTCGTGCTTGGACTACTGCTGAAGCTTTTGGTTTATTATTTTTCTCGTCCTAGGTGTGACGATGTTTTATGTTTTGGTTTGTTCATCATATGATGATAGTTTTTTAAGTGCAACTTCACTGTACTTTTCAGCGAGTTGGTGCTATAACCATCCCTCTTGTTTGGTAGACTTGAGGCTATCCCTTTTTCTTCCAATTCTCTTCTAACATTTTTGTTTCTACCTTACTTTTGCTACTTGTTATCTGGCCGAATGGTAGTACATTTGTCCTTCCGTGATAACTTTCAATTTCCATGTCAAATAAAAAAAATTCTTGAATGCTTCTTCGAATTTTTTTTCTGGTTAAGTTAGGGCGAGTGTAACGGTTTCACCGTCCGATCGTATTATTAAATCACTTCTCGATTATCATTTCATTAATCCCATCTCTAGCTTTTCTACTTGGAAAATTTTCCGCTTGGAGCGATCTTCCTCGCGCTTCCTTTTCACTTGAGCCGCCGATCGAACAACAGCTAAAAATTTTCTTCTCTGTAGCACAAGGTCATATAGCACCATGTGCTAGAATTTTGTAGAATGTGTGTCCGTATAGGACAAAATGATTGGGGCCACCCCCTTTCCCTTTCTCTTTCCCTTTCCCTTTCTCTTTCTCTTTCCCTTTCTCTTTCTCTTTCCCTTTCTCTTTCTCTTTCCCTTTCTCTTTCCCTTTCTTTTTCCCTTTCTCTTTCCCTTTCTCTTTCCCTTTTCCTTTGCCTTAGTCTTTGACTTTGCCTTGCTTGGCCAATATTTTCACCCATGCATGTGCCTTGGCAGCGCCATCGCCTTTAACTTCGCCTACAACTGGTTATGAAGCCACTATATGTGAGGTCACCCCTCACAACTGGGACCTCCACTTCAAGCACCTGGTCAGTCGAGTCAAAATGGACCAGCGAAAGATAAGTTGATAGCGTTATAGCAGCGCCAAAGATGTAAAACTTATTTTGTTCTTTTAAACTGTAAAATTGTAATGTAATGAAAATGCCTTTTTTTTTGTTAAATAAAATCTGTTAAATTTTTGTGTTCTGTTTGTTCTTCTATCCTCTAGCCATGCCATGGTCGACACACAGCTACACACCTGTAGATGTCTTCATGCCACCGACTGAGCTACCGGAAGCTAATGCTAACCCCCTTTCTGTGATTGTACAGAAAAGTTGGAATCTTTATTGCATTCCATCTTTTCTGGACTTTTTGCGGAAAGGAAGCGTTACAAGCGTTTATGGGTTTTGTTTGGACAATATCGACATGGATAGAATTGAGCGTGTAGATAAGTCCTGTCTACGATTGATTTATGATATACGTAAGTTTGCAAACTGGTTGAATATGCGATGTCGATGCGAGTTGTTTGCATGTAATCTCTTTCTCAAAATTTTCATATCAAGCCTCTCATTTTTGTAGACCTGTCTCAGACAACATCTATCGGCCTTATAATCAAATTCCTAATGACTTGAAAATTCTGCATCCAAACCAGTTTGAAGTCAATACGCGCGCACTAATGTAAATGAGGCACAAGCCATCAAACTATTAAAAAAAAATTGTAGTACAACTTACATTTATTATTCTTTTGGGGCTTTCTAAGGTAGATTTTTTTTATATATAAATGTGTAATAGCTACAGGGCTGAACTTGTATCATTTTTAAATCCTTTCAGCCCTTTTTGTAACATATTTCATTTATGTATTTTGCTATAAGTTTTACCTAAACTGTATGTTGCAAATAAATATCATTATTATTATTATTATTATTATTATTATTATTATTATTATTATTATTAATAAAACGACACTAAGTCACCAACAAGAGCCAACCTACAAATTGTAGTATAACGGCCAGAAGATCTAGAGTTTTCAAGGCGACATCTAATCACAATCACGCGGCCACTTATAGCCACTTGCCAAAAGGATTTAAAAAAGGAAAGGATTATGCAGAGAAAGGTATATAAGAAATATAAAAAATAATGGGAAATATTCGTAAAAAGAAAGTGGATTCGAGCAGAAAATAGGATAGGTAACCCGAACAATACGTATTCTACTTCAATCAGGCCCGAAGTGAATGCAGATATGAAACTACAAACAAAACAACGATGGAGAGGGAACAAAACGACACACAAACATTTCTTACGAGAGAAACGTTTTTTTTGGAGGGGGGGGGGGGGTGATAAAGACGGGTCTGCCCATTTCGATGCAAGATCCCTTCCCTTAAAAAAATCAATTGTTCTTGCATGCTGCGCTGGGTTGGCCTAAACTGTGTATTTGGCATAATTGTGTTGCTCCTTTCTCTACCAAGTTAGGGGACATGTTCCAATTAATAATAATATACACAAAGGTGTGGATGGAGCATAATATTGAATGCTTTTTCAACAATATAAATAAATAGTTTTCAAAAATAATTCCAGTTGTATAAAAATAGAAAAGAGTTTATGACTGTTGCGTCCATATCTGTATTAAAAAATCGAAAATATAAATACCAAAGAGCTGTCCGATTCTAACATAGAGAAAAAGATCATTGATTAATATTTACTGTTAAACACCAACTATATATCATGTCTCGTTCTAACTAACTTACCAGTGAGTTCCCTGTGTCGATCATCTACCTTCGTGGGTGCTTGTATCATGGGAACGCTCCCCAAAATTCCATTGGTTAGTCCCAAAAATAGGGAAAACGTAAACGCGGTGATCTCAGCAGAAAATGTAGGATGTGCTCTTGGGGCAACGCACATGATCATCAGAGGGATCATTATTAGTCTAGCCACAGAACATCTTACTAGTCTGGCGCCTGTCCAGTACCTTGCAGATGATGCCAACATTTTACCTGTGGAAAGGTTTGCGGTAGTAAGAAATCGCTTTAAGTAAATTGACTCAGCACTTCCTACGCAATGCAGTTGGCAGTTGATAATAGACAATGTTCGGCACAGTTGTTTCTAACTTTAGCACCTCATAAAAAAGTTAACTATGAACATGTACGAGTATAACAAAGGAATTCGGTGGATCATGTCCATCAAATTGGTCAATACAAGCAGACGCTAGTATCCATCCGTTTAACAAGGTTGCCATATAGAAATTTCTCTTCTATCTAACAGACCGTGACTAAACAGCGAGCGACAGCGGCTATCTCGCGACAAGTTTATCTCCTATTTCTCCATATTTCTATCATTCTAAATCTAAATCCCGTTTAACAGTCAGCAAGAGCAAGAGAAGTGTTGATCAGACGCATGCGCCTTAACAAAGCAGCTTTCATTTTCATGGATTTTTGTTTGTCTACAATTCTGGTGGAATAATTAGCGACTTACAAGTTGTTAAAGCATACAAATGACCCTAGGCCGTCCAACGATTTATATATTTATATTAAGTTATTCGTTTGATTGTGTTCAAATGTTAGATGGGGGCAAGTGAAACCAGTTTTTGGATTTTAAATATATGTATCCTGGAGGGTAAAAAACCAAAAACAAAATTATAGGTTAGGAATGTGACAGGGAATATTCCATTTTTTTAGGTTAGCTAACCTTGCTCGTTTAAATCGAGGAAACAGGGCGGTCTTGCAACTGCAAGTGATTGGATGCAATGGTCTTGCAGACCAAGCAATGCTATCATGCAACTGCAAGAGCTTACATGCAATAGTCTAGTCTCCGGGCTATTATCTCGGCCATATCAGAAATGTCTCGCAATATCGTCTGCAAGATATAGACACGAACACTTTTCAAAATTTCTCATCAGAAGGACTGACGAAATTGTACGCTTCGCGGCAGTTTACTTTAGTTTTATTAGAGTTCCCGATAATTCGGCAATCTGAGAGCAATATCTGAAAATATGTTGGAAATGTCAAACATGTGACATGTTAAAAATCCTTACGTATGCTGCTGGCTACACTCTGCTGCAGCTGGATGATGAAGTAAAAATGTTGCCCATATTGGGGCTGTAGTAAGGATAAATATACGGGAAAATATGTCTGTAAAATATGTCTACGAGGTGCGTAGAATTATCTGGGTTAGAAACTTATAGATTCACTGCAATTAAACAGCGCAGAGCAGCATATTCAGTTATAAATATATTAATTCCAAAAATGTGTTTTTCCGGTAGATCCACCGTCACTGGATTGATTTTTAAAACATGTAACATCCAAAGAACATGACACTTCATCTTCAATATTTTTTGCTTTGATTTCTTATCCATCAGCCTGTCAAATGGCTCATCCTGATGACATTCGCAGAGCGACGAATCTTGTCCATGAAGTAAGAAATGCTCTTCATGAATTCCGCAATGAGCAATGGAACGACTTTCTGGCGGGGATGCTTGACTCAAGCATTCCTCTCTGGAAGGTGGCGAAGTCGCTCAAAAACGGAAAGCGTGAACAAATCCCACACATTCACGGTCCTGGAGGCATTGTCTTCAGGACAGAGGAGAAGGTTGAGGTTTTCGCCGATGCCATGGAAAGACAGTTCTCTCCCAACTATGATCTTGATAATGACCTCGACGAGGAGCGACACATCGTAAGATCTGTAAGGAGATATTTTAGGGCCAACGGCGTCAGTGACAGTCGCGCATTCGTTGGTGATTTTTCTTCATCAGAAGATTCTTCTTCAGAAGCTTCTTCAACCGAAGATTTGCTTAGCACATCAGCGGTATCTCCTGAGATCCCGCATTGCACACCAGCAGAGATTCAAGGTCATATTAAAGACCTTAAAGTGCGTAAAGCACCTGGGGAGGATCAAATCACTAATAAGGCGCTGAAGCTGCTTTCGCGGAAGTCCTTAACTTATCTCGTGGCAATAGTCAATGCCATGCTCAGGATCCAGTACTTCCCATCCGCGTGGAAGACCGCTGAAGTTATAATGATTCCAAAGAAGGTGGGTTCGATATTTCCCCAGGATTATCGCCCCATTAGCCTGCTGTCAGCTGCGTCTGAGCTCGCTGAAAAGGTGATTCTACGTCACCTTGAGAATTTCTCGTCAGATCACCATGTGATTCCTGACGTGCAATTCGGTTTTCGGTCTGAACATAGTACGGAGCTACAGGCGGTTAGGCTGGTGGAACGTGTAACCAGAGGATTCACCCTTAACGAAAGTACTGGCATCTTGCTTTTGGATGTCTCAAAAGCATTTGACAAGGTGTGGCAGGGCTTCCCTTTTTGGCTTCTAAAACTACTGAAATCCTTCCTTGAAGGTAGGAAATTTCGGATCAAAATTGACAATGTGCTGTCGACAACACGGCTGATTACAGCCGGCGTCCCTCAGGGTTCGGTCCTTGGACCTATCCTTTACTCACTGTACATCCATGACGTCCCTAGTCCCAGCAACTGTGAAGTCTATCTCTATGCTGACGATACTGCATTGGTGGCTCAGTCGTGGTCTGGTGACCTAGTCCATGACAGGCTGCAAAGTGCGGTGGAAGAAGTATTAGATTGGGCGGATCGGTGGCTAATTAAAATAAACCATTCGAAAACGCAGGCAATGTACTGTACAAAAAGACGTCGCGGCGTTCCGTCTGAAGTTTCAATGAATGGACTTCGTATACCATGGGAATCCTCCGCTAAGTATCTCGGTATCATTCTGGACAAAGGGATGACTTGGCGGAACCATATGGAAGCGCTAAAAACTAAATTCCAAATTACGTTTCGGCAGCTTTACCCATTATTATGTAAACGGTCAAAATTAAGTTTGATTAACAAGATTCGACTCTATAAGGTGGTCATAAGACCAGCAATGACATACGCATGTGCGGCTTGGTGTTTTATTGCTAAAACACACATGCGAAGTCTGCAGGTTCTGCAAAGCAGGACGTTGCGCACTATTGCTGATGCCCCATGGTATGTCTCTAACGAAACTCTACATAGAGACCTCGATGTCCCTTACCTAAAGGACTACATTAAGCAACAGGCGCAGCGGCGCTATAGCCTAGCGGAATCGCACAGCAACCCTCTGTTGCGTGATTCAGTGGACTACACAGTCGAGCAAGTTCGAAAGCACAAAAGGCCGCGGCTCGCACTGTAATCAAAATTAACTCGTGAACTTAGAACAACCAAAATTGGAGCATTTTTACACAATCTTTAGAAAAAATCAAATATTTTTAGACCATATCAAAATCTGTGAAGCGATTTTAACAATGCCTAAACGCTGCATATCCTAAAAGATTCTCTTCTTCCCCTTTGCTCTCGTTCTTCCTTCTCTCCTTTCCTTCCCCTTTTTTCCTTAAAATTGTCTGGTTTCTGGGTTACCAGACCTGACAGACTTACAAACTGACACTGTGACTCAAGAGCTAAGGTCCCACGGACCGCTCTGACAACCAACGATGACTTGTGTCAAATGACCGTTTCGCTGTCAGTACACATAACGTTTAATATCGAATGTTGTTTGGTTTGTAGTGGAGTCTACGCACTACGTACCCACTAAGATAAGAACCACAATCTTTGTAACCTTGTAGATCCGTATTCAACTTATTCATTATTGTATTTTTTATTCTTTTGTCATCAGGCCAAAATATACTATCGTACAAATTCTCTTTTATTGGCTCTTACTATTCTTTCATATACTATACTTTGTCAATTATGGTGAAGGTGCATACATTTTAGGCTTCTATATGCAATATGTTTGAACTTTCACCTTTTTCTTATAAGCCATGTACCGGTTTCGTGTTTTTTGGTTTGGCCTGTTTGCATGTATTATTTGAGATAGCACTGACAATTTTCGATTTTATACGCGATTAATTGCATCGAAATATGGCTCATCAGTTGTACAAATAGATATCACTAAAGGTCTTTAATAGACCAAAAATATAATTTCAAATCAGGTATCAAGTATTTTGAAAATGCATGACCTCAAGTCAAGTAGCGCAATAAAAAATCAAACCAAGTCAATCATTAACGTTTCAAGTAGTTTCTTGTCAAGTCAAGTCGTTTATGAAAATGCCAAGCTACTTGACATGATGAATCCCCAGATGTTGGCGACGTCGCCATGGTGTCCTGGTGAGAGAGTGCTCTAAATTGAAGGTGTTTGTTTCAAAAGAATTTGTGAATATACATCAAAAAATCTTTTGTGAAACTAGCATTACCTATCAGATCAGCGCCATTGAAAAGCGCCATCATTAGAATGGGCATCCAATTTCCCAAATGGCAACTTATAATTTCTGAAGCAATGCCTGGATATAGACACAAAGTAGCGAAGTAAACCAGACAAATTGAGATCATGTATGGATAGATGGCCTTTGTTACTTCCCACCTAGCTTGGAGACCACCTGCAAATGAAGATACTACATTTTTATATACAATTCGTTACCACGAGTATTACTCAGCGAAAACATCATAAGGAATGGCAACACTTGATCGGTGCTACCATCTTGAACAATGTGCGATTTCTGTGAAGGTCGAGCAACTACGATGCTCGGGCTGTGTATTACTAGCGATATCATACTGTAATATACAGAACTGTATGTATAGAAAAGATCACGACTAATTGACTAAGCTTTGGAATAGAGATCGACCGATAAAGGGTTTTCGCCGATACCGATTTATCAGAGGCCGGTATATCGGACATACATTTTATTTCCGTACACAAGCGGGTGTGGTCCGACTGAGTACATGGTCCAAAAACGTGTCCATTGACGTTTACACATACTTTATAGTTAACAAGGAGGTTGGTGTCACTTTTTTGTACAATTACACATGAAGGACATGCATACTTGACAACCATACTTGCACAAGTTTTAGTGCATGTTGACGACGGTAAATCGGAAATTTTAAAGTACAATGAATAGCTACTACAAACTCGCTCTGGTTTTGTCAAGCCCCAGGTTTACAAATACAAGAATGATTTGCAAAAGTCTGTCGAGGCCACGCACACGTACTACATGTGCACTTGCGCAAGACCGACCTATAGAAGCGACAGGATGGACATTCATACATTTTTACAATTTTTCATACACAGCTTCAAGTATGCAAGACAGAAGTGAAGACTTCGAACCTCTGTTAAGCTTCGTTTCATTATGCACGGAACAGAAAGAGATTATTCACTACAATTGAAATATTGTAGCGAAAACGCAGTTTTTACTGTCCAAAGTCTAATTTATTACTTCTAAAATGAGTTTTAACCTTTGTACTCATTTATTACAATTTGTAATCATGTCGACTAGACTATTGTTCCAAGTTAATTCCGCGTTCGCTGTGTTGACTGAAGACTCGACTGTGGCTGCCTCGTTCCATCATCTAGATATTTATGTCCCTAGCGACGAGCCGGGAAACATTCCAGCTTTTTCTAGTCAGAGTTGTGAACTTCCATGGAAGTGGCCTAAATAGCAGCAGGTACCTCCAGACGGGTATCGAGAATTCTCAAGGACCTAGCTATACGAGAACGTTACAGTATGTTTACTATGCTTTATGCCTGTTCTTTTCAATTCAGAATTCAGCAATATTAGGTGTTATTAACTAGATAATTTCTATCAATTGATATATTGCTAAAATAGACCGATATTACCGGTATGCCGATATACATATCGGTATCGGTCGATCCCTACTTTGAAAAGTGCTAAATTCATGTTAAGAATAGATGAAAGTATTAATCTTAAAGTTACGTTTCATTGTGGAAAGTCCAACACTGCTGGTACTAATGCTCTGCCTGCCTCTGATAACGACATCTTCCACCTTATAAGTTGGAGCAGTGGCTGAAGGCTCATAAGCAGGATTAGCGAAACTTAGAGCAGTCTCAGTAGGAGGAGGGCTATTTTGGATTTTTAGGACTCCATATTGGCTATCGTTAGTTTCTATCTACAAAAATTATAAAAAACATCTGAATTTATCTTCAGACTCAACAAGGTAAAGAAATATTTCCACCGCTGCAGATTTAAAGAGTTGGAAAAACATATAGTATCCAGATGTCATATTAGTTTTCAATTGTGAAATTTTGTCGACTATAATTTCAATCATGACTGAAGGGTTTCACCAGCTAAGGGCATCAGCAAGCTAAGTTAAGTACGCCTTGTTCTTGAACTCGTCATTGGCTATAGTGTACTTGAATGATTAAAGCTACAATGGGGTATTTTTGTAAGACTATCATCAATACTTTGCGTAAAAAAGTAATATTGGTTGTTTTCATTGTGTGACTTAATAATTTGTAGGATGACGTAATAAGTGTTCAATGCTCGGTTCTTGTGAATGTGCCCTACCCCTGCTGTGAAGATTTTGCTTTCGTCTCATCTAAAGGAAATACATTTATTTTCCTCTGACTCTATTTAACATGAGATGCATGGTCACTTTCTACCGACCTTCGGAATTGAAATTAAATATTAGTTGAATAATGAAGATTTATATGGGTTGCCTTCCAAAGTACTTATGAATTTCAGACACAATTGAAAAAATGAAGCATCATCGTTAATATGTGGATGTGAATAATCTATCTATATTATAAATTTTAATTTTTCTAGTTGGCAAATGCCCCAATGTTGACAAAAATATTTCACAAAAGTTAGATTAATAGACAAATGCTTTTTGTTGTCTCCGCGCGTAGCTATACTTCTTCAAGCATTAAAAACCAACCTAAGCCGTAAGACTATGAGGAACACTATAGAAAATGAATCTACCTAGCCATGAAAAAAACTATTCAATCGCAAAAGCATAATGTCTCAAATAGTAGGAGGTGTTTTAACCTTACTTGCAAAATTTCAGTTAATTTTGATAACTAGTTGTCAATTCAAAAATTTTGCGGAAAACGAATAAGTTAAAATATTACAGTGTCATACAATTTCTGACAAAAGATTGCGTCCATCAGCCGAAAACAATTCTTGAGAGAATGGAATCCATGGTTAGGGTGATACACCGTCGATTTACACAATAGTTTCAATGGGGGCGTGAATCCATAGAAGGCGATCCCAGAAGTGGAAGACCCAAAAACAGCAACAAATAATGAAAGGACTCAAAAAGTGGAAGCTACGGTTCTCGAACATCGTCGCGTGAAGGTCTCTAATGGCATTGAATATATCGGAATAACTATCTTGCACTATAATCTGAATATGAGTAAGGTGACAACCAGTTGAGTTCCACGACTGTTGACACCTGAATTTAAATTTCGCAGGAGTGCAATTTTTTGACAGTCAAGAGGAAACATTTTTTAATAAGGTATCAGTTCACTGGAAGAGAAATGGCGCAAGTGCATTGACATAAGAAAAAAATCTATCAAAAAAATCGTACGTCTTTTGTTTCATGACTAGGTAATTTTCTTTTCTCGTACCCTCGTAGTTTTTAGTACACTTGTATACTAAAGTTCTTACCAATCCAGCATCTTCAGTTGGCTCCAATGTAATTCTAGTTTTAGCTCTTTCACATAGGGCTATATAGAACTGTATAAAATCTGTTCTTCTAATCAGATGATACATTGCGAAACAAGTTGCTACTGAAGAAACAGATACACTAAAGAAATAAATTGTACTACCTCGCAGTTCTTTTACTAAAAATCTAGTTACTACTCTAACCATGGACGTAAATACACCTGATGTGCCTAAAAAAGATGGAGCCGGTTATAATGCTTATGTGTAGCAGCCCCTTTTTACTTACTTTCTCCTACCATTAAAGCTTGTGTATACTTAGGGGGTAACATACTGGTATATCCATAAAAACTTGATTGTTGAACTAAAAATAATAAAAAATTAAGTAAGTAGAAATGCATTATTTTAGATTGATGTTAAAAGTTCATCGTGGTTCTCAAAGTAGAACTACTCGGTTTTAAAGAAAGCAATGCACTAGTTCGGAGATGTATCTAGGGCGCAAGGTAGGCTTTTTTGGCCCATTGCGCGAAATTAGAGCCCAAGGTGCGAAATCATACTGAATTTCAGGTGACGTAACATCTTTGGATGAGTTTAGGTAAGTAATTGATCTACCTGTACATCCAACAGCAACTACTGCAACAGCGGCTAAATTCACAGTATAAGATGTGGCAGTTCCGAATGCCTCCCACCATACCTCACAAACAACTACGAATATCAACGTAAAAAACGACATTATATAACCTGAAATAAGAAAATGTGACTGTACATTGAGGAATAACCGACAGTATGAAAAACGATAGCAAACGCTCTAAAAGCACTAAGTATCATTAATTTTTTGAGATAACTTTAATAAATACTTACCAAAGTTTATTCTTGAATTCAACGAAAACGTTTCAACAAGAAGGTTATTTCCAAGAACTGTTAGGAAGGCTACAGCTATGTATACAAGCGACATATCAAAAACTATAGGTGTGCCTGGGTACCGTACTTTGAAGTAGTCCATCGCCATTATAAAACTGAAACAAAGGATACGAATTCTGTCACTACCTTAGTACCCAATCAATGAACCTTATATCAGACCCCTTGTTCCTCAATATTACCAAAGCTGTGTAGTCCAGCACACAGTGGTCTATTTATTAGAAAAACTAGCAAAAAATGAAAAACAAAGTATCGGAAATTAAAGGAAAAGTATTTCCTATTTTAAAGTTAATATCTTAACAGTGAGTTGAACATTGAATGAGGATCTTACTCACACTTCCTTTACTATGGAAGACTATTAAATTTGAAGTTTTTGGTATATCATTCGACATTATCTTTAACGACAAAATTGGAGAACTTCTGTATCACTCGTTGTGTTCAGTGTCGAAAATATCTGAACATCATGAAATTGATCATAATAGACATAAAAGACTTTCATTTGATGTAACAGAAAATTGTCATTGTTATCTTCATGTACATCGCGAGGTGAACCGATTACTATTTTTAGCTGCACTTCTTAATACTGTTCAATGAGGTTTTTAATAAGGTTCCGCCCTTTATCTAAATTGGAACAAATCATGTCTGTGAACCTTGAAGTATCGTCAAATAAAATCTAGTGTCAGCTTTTGCTAATCTTTGCAAGCTGTTTAGAAATATTTTTAAGCTATAGCAGGTGGTCGGTTATGGTTATTCAACTTATGTATTTGAATTTATGCTTTGAGTGGCCTTTAAAAACCCTTCCAATATCTGATTTCAACACAACGAACGCAAAAACGTATAGAATTAGTACTTGAAGTATCATCGAAATTATCTCTAGATGCCCTCATATGGACTAGCTGACCTCTGATTCGGACTTATTAACTAGAAACATCTAAATGACGTGCGGTTGAGCGTAACTGCTCGGCGTCTTCTGAAAACGACCTTGGTATGACCTTGAAATAGCCTTCAGCAGCACTCATATGCAATGAGCTGCAGGGTCTTCATTCAAAAACTTCCCACCACGGATTTATCGAAAACCGCTGATTAAAAGAAAAAACCCGAGACATGACAAAAGATTTGTCAACTTTTTAACCAAAAACTACTTCAATCCCTTTCACCCTCTGGCCCCCAGGGTCATCCCCTTAAAAATCTTAAATGACAAGGGGTATCGAGTAATAGCTTGTTTGAAAGGTCTTTCAAAGTCCTTTATTTTGACGTTTGACATTTTAAAATCGGTCGATTATTTTTCAAGAAAATTAGAAAAATCTTTATTTAACTTAATTTGTTCAGATAGAAAACAAAAACACACGAAAATATCATATCATGTTATGGGATATCATGGCAGCTTTCGATGATGCGTTGACGAAGTTCATCCAAACTTCCAGGTTGGGGAGTAAACACAATAGATGTCAAATTGCCCCATAGAAAAAAGTCTAATGGCGTCATATCAGGAGATCCAACAGGCCATTTTATAAGCCTTCTTCGCCCTATCCATTTATCTGGAAACTGGTCGTCTAGCCATTGCCGAACCGGAAGAACATGTGATGAGGAGCGCCGTCTTACTGGAAATATATTTCAGCCTGATCAAGTATAAGGTTTCCATCTTCTTCGATTTGGTTTTCAATGGTTTCAGTGATAAGCGGATTGATGGTATTTTCCAACATCATATGCAAATAAATGTCTCCATTCAAATCTCTATTAATAGAAAATGGCCCAATCTCACTTTGTTTTCTAAAATGCCTGCCCATACATTAATTTTTTGGAGGAACTGGGTATGCCCTTCTACAAAAGCATGAGAACTTTCATTAGGTACTCCAATACCTGCAGTTATGCTTATTAACAAATCCATTCAGATAAAATGTGCATTAATCACTAAAGAAGATATTCTTCACATGAGTGGTATTATCATTAATCGCTGCGGTCATTTGATCACAAAACTCAACTCCCCTATCGAAATCATCTTCGGTTAACTCTTGCAAATATTTTCATTTTGAATGGATGAAATTTATGGAGTTTAGAAGCTGTGAGTGCAGAAACCAATGAAATACCAGACGCAACAACAATTTTGCGAAATGAAGTATTAGGATTTATTCCAAAATGATCCAAAACTTAAACTTGAGCGGCTTCATCCCAAACTCTCAGGTGATCACGTTTTTTATTTGCAACAGATCCAGTTTGAGTAAATTTAGTAAAAACCTCAAAACATATGTATGCGAAGTTATCTTCCCCGGATGTTTGGCGTTAAACGTAACGGCAGTTTAAAGAGCACATTGATTTTGGGCACCATAAATTAGAATCCCTTCCCATCGTTCGGCTAGTGTGTAAATCATTTTAGAAGTAAAATCTAGATCAATAAATTAATTTTCACTTCCCAAGATTCTCACAAAGGTAACTGACAGTAAAATAAATTATTTCTTTCCCTTAGCAAAAAGTAAACTAAACAGGTATAACAATAAATACAGTACGACGAGGATATCTGAGTTGATAAAAAGCTTGCGGAAAAAAATAGGGTGGCTATTTGATTGTTGCCACGTCTAATCTTCCGAATTGCTGTTTATGTTGGCAGTTTTCGTTTTAAATTGTAAACGAATTGTAAATTTGGCAAACCCTAACGTGCAACACTTTGAACACTGGTTGAAATAAAAAGTGATATGTTCGCGTTTTCTGTCTGAACAAAGTAAGGTAAATAAATTTTTTCTAATTTTCTCGGAAACGAATTGAATGATTTTAACAAATCAAACGTCAAAATAAAAGACTTCAAAAGCTATTACTTGATACTTCTTGTCATTTAAAATGTTTAAGGGTGAAGTAGTTTTTGGTTAAAAAGTTGACAAATCTTCTGTCATGTCTCGGGTTTTTTCTTTTAATCAGCGGTTTTCGATAAATCCGTGGTGGGAAGTTTTCAAATGAATATATATGATATATTCAAACTCAGCAGCTATCCATACCATTCACCCAATATCTACAATGACACCCGCTCAGGGGATTGATTGTATTATACTTCAAAGAACTTCTTCAGTACTTCTGAGGACTACTAGATGAAAATTCGGCGGTACTTCCCAAGTTCACCGGAATGGATTTGGAAATTACCCAAACGAATGAATAAGTGCTTTTGCCGTAACCCAAAAATGAGAATTTGAGAGATCTTAAAAGTCATAGACCGAAGAGATGCACAAATAAAAAGATATTCTACATTTAAAGAAAAACTGCACCTTAAAAAATGTTATCACGCACGTTTACTCAATATTTCTTAAGCAATAATATAAATTCGACCGTCTGGCTACACGAACATTCTGAACGTTAGTGAGATATAAGGCATGTAACGCCTGAAACTTATCCTGTGGTTTCCCTGCTGATGGAATTTATTCTCAGGTTAAATGATATTAAAATATATAAGGTACTTTTTACTGACGTTTCGCTCACTGCGGTAACCTTTTTTAAATTATTAATAACTACGACTATAGTTTAGGTTTATCTGTCTTCCAGATGACAGTTTATGTACCTTTGTATTTTCTTCACTACAATTTAGTGTGTTCCAATCAGTGGCCCTAGACCATATATGGGCTTTGCGAGGCTCCTTCCATCTCCCAGCCAAAAAATTTAAATTCAATGAATTAGGTTACACACTGATATATTAATATACAGGGTGGCGCATCGAAAATGAAACAGACGCATTTACTGGCAGCTCAGTTTTTTTGGGAAAAACGCTCAGACCCGTCGATTTTGTTTTCGAGGAGGACACAAGTTTGGCAAAAAATCACGTTAACACGTACAACTCCCTGGGCGGGGGTGACACCAACCCTAAAATCTTAAATGGAAATGGGGGTCGAGTGATACCTCATTTTAAAGGTCTTTCAATTCCCTTTATAATGATGTAAAATACATGAGCTTCAGTTCAGTAGTTTTGAAGATTTATCGACTTAAAGCCTAAAGTAGACTTTAATAGGTACATCAGATTAGTTTGCACTACTTTCAGAAGAAATTTGACTAAAGGAAATTACTTAATAAGTAAATGCTTTTCTTCACTACGCCCATGGCTTGTTTATCATTTTGTTGTTGAAAATAGCTATTGGAGCGTTTTTTTGTGACAAAAAAGTTGAAGAAAGATAAGAAAATATCTCGTACTTATTTTAAATAGGAATTTAGTACATAGTTTGCGATTGATTTGACCAAACTTTGTTGCTAAAATAACTTGTAACGCTTTATTACATAAATTAACCATGCTATATTCCACAGCAGAAAGAGTTGAAATTATCGAAATATTTTTCGGAAATAATCAGTGCGCTAATAGAACAGCAGAAATATTTAACGAGCAACATGAGAATAGTAACGAAGCAATAGAAGTGGGGGTTTTAGGGCAAGTTTATGTAGATCCTACGTTAAGTACCCGCAAATTGGAGACTGTGTGTGGTGTTAGTCGACGTACTGTCCAACGGATTCCAAAGGCCCATAGTTTTCATACGTATAAAATTCACCTGGTACAAGAACTTAATGAAGACGATTCTGATCGGCGACTACAATTTTGTGAAGATATGAGTGAACGAATTATAAACGAACATTTCCTATTCAACACTTGCTTTTCCGACGAATGTTCGTTTTTCTTAAATGGCGTAGTAAATCGTCATAATTGCCGATATTGGTCCGATTCTAATTCCAGAATTTATCATGAGGCTCATACATAGCAGCCACAAAAATTAAATGTTTGAGCTCGTGAAATGTATTTGGAATTACTGCAAGACGCCATAGATCCTGCATTAACAGCCATAATTGAAAATCAGAATGATCGGCGGTATATTGCGATTAGGTTGATGTTCCAACAGGATGGTGCCCCACCACATTACGCATTAAGTGTTCGACAATATTTAGATCAGACGTTTCCAGATCGATGGATTGGTAGAAAAAGTGCCATTGAATGGACCCCAAGATCGCCAGATTTATCACCATTGGATTTCTTTATGTGCGGTCATTGAAAAAGCAAAATCTATGCTACTCAGCCAACATCATTAGAAGACCTGCGACAAAGAATTGTGAATGAGTGCCTTCAAATTACTCCTCAAATATTGCAAAATGTGCGGCAACGTTTTGAGCAAAATCTTTATTATTGCACGGAGAGTCATGGTGGCCATTTTCAACATTTACTTGCCTAACGGTTTCAGTTGATTCTTCATTTTTAAATTACTTTGCTGCCAGATGTATTGATCTCCACTAATTATGATGTATTAGTTTTATTTAAGTTTTAAATCAATACATCTTCAAAACTACTGAACTGAAGTACATTAATTCTATATCATTATAAAGGGAATTGAAAGACCTTTAAAATAAGGTATCACTCGACCCCCCTTTCCATTTAAGATTTTGGGGGTGGTGTCACCCCCGCTTAGGGGACTGCACCTGCTAACGTGATTTTCTGCCAAACTTGTGTCCCATGGAAAACAAAATCGACGGGTCTGAGCGTTTTTCAAAAAAAAAAACTGAGCTGCCAGTAAATGCGTCTGTTTCGTTTTCGATGCGCCACCCTGTATGTGTTTGATTGCTAATCAAATCGATGTTCGATTCAGAATGACATCGCATTGCTTGTTATATCTCTCTCGCAAGGCTGTTCCAGTTGACACCTATATCATAAGGATAACTATGATAATTATAAACGCCATCTTGGAGCGGTCACCATATTGGAATTATAATGACATCACATTGTTTCTCTCATAAAGCCCTTTTATTTGATACCCACATTACAGGGCAATTTGCTTGTAAAAAGTGCCACTGCTAATTCAATTTATATTGAAATCCCACCTCAAATTAACCTAGGAAAAAGTGAAAATAATATATGGTGAACTTGGTTTTCCGCCTGTCTCCGTGAAAGCTCTGAAGTGACAAACAGTCTAAGTTCTATATTCTTAGTTACCTAAATGCGCAATTTTGCCCCATAAACGACTTTGTATTGTATTGCTTACCGTTTCTGAGATAACAATGGTGAAGGCCGAATTTGGAATACCCGGTACATATAGTAAAGGACTTTTAAGTTAAAATTCAAAGTAGATTTCAATTAATCTTAGTAATTTCTCATGTAATACATACCGGTGCATCTTGGGGAGAACTATGTACATGAACAACGTTTTTGTATTTAATTTTCATAAAAAATGTTCTTTCATTTAATTTTGTCGGGCTGGAGAAAAGGCGACAGCTGCTCCGGAAACGTTCATAAACTACAATCTGTACAGCCAGACCGAGAATAGAGAGAAAAATGAAGATTCACAACGAAAAGTGAGTAAAAGTGAAATGGATCAAAAATATTGAGAAAAAGTGAGTTGCCAGCAAAACTGCGTTTTAAAACCTCCTTTTTACTTTTCAACTGCATCCGAAGCATCCTAGATCCGCCATTGCTTATATTTCAAAAAAATATCAAAAAATACAAAGATTTCTTCTCCTAGCATGAAGAGATAAAATATCAGAATAACCTCAAACTTGATATTCCATTTATTCGAGCTTTTGACCATTTTTAAGGGCTCCTTTATGCTTTATTCATTGATAATGAAAGTTGGTAGTCGCAGTTGCTCAAAACTTGTTTTCTGCAATGTGCATTCAATCAACTGCAGGCGTTGGCTGCACATTTACAATTTTTAACATGACCGTTCTACCATAACACGCAGGCTCAATGAACTTTATAGTAGGAAAGGTCTTTGTACCTGTTGTAGGGTAAGAGGAACCCCGCACCCCCTAGCACAAACGCCAAATAAACAGCATTGTAAGCATCTAGGGGAGGCGACAGATTCGCGAAAGCGCTCCTATTCGACTGGTGATGATAATCAGGGGGCTCTCTTCTTGGTTTGCCTAGCTTGGCATACCCCCTTACATCGTTACCCCCAATATCTTCCATGATGTCTTGGAACACAGCTGATTAGCTGACGAGGGGGTCTTCACTGGGCACAATACAGTATCACTTTTGAAGAGTTACACAAAGTTGCGGATTTGAAGGTAAACACGTAACACATCATTTTGGAAGGTTTTACACGTCGCGTTCCGGTTTTTAGATTTCCACCGTTTTTCTGTTGTCAGTATGTGGATGCGTGCGCAGGAAATGCAGTCGGCATCGATTACTCCAGGGTGGAACGGCCAGGCGCGTGTATACAACTTTATCTTGGAAGGGGTAGTGGAGATATTCTATCGTTTTGCTCTTTGCAGCTATGGCTTTCAAAAAATGTATGTTGTACAGCTCCCCGAGCAAATAGTCGCCATTTTATGTCCTCAAAATACTATATTTTATTCTTGTTTAAGAAACTACGATTGTACTTCACATGCATGAAACTATGTCTGTTCAACACAAGAAGCCTCCATGGATATAGATTCTAAGTTGTCCCCTTGCTGAGATAGAGAGATACACTAATTCTGTCTGTTCGTTGATCCTTGGGCCGCCTATAACTTGGAAAGTACTGCTCGGTTTTGGATAAAATTTCCTCGCAATGTTACTACTATGTCAAGACCGAAAGAGTTTTGTATTTTTAGAAAATCGGTCTAGTGGCGGCGGCGAAGAAGGCTAAAAACGAAAAAAAGTAGAAATCGCTCAAACTGCGTTTTTTGACGTTTCAGAGGATCCTGATCATTTTTTAGGGGTATAAAAAAATTATGGATAGGGGAAGGTTATCAAAATTTATTAATTCTAGTATGTTTATACGCGCCCAATCTCGGTAATTCCACGCACATCCTAGACATATTTCACACATCGTAGATTTTCCCATACATGTTCCCTTAAAATGGAGTGAATGAGAAATGCGTTCCATATGCGTCACTGCTTCTGCTGTCTGGTGTCACCTGCTTCAAAAACTTTTTGAAGAGCGCGAAATAGTAAATTTTCTCAGTGAGTGCCAAAATCCTCAAAATTGTATACAAAATCATGCTAAATATGCACGTTTTAATTCTTTATACTAATGCTATATTAATTATTTGCACATAAATGTTTATCTATATCTTATTGTAAAAACAAAATGATGTCTAAAAAGGTGTATGTAAAAATATATTATTCCAATAAATACACATACTGATGAATCTTATAAAAATTATAAGTAAACAGATCCCTCGTGAAGCATACATTGCTTTTTGATGATTAATCATAAATGACTACAATGTTTACAAAAGAGGAAACCGCACCTCGTCATGATACCTAAGCTCGGGTTTGATAACACGTTCTTATCTCGCACTAGAATAAATGTCACACGCAACACGAATTAGTCTATTCGACTCAATTAAATGATTAAGTTGCGATCATACAGCTGCTTTTGTGCGAAAATATTCACACTTCACCATGGCACTGTTGAATGTTGCCAAGATTTCTGTGGAGAAACATGAATCGAAAGAACAGTTCTTATACGACTTGGACAAAAATAAAAGTTTGTGTGAGGTGGTTAAAGACGTCTGCAAAAAGAGTGGATTGGTAATTATTATATATTATGGTAGATAGATAGATACATTTATTGACTTGTAGATCATAAAATTGATATAAGACTCTCCCGAAGAGGAGGTACACATAATTAAAAGTAAAACAAAACAAACATAAGAATTTACAAGTCAGTAAAAATGGGAACATATGTATTTAAATTATTCACAAAACAAAAAGGCGTACAGAAATTGTTACATATAAAAAAGTTTTAATCAGACAAAGAGTAGAAACCTTTTTCAACTAATAATTTACGTAGTTGACGTTTAAAACTAGCAATACTGCTGAAGTTCTTGAGATTAGCTGGAAGTTTATTATATGTCCTAATGCAGGTGTATTATGGTGGCTTTTTAAACAGTGTCAGTGTGTGTTCCGGAATACTTAGACTCTCACCTTCCCTCGTATTATAATGTGTTGTTGTTTTTGTTCTACATAAATTTTGTTTTCTTTGTATGTATGAATAGGGCGCACTTACAATAAATATGAATGCTTGATAGAGTCATTATATTCTTACTTCCAAAGATCTCTCTGCAGGATCTCTTTTATGGATGTTGAATATCAATCTAATAATTATTCTCTTCTGTTGAACAAATGCTCTAGAAATTGAACTTGATTGGCCCCAAATTAGAATAATACATATCTGGTGAAGCTGATTCTGATAAGCTGAACTTGAGCTTTAGAATTGAATAATAGGATTGATTCAGCTTTTTACACACACTGTCAATTTGTTGTTGCCAATTGAGTTTTGCATCCATTTCTATTTCTATACCAGGAAAAGACTCATTAAATAATATAGCACTCCTAAGGACAGTCATAAAAAAGATTTAGAGAATGATAATAAACAATACAATAGTAGGGTTCAAACGTCAGTTTTTTGGCCGAAGTCGTTTGTGCCTCCGGGTCCGCTTCTTAAAAGTAGAAATTCCTGTTTTAATGTGTAATATTGAATCGTACTTGTTAAAATTAGATAAAACGTTAAAATAATGTGATGAGTGTAAATACTTAAACCTAATTCAGTTGTGTTACATTAAAAAAAAATATTATAAAAATAGGTATTTAATATACTGGTGAGCAATACCAAGTCGGGTAAATTATCTAAGAGAAAGACATAAGAAGTTTCAGAATTAATTACAAACCGAAAATTCCTGAAATAAGACACTCGTGGCGTTCTATAAAATCAGCGATATATTCATTGGCATTGTTTATTCAACTAGAACAGAATTTAAAATCAGCTACACATTTACAGGAAACAACCGATTTGCTGGTATCATATTATAACATTTAACATGTAAGATAATCGTTGTGTATTAATAAGTTTTAAAAACAACTTAACCATGTACACCATTTTATTTTTCCTGACAGTGGAATAAATAACAAAATTAAAGTCGACTTCAATGCATGAAATAAATTTTTGATAAATAAAAACCAGTACAAAAATAGTAGCATTTCAGCACTACTTAGTAAACTGGCTTTCCTGTTATCGTACGTTTATCCTACTGCATTAAATATTTGGCAATATGTGCACTGCGACTGACCGCCAGACTAACAGATAAATGTTAAGTACTCAATTGTTACCAGCAAAAGCAATTTGATGTAACATGCTATAGCGTTTTGTTTCTAAATTGTTTATATATTGGACAATCTATTAAAAAAAAACACGCAAACAAGTCTGACGACTTGCACCTCCGAAACTGTTACAGCTAGGCTACTGGATTTTTCGTCACAAGAATTTTATTTATTACCTATTAATTTTATATGTGTCTAGAATTTCCAAGGTTGGGAGCATGTAAATAAACTAACATCAAACATTTGAGATACACCCTCCTCATCCCTCCAACCTCCCACCCTCCTACAACCCACAATCCCAAATTTGTTACCCCTAATCATTTGTTTCAAATTGATCAGGATCCTCTGAAAGGTCTAATAAATGGCGTCATGTAGGTTGACTCTGCACGTTCCATTAGTCTGTCTGAACTAACTAGAAACATTCAAAGCAAAAAACTTAAATTAATTAATTCAGCCAAGCATGCCCATACAATTTCCATACTCCGTAGCCCCCACCCACGTTATAACACTCTATACCCCACTTTTAATCCATTTACACCTAGACAAAACACAACATGCTCTAAAGCGAGATTGTACAGGTCGTATTTTCTTCAAAGGTCTTGGAATAATCTAAACAAAATAAGTGACCATTTTTTTAGAAAGAAGCGTACATACTTTTCACAATTCTTTATTCGCTCGAATTATAGTCTGCACGGTTAATATTAATTATTACAGGTTCAATTTAACCGTAACAGATGCAATCTTTCCAATGGTTTGCCGTCACTCTGCTGACAACTTCATAAAACAAATTTTTCACGGCAAAAAAATCATTTCAATGGGATTTAATTTGCTGTGATAAGGCCTTAAAACGTCTTATTTTGGTTGGCCATTTCTGATTAGATCGATAAGTTCTGCTTTGACCATATTTTCATTGAAGCTAATGTCTTTTGATAGGAGCCATTGTTGAATTTTTACCTTTCTGGTGGACATTGTGGGAATTTTTTCTAGTTTTCTAGTATGCAGCATTATCAAGTACACTGACGGCATTGTTGTCAAGCTTTGCGAGCGTTTCTTAAAAACATGGTTCAAATGAACTCCCGTCCATTTCTTCATGATAGTCGGTCGTTGTCTTTGAACCAAATGCCCATAGGGCAGTGGGCAAAAGCCATCTTCACTGCCAATGTGACAGATAACAAATCGTTTTCCTGGAAATAATTATTTCATATATGTAGTATTCAAGAAAACTAATAATAATACAAGCAGAGTATCTAACAGGTGTTGGTTCCAAATCTACCAGATATATCTGAGTTTAGTGTAGCTAAGTTTTCAGCGTGGGCATATGGATTTAGTCTACTTGACACCATTTTTACAACACAAATGACGAATTCGTTAGATTCACGTACCTAACGGATTCTTTAGGCCAGTAGGTTTACCATCTAAGAAGGCTTGTCTTGCTGATTCTATTGTAGAGTCAGCCCATACTTTAGGTTTTATATGACCTGCATCCAGGTTTCGTCCAAGTAATAAATATTCCTATCTTGGTAAAATACTATTTCAGACCCGTTTTCTGTACTCAAAATAAAGATCTTTGAGTAAACTTTAGAATATGATCCTTTTGAAAGCAGGTAAGTCTTCATCACTATTAACCTCCTGTAATACATTGTCTATGCTGGGAGGTTCCTGCCTTTCAAAAAATTGATGGAATTAGCGTCTGATGGCATTCCGATCAAAGTTATCAACTGTATCCAACAGCTTCGTATAATGCAGCCTCTTGTGAGGTGGAGACAATCTTTTGTATATTCTTTAACAATGTTGAAAATTGTCTTAGGACATAAGCCTGTCTTGTTCGCCACACGTCTTTCAATAACATGAATTTTCATTTCAGGATGCTCGAAAATTTCGATCTTATTAACGTTAAGGACTATTTCTTTTGCCTGAATATTCAAACGTCGCTTCTTGTCATGTTTTCGGGGAGGAGACATCACTGAAGAGGAAGCAACCTCTAAAATTTTCCTAAAAATTTCCAGAAGCAACTTGAATCATCAAAAAACGAAGTTTGAGCGACTTTGTTTTTTTGTGTTTTCCCCCAGTTCCCGCTATCACTAGACTAAATGCTAAAAACTGATAAGCTTATTCGTACTTGGTATAGTACGAGAAGTAATCTTGTGCGAAAATTTCATTCAAATTCAAGCATTACTTTCCAAGTTAAAGGCGGCCCAAAGATTAGCGGACCGACAGAATTGAGTGACATGGCTTTTCGTAATTTACATGTCATATAAGATCTCTAAAACATAATATCTTATTTCAAATTTTGATGTACCCTTATCTCTAATACACATTGGTAGATACAAATAAGACGCATCAATTTTGATCACGAATATATATCTGGGAAATGACACTGACATTATGCTAATAAGAGTGAAATATAAAACATGTCCACAGAAATAAAAATGATACCTCCTTACAATTTTATTGAGTACAAAGATTTTTCCATCATTTTTTAAAGGTAGACATATTTTTTGGGAAGCAGTTTTCGCTCACGAATAAGACTTCCACAAACTTCGCTGTAAGGCCTACTCTTACGCTTTTCTTGGACACTTTTGATGCACTGGCGTTAAACTTTGCATGTGGATTGTAATTTGATACCAAGATCTGCGCTCATCCCTTACAAGCTTTTACTCAGTGTCAAGAACTCAGATTTATTACTTTGAAGAACTGTATTATAAAAACAATTTATTTGTTAAAAGAACAGGTAGTATGTACTATGGATAATTCTTTATTTTCAGCCAGAATCACCGGTGTACGGATTGAAACTCATCCAAACAAAGGATTCTGACGTTAACATGTACATCTCAGACAACAGTCTTAAGGATGTTAAGCATATGGACTGCTTGAAAATTGTTTTCTCAATAGACTACCTTTTGGAGAAGCGTATACTGCCCTACATAACTTCTGACGATGATTCAATGGAGAGAGATATTTGCTTTGAGGATTTGAGAAAGTTGGCAACCGACCAAGTTTTTATAGAAAAGCTAGGTATATTATTACGGATGTTAAAAGATCTAGTTGACATATGACCGATAAGAATCGTTATACGAGTCAGGAAATTTTAATAGTAGTTTTTTTATGTGTTTAAAACATTATATTTGGTGTATCAAAGTAAGCATGGAAAGGTATATTCACATTCTGATACTAATATATCCTAATAAGGCGTGTTAATAGAACATACATTCTTTTAAAGCATATTCTCTTCACGAACTTCATAAGAATGCATATTCACATAAGGGGATATTCATCTTTAGAACAAAATCCTGTCACGTGACAGTAACATTCCACTAACTGATGAAAAGGGTTATTCCTGGCACGTGTTAAGCACATTCCATCACAATCCATCAGGTGAATTTTTTGGCCTATCGTGCATATGCTTGCGTCTGAGCGATAAATGGCATAGTGGCAAGCCGACCCTCAGGGGTATTACGTATCTTGAGAAGTGACATTATATCGGTTTTTTGACATTATTTTTCTAGAAGATGTCAACTTAGCTCTAGCTATTGTACACTTGCTGTGTACTCGTTCTAGCTTTACGTGTTGCCTAAACGTCATGATGCTTCAGCTATCAATGCTGGGCCCTGATGTGATGTAACATCTGCTTCAGAGATGGCATTATTGGAGGTCTAAGCTGTAAGTTGTACACTATAGCTGGAGGGAAATGGCACTGCATAGTGAGGGTTTGTGTGCTAATAGTTTGTGTTGATGATAATTTCAGTGGTTTGTTGTATGAAATAACAAATATCATAAAATTAGTTGCGCATCCGCTTTTTATTACTCAACCTGAAAATTACATATGCAACTTTGCTGAATTTAAAAAAAAGAGAGTGATAAGAAAATAAATCCCTGGTTGGACAAGTATATTAAAACTAACACATGAGAAAATATGGTAAATTCAGGAGTAGTTAAGAAACGTAGAAAAGTTATTACATTTCATATTAATTTTTATTTCCAGTCATTTAAATTTTATAGAAATTTATTTTGCAATCTCAAATTTTGTTTTGTTTCATGTCTGTGCGTGTCTAACATAGCTTGCAGCGTGTGTGTCTGTAAAGTCTTACATTATTTGACAGTGTATTTTATGGAAAAAGGAAAGTTTCATGATAATTATTCACCTTAATTCATCTGACTAATGAACACTATTGTGCCAATTGAGTAAGGTGTTTACAAGATCATAAATCATAACCTCCAAAAACATCGCCTAATAGGAAGTTTAAATTGACATCTGCACCTGTTCCTGATGAAGAGTCGTAGGAGGTATATAAATAGAACAAGAAAAATAAGAATAACAATAATAAACTGCCTTTATTCGATTCTTTTACAATATATAGGCAACAAACAACAATATGCGAATAAGTCACAAACATTTTGAGAATGGAATCGGTGGAGTGTTATCATAGGACATAGTATTTTTCAACTCAACCGTAAAGTTGTAGTACCTAGTTAGTAGAGAATGAACTTCTTTAAACGGTTTAAATTTACAATACAAATTAATGATTATAAATAATATCAGCAATGTATTATTATAGAATTGTATATAAAAATACTTTATGCTCTAGATCTAGATTTATATGAAAACTGTGGTGAGGAAGTGATATGTACTGCTAACTAGCCACGCTTCTTTCAAAATTACTCAGAATATAATCACAAAATTCAAATGGAAGACTATTTATTATATATAGGGTGAATCAAATTGGGTTTCCACATTAAAAGTATTTAAAAAAAGAAGAAATTGAAAATTATAAAAAAGTATGTATTTGTCCTGTCAGGGCAGTTCATTACAATTATGCTTGAAATATGATATCAAGTAAATGACCGCCGCGGCTCATGTAGCATGACGTAATCCGTTTCGAGACATTTTCGACTACTCCGTGGCACAAATCAGGTCCTATGTTGGTAATTTTGCGTCTGATCTCCTGTTTCAGCTCCGCATTTGTGTTCGGGTTATTCTTGTAGACTTTGCTCTTGAAATACCCCCAAAAAAAATAATCTAAGGGAGTTAAATCACAGGATCGCGGCGGCCAATTGATATCGCGTTACGTGAAATAACGCGACCTGAAAACTTGCCGCGCAGTAATTGTATCGTTTCTCCTGATGTGTGACCTAGGCTTCAATTCCTGTGTTATTTGGACTCTGTATGGGTGTAACTTCAAATCTTTTGTTAAAATCCGCTGTGTAGTGGAATAAGTAAGGTCCAGTTGCTGCGATCGGTGACGAATCGAGGTTCTTGGATTTTCGGCTACACTTTCGACAACAATAGCAATATTGTGTTCCGACCGACCTCTGCGAGCACACCTAGGGGTTTTGGTGTTAACGACGGATCCAGTTTGCTCGAATTTTTGCACCAAATTCCAAACTGTCCTCTCACAAGGCCGATTTTGTGCGCCAAAAAATTCATGTAAAGTATTCTTACTTGATCTTCATTATAGGCTTGGATAATTTTAACACGTTGTTCGGTCGCATATTGCTTCATGACTGTTTTTTTATATTTTGACGTTAGAAATGGCACGTTGTCGTTGACAAATTCAGTGGCGTTTCAAAAAAAAATGTATTTGTAATGTGAAAACTCAATTTGAATCACCTATCATATTTGCAGTTCTCAGCAGTATAAGAGAAGCTCTTTTTGCAGAGAGACGTGAAGCGTTTATATATAATTGATAACTGTCGATTTCTGATAGCCAAGCTATTGATATTGCCATATTTGTTGAGTTTATTTAGAAGATATTCTGGTTTTCTATTTACTAAAATCTTATGAAGTAAACATAAACTTTGGTATTTCCTGAGACTTTCGATGTTCGTTTTGCTGTTCTCTTTATAAACGTGACTTTTACAGTCAAACGATAACAAGAGTTTGGTAATTGTTGCAACTTGTCTCTATCACTTTTTATTATAGCTGGGACATGTACACTTGCGCAATATGAAACTCTTGAAAATATAGATATATCGCATAAAAACATTTCTAATTTACTGTTTAATTTTAATATGCTTCCTTGAGGATGTAATTGCTTGAGAATACTATATCATTTTAAGCACAATTCTTCAATATGGAAATCAAATTTTAATTTGCTGTCAAACCATAAACCTAAATTTTTGCTAATGGTTACAGCTGGTAATAGAATTCTATTAATTGCTAATTGACATAGATTTTCTGTTATACTACGCTTGTTTTTTTAAATAAAATCATTATTTTAGATTCATTTGCATGTAGTACCTAGTGTTGAGCTGCTGGGATATTGAAGTAAGTCCAGATCGCTGTTAGTTAGGCTAAAAGAAGAAAGATATCATTAATAGCGCAGCTGCAGTATATTTGTCCATTATCTGCATAGTGGTGGATTTTGCTATTTTATGTGATTTGAAAAGTCCGAAATTTTTATAAAAAATAAAAGAAGACTGAGAATGGAACCCTGGGGTATACCCATGTTTAGGGTCGATTTGTTAGATAATTCATTATTAATAGATACATATTCATATTTCTTGCTAAGGGAGCTTTTTATAAGTTGAATAGCATAAATAAATACATATGATATACACGTTAATTTGCTTTGTTAAGTTTTCAATTATCCTTTTTCGTTGATATTGTACTTCGCGTGCCTATGGTGTGATGGTCTGGATATACCTATAGCAGCCATTAGAAGCTTCTCTGAGGAAGCACTGTATATACACATCACAAATATTCAGTGGATATTTGTTGGATATATTAAATACATAACATCACTATTGTAATATCCATATCCTTGGATATAGACGGACATCTGGATATCCAAATAGATATCCATTGGATGTATCTATCCACCCAGTAGATATGATGGATATTCACCGTGGATATCTAATAGACAACCACTGGATGTATGTGTGCTTTCTGGGAAGACTCTGCCTGAAGAGAATATTCGTATAACGTGTGAAGATCTTGGAGAGCACATTCTTATAAACATATTTTCACTGGATATACTAAAGAACTTTGCCAAATCCTAATGCGAATACACTCACAACATGCTTCAGCACGTTCTTAGAATGTGTGATATTTGCTACTAATAGGGGTTTGTAACATACATGTATTCTTAGTATAATCTATTGATGTGCGGTATGTTATTTACGTATGTGTTTGGAACATGATAATACTATTAGAGGACATTCTCAAAACATGGATAGCAAGGATTTTGTTTACTGGGATTTAGCAAGCTTAAGGAACTACTAAATCCTCCAGTTACTTTACTCAGTCTTAATTTTAATGGAAGCACAAATTCACAAATACCTCGTTAATGACTACATACAGAAACAACTAAAGACTCAAGGAATGAAGGGTTTATTAATAACCATTTATAATTTACTGAATAAATAAACGGTCTAAGAAAAATGTCGATACTTTTTAAGTGTATTTACTCATTTAGCATGTTGCAAGGACTACTAAGTCCTCCAGCTGCTTTACTCATTCATACTCATTTCAGTGGAAACAGGAATTCACAAAGTCCTCGTTAATGTCTACCTACAGAAACAACTAAAGGCTCAAGAAATGAAGGGTTTACTAATAACCATTTACAATTTACTGAAATACAAAGGTTTCGAGATGGATATGTCTCAAGATATTTTAAGCAAAACTATGGGGATTATCCACAATTCGATGGAAAATGAAATGGAAAATGTGAAGTACGCTTTATCCATATTGCACAAAATACTAACCCAAGAAGACAAAGCGTTTTTATCTTGGAAAGAACAGGTTAGAATATCGTGATACAAAATGCTGTGGTAGATACGGGTAATCTACTGTAACTTGTTGTTTGAGAAAACAAATCAAATTAAATTATACTAATATGCAAAATATTTGATGAAACACTTTACCATGGTTCACTCTATACCAGAATATCTCGGCGGCATTAGGTTTGGACCGATTCAACATATAAAGACTAAAAGCAGGTTTTTCTTGGTCTCTTCTCAGATTATAGAAAGAATATCATTGAGCACTCTAACACAGTTTATTTGGAACGAGAAAGGCAGGAGTCTCCAATATGAAGTTATTCTCCTAGTGAACGCAGTCATAAGACTATGTAACGGTGAGAGGAGACTACAAATGATCAAAGAAATGAACTATAAGCAGAACAGAGATAACATATACAAACATATCATAGAAAATGGTAATTTGGATAAAAAAATGGAGCATGAACTTTACGTTTTGCAGACATATTTGCTTAGGTAAACTAATACTACCACATAGATGCTTGTTTGTAATACACTCTACTTGACGTCCTTGCTCCTCGGTATAATACAATACTTATTCATCTAAAAAAATGGCAGTTGGCTTAATTTTTTGAAATCGTTTATTTTTGACATTGCACAACATTCAACAGGAGGAAAGAGGTCAAATAGCATGAAATGTCTGAGTCATTTCCGATTTTTTCAGCAGACAATGTCTTATACTATTAGAATGTTTGCTTTCTGTCTCTGTAACCACGACCAACCGTAGCGCTGTTTCGTGCTCATTAGCAACTCATCAGTACGGTATAGGTCTAGTAGCCCTGCGCTGCCTGTGGCTGATCGTGGTTACAGAGACGGAAAGCAAACATGTCCATGCCGAACATATGTCCTAGATGTTTTGGCACAAAATAATATCAAATTACCTTTGGAAACAAAAGATTGTTTAATCACTTTACTGTCAGTTGAAATTTATTAATAAGTTTTCGCTTCAAGGTATCGTTTACATTAGAAATAAGAAAAAGTATCTACAAGTTGGATGGGCATGTACCCAAAGCTGAAATCTGTCGAATATTCCAGAATTAGAACATTTCAGTCAGAACCATTTATCGAACAATAGCGGAGTGCGAGCAGGGAATACCATGTCTGAATCTCCCCAAAAGTGGAAGACCACGTGCATTTACAGCGCAGAGGTCAGAGGGATTTTTGAGAAGACCAAAAAATCAGGTTGGAATGTCAACAAGGAGACTGACTAGATCTTCTAAGAGTGCGATATCGTTGGAATTGAGGAGGAATGGTCTTAAATATCGAAAGAGACTTAAGCGCCCCAAATACTCTCAAACGCAATTCCTTCGTATACCAAGATGCTGTCGTCAACTGAGACGGGTACACTTTGCCAATGGAAATATCATTATTTTAGATGACGAAAAGTATTTCACTTTGAGTAATTTTATACGGACAAAGTAGAGGAACGCCCTGACAATGTTAGATACAAACATAAAGCGAAATTTGTAGATAAAATCCTTGTCTGGTGCGCAATTTCTAACAGGGGTGTACCCCAACCTTTTGTGGAAAGAGTGCGGGGTGAAGCTACAACACACCTTTTGTTTCCGAAAACAATAATCCTCTAAACTTGCCGCAGGCTCGCCCAATAGAGGAGTTTTGGGCTTTACTGTCTAGGAAGGTTTATCATGGAGGCCGGGAAGCCCAAGATAAAGAACGATTAAGACGGCGGATTTACGAAAAACTAGGAGAAATTGTTCTGAATTCCGTTCAGGACCTCATGAGAGACATTCGAAAAAGGTTGCGTCTGGTACAGCAGAATGGGCCACTTCACATAATTCGATAGTACCAATCGTTTAGTTAAGTATTGTGATGAACTCGTTTGTGTTTAAATAAATTTCTTTATTAAAAAAATTCTATTAAATATTTTGTGCCAAAACTTTTAGGATATACGTTATATCGATAAAAAGCCATTGTTGTTGTGCTCTGTGCATACTTGGTAATGCGGCTGCTAGATGGGTCAACCGTTTTAGTGTGTTGACATCTATTTGTGCATTGCAAAGAACGTCCAGTAGTTATGGGCCGGGATTTTCCGTAATCTTTCATCATACGGGATGATGAAGATCAACTTGGCAAACCATTGGTAGTAGACTACCAGATGGGATGATCGAAATATCTGGGCAAAATTTCAAAAAGTCGGGATTTTTTTGGTATTATATCGGGTTACAGATGGAACATATGATGTCAAAATATGAGACAACTAAAACACACTTGCTATCTACTTTGGCATTTGAGTTCTCCGATTTCACCAATTTGGTGTCCTTTGGAGTATTCAAAAAAGTTTTCAAATTTAAAAAATATTAATAAAAGTTTAATCTTAATAATTGACACTCTACGAGCCCCTTCACACTTCAGTTGGCCCACTTCAAGATTTGTACCAAAATATGCCTTTATAAACTAAACATGACGAAACTATTTACTTCTAAAACAATTTATTTTCGCAAAAACATTTACACTCTTGTCGTAAAAAATACATATTTGAAATCACTTAGACCTATAACTAATAGAACAACTGAAGAAATAAACAATGTGCGAATAAATGCGCGAAGTTAACAAAGCAACAATTGAAAGATTACCATTGGGTAACATCACCTTTATTTTTTATTACGGCTGAAATTCTTTGGGGCATAGTGTTAACCAAGTTTTGGCAAAACAATCCCAAATTTCTTGAGGCTTTTGCCTCAGTTCGGTGATTGTACGAGCAGGATGTTGTCGTAGAACCTTTTTCATCTCGTGCCACAACGTTTCAATAGATCTGGACTGCTAGAAGCCCATTTCAATTCTTCCATCACTGGTAAAAGCGATTCTTATAAAATTGCCAAATATTTGTTTGTATCCACATTTCCGTCAATAAAATGAAGTTTTCCTTCTCCTTTTGATGACATACTGCCCCAGACCATAATGGATGCTGGAAATTTCACTTTTCTCTTCAGACAGTCAACATGGAATGCTTCATTTTTTTTGCGAATAACTCTACTACGACTGTCACCAACACAAACTTCGAATCGGGCCTCATCACTCCATTGTATTACACACCATTGTTGAGGTATCCATTGTCTATGTTCTTTAGCCCATCTAAGCCGATTTTTTTTGACAGTGGAGTTAATAGTGGCTTTTCTTTGGCCTATAAACAATTTGTGCAGCTCTATTGTTTTTAGTTCACTTTTTTTTATAAGAAAACTTACCTTGCAAGTTTTTGGGCCTCTCTATGAGTTGTGGACCTCGAATTTCTCCTTCGAACAGCGTCACTCCACAGAGCACTTCGGTCGGCATTTGTGATATTACTTTTTTTCACATAACGTGGCTTAATATTAAGTGAACCAGTTACGTTATATCTTCTAACAATATTTCTCAGACTGTGCCGCGATAAGTCTAACAAAGTTGCAATTTCTGAGTTTGATTTCCCAGAATTAAAAAATTTAATTATCAGTATCCGAATTTTCTCACTAATAAACTTTCCTCTACCCATTTTGAAAACCTTAACTGCCCAAAACTATTTTAAACGTATTCTGACAGCTGTGATTAATAAAAACAATTGTCATGGCTTTTATTTTTCACAGCCACCTATGCGTTATAGACTTATTTTGCATTGAAATGAAAATAGGTTGATATGCTGTAATTGCAACATGTGTTATTTTTATGCTGCAAATTTGATTAGGGAGTGATAAAGTTGGTGTTTTCTACTATATATTATCAAAATATTCATTTTTGATATTTTAAACCTATAACACCCTGCTACATTTTTATTATTTGTGTTTGTTAAGAAAAAAACTAAGATTTCAATAGTTGGGCCAACTAAAGTGGGAAGGGGCGCGTATATCTATCGTTACAAGTTATTTAAAAAACTGAACTCCTTTTTACAATAGGTTTTGATTATTGAGATCTATATCTTAAAATGTTTACTTCATTGTCGCTTTTTTCAAAAAATGTGCCCACATTTGAGCACTAGACCTATTGCCCTTGTCTTTCGGAATATATTTTTTTGTGGCAACTGTAATAAAGAATCCTGACTTTTAAACCACGTAATTTTAAATTTCCGAAATATTAAATTTGCGTTTTATTTGTCGGGGCAATTTGTATTTAGCCGGGACCCTGGACATCATATGAAATTTCGGGACGATCCCGACGAATTCCGCTCTGAATGGTAGGTTGAGATTGACTTTTCGACTGCCTCCGCACAATGTCTCCAGCATAACAATTGAAAATTTTGATCGTATGCGACCACCCTTATAGTTTTTTATTGTTATAGTCTATACAAAGAAGCTCTCGAAACAAACATTAATTTGAATGACAACAATCTTTTCAACAGAGAAGATTTTGAGCTTTCTGCAGATGATGCCAGACGGCTGTCCGTCTTGATGGACTTTGATGAAGCTGATAGGTATATCTATGCAGCATATTCCGCAGAAAACATACTACCAAGTTCGCCATTTGAAAGGTGAGAAACGTAAGGCTAAAAGTCTTTTTCGAAATAATAGTTAAATTCAGAGGTCCAATACGAAAAGTGTTCTTACTTTCCCCGCCTACTGGCGAATTTTTCGAATACGAGATACTATGTCTTTTTGGTTATTATATGACATATACTACTCAATAATATATTTAATAAAATTGTATGGATAACCTCGGATTTAAAAGATCGTCAAAATCGGAAGTTAAAAAAAAGTTCTGACTTTTCGGAATCGGAGCCGAACCTCCGTAACATCCATTGTCTGTAGACTCTTATAACCGAGTTACAGGGAATTCTATCGATTTTAATCATTCGTTATACTTACGGACAGGAAAAGAAATACAGGCCCGCGCTAGTTAAAATCGTTTTACCCAGAAACAACAACCTGTATATTGGAATTTCTGAGTCTGCATCGCAATCAAATCAATTTATTACGACTTTGCCCAATTTTAACTAGTCTGGACCTGCAAAATGGGCTCTGAAGATTCATCAAGATCCACTTAGTAGATTCTTAGAAAAACCGTTTTTCACAGCCCATCGTAACAAATGACGCGCATATTATTTTCAGAGTTTCTATTACTTCTATTGTAAGCGGAAAGAACTTCAGCGGCAGCTATCGAAGCTCCGGTAAGATTAATATGGCACAAGAGTTCGAATGTGGAACAATCAACTACTTGACGCTGGAAGCACTCAGTAAGACGAACTTGTGGAAAATATATCGCTATTTCACAATAATCACATCCAATGTTTTGTAGGGCACTACAAAAAGAACTATAGCAAGATTTTTTACCAGTCGCAGGTAGAAGAGAAAGTTTATGAACCAGGGATATTTGTGACGAGTGAGAGGTACTTGATTTACTTCTTAATTATAAATATGTCAATACGTGTGCCGGCAAATACGAGTTATCAATAAACTGCTCCTAACCTGACTGGTGCTCAATAGTAAATTTATAACAATGAAAATTTCGCATAGGTTTCTATGACTGTTCTAGACTAACCTACTATACAGGGTGTCCGCAAAGTTGTTTTCAGAAACAACTACCCTTGAAATAACAAAGGTAATGTGTAGTGAAACGAGGGCGAAAAAGTAAAAAAAAATAAAGGAAAAAGTACTCACTCTCCAGTTGACGAGAAGGGCTAAGTACGTCTCTGCCCGAAATCATACCGCTCCAACATAAAATGAAATCAGCTGATGCGCTACCGAGCAGACGCAGAAACCACATTGATTGTCTTACACTTAATGGCACATCTTCTAACAAGGAAGGCAAAATGTTGCGTAAAAAGTCTAGGTATTGCATCCCGTCTAATCGATTTGGGAGAATAAATGGTCCAATGAGCATACCGTTTACCATGCCAGCCCAAACATTCACCGAAAATGTTTGTTGAAAATGTGCCCGACGGACAGCGTGCAGATTTTCTACTGACCAAACATGAATGTTGCGGAAGTTATTCACCCCATTACGCGTGAACGTAGATTCGTCTGTCACCAATATGCACTTCAAAAAGTCCGGATTATTGTCATGTTGATGCAACAACCACTCACAAAACCGCACTCTTGCTGGAAAATCGTCAGGTTGAAAGGCTTGTACACGTTGGACGTGAAACGGATACAGCCCCTCTTCGCGCAACGTTTGCCACACTTTTAGTTTTTGATACTTGCACTTCTCTAGCCACGTCAAAGTGCTTGTTGTTTTTTGAAACGCAATCCATTATACGGGTTCGTTTACCACTACACGCGTGACCGTAACCGTCGGTTGAAGGTTGCATACTGACCTGACACACTGACCCCGACCCAGTTCTGTCGTCGGGTTGAGCTAGTGTCCTAGTACCACTCGGGGATGTCGCGGGTCGCGGCTACAGGACGGTATTCAGATATTTTTGATGGTGCAGAGCCCTTTATCTCGGTTCCCTTAAGACATTGGTGTATATGGTACTAAGAAAATTGCTTATGTTTTCAAGATCTACACGTCGTGTAAAGGAAACCCCCAACTTTGCGGACACCCTGTATACACGAGTACAAAATTGGATAACCCATTGTACCCAACAGCTAACGTGAAAGTCTTTGTGAACGTATGCGTGGGTCTCATAGCACACAGAGACAACAGCCGGACCAGTGGCATACGATGTGTTATGGGACACGCTTTCACTTCACTATACATTTTTTCAGAATCATGAAGATGCTAGCACAGCTATTGCATATCGGAGTCGATCCTCCCGATTCCAAGAGCACAATGTATCAACCGATCGTATTCAACTGTGCTTCTAGAACACCATTTCTTTTGGAGCTCTTCTCTAGAACCATGTGGCTACTATCAAGGACAAGGCGAGAAATGAAAGTATCAACTATCACAGACTATCCAAAGGTATTGCTGGATCCTTCCTACAAATACTCGAGACAATGGTCCCAAATTTTTTGATTCATAAGCCCGTATTACGTCCAAGATATATTATACAAAATTGTATCTACGACCGGGTAAAACCAATAATTTCGAGTATTTCGAGGCGGTCTCGCAAGAAAGTTAAAAAAAATATCCTATTTTTTTGTCGTTGCACGATTCTAGGTTCAGAAGAAATGGAATCCAGAGCCGTCAACTTGAAAAAACCTACACCGCGCGCGATACTTGGGAAACCCCCAAGTCGTCAATTATTTCTGTTTAGGGATGCAAACATCGTAGAGATAAACATCAGCGTATCAATAAACCTTGTTTTTTGAGTTTTGTAGAAGAAATGATCTTAATGAGCTAATAGATATGGTACTTTTGTCCAGCGACTATTGATGTCAATTTCGTTATCGTTATCGATAATTTTCTTTAGAGCAGAATACTTTTTTGTAAGTACCTCCTATTGACCACATTTAGCTCCTCCACTATTTAAACTACAAATCAAACACCATCCAAACATACAACAAAATCAAACATAACGAGAAACCACAAAACGACAAAGAAACGTGAAAGCAAAAATTAAATTATCATACACACTAAAAAAAGAGGTCGTGATTATTTTATGCTTTGTAAAACTTCAAAAGATATTCCCCTGACACGAGATCCATTCCTTAATTGTGACAACTCTATTTGAAACAATGATATTACCTCATTTCAAGTAACTGTTATCTCGAATCAACGTCGTAATTTCAAGAGAATAGGTCTGTAAATTAAGTAATGAGACTGGCAACACCGGAGGCGCCAGGCGTAGGAAGGAGACATTGTAACATGTGATCCCCCTTCAGTACACGTTTGAACTCGCTCGAGTCGTTTGGTTGTTGAATCCGGAATCTCGTGCGTTCAGATTGTTGGTTGACAGTCAGAATGATTGGAGAAGAGTTAAATTTGACTCGTACCACCGTTCTTCAAAACAAGAACCACTTGTATCACAATAATGCTCCTTGTCACACGGCAACTTAAATAAACGAGTTTTTGGCGATATAAAATTGTAATTATATTTGAATAAAGAAATTTAAAAAATTAGTTTCATCACTTAATTTACAGACCTCGTACTAATATATTTATGTACTCGTAGAACTCATCTCATTCAATTTAACATTTATTGATTGGGAAATGGCTTTTCGAAGCTGGAGCTTATAAAAACATCCATGAGCCAAGAGATATTAATTGGAGTGGCAATCATTTCGATTCAACAAAAGCTGGTTTGGTTGGGACATTTGTGAAACAAAAAGTGTAGTGTGTAGTAATACTATAATTTGCTCTTGTGTGTGAAATTTCTTATAGTTTTGTGGGGCGGGGTACCTAGCAATACACTCACCTTGGGCAAAGCGCGGATCCAGGGGGGTCATGGGGCTCATGTCCCCCTCCCTGGGCGAATCTAGTTTGACCAGTAATATTTATAACTTTCGGATATCTTTGAAAAATTTAATAAAATACAGAGTTTTTGCAAATATATGGATAATGGATACAAACGGATAAAACATCACCAGATTTGGTAAAAACCACTTTTTCTACGCTCAGGAGGCTCAAGACGTAGTTGCGAGCTTCTAAGGCAGAAGATGGCCTAACTCAGAGCCAGACTAGGTTGAGTCCAAAAAGCTAATTTTTCAGAAGAGACAATTATAGATTCCATCAACAGCAGTTGGAGGTAATTCTGATATTTTATATTTTTTTGTCATTTTTGCAACTTAATCTGATTCAGCTTTGACAACAAAAACAAAGTCCGGACTTAGCCTATATCATATGCCCTATTTCATGGACATACAATATTTAACGTTGACTTAAAACGACCAGATAAGTCCATACAAAAGAGACAAGGTCCACAACACTATTTATTACTTTCTGAACGTATAGTATATCTTCACGCTTTCTTGGATGGTAATAAAACATCTCGTTAGTCCAAAAAACGCATATTCAACACAGCAACATACACACTGAGTCAGATAAAAAACATATAATCCAAATTAAGACAGCTCATTCCACGTCGCTAATATAGTGTGACAAGAATAAATAGTACCGTTGGCGCCATCTGTTGGGAGACTCTCCTACTCGCCAGAGGTTCATGGCCGATCTCTGTTTTTTACGCGGATCACGACTGCACAAGCCGCTTGGCGACATCTGTGAGGACCGTGCCAGTGACTCGCCTTCTAGATCGATGCGAAGGGACATCGACGATTCTTCGACTATGTGGCTCACCGGAATATTCACGACCTACGATGAGGACTATATAACTCGACGGCCGGGAGAGGGAAGCAGAGTACAGTAGAGTACAGCAGAGTGGAGTATAGTTCACTCAATGACGCGACATAAGAATTAGTCAGACATAAATAGTGGTGTACATAAATGTTCTATCTAGTCAATCTAGTCAAGATAAATAAGTTAGTGCATTTCTTTTTGTGGAATCCAGTGTTTTAATCCACACCCAAAAGAATCCAGAAATACGCTGCAATAGGAAATAATAGTCATATGCAAGGTTAAGCTAATCTCACTGGTCCACTCTATTGTATTCGTGTGGTTTAAACCTTAATAAAACTGGTGGAACCTTTGAGAAACCCAAACAAGTTGTTTTTGTAGATCGTTATACTCACAGATATTGGCTTAGGGCAATCTCTAATGCAATCTAGGTTCACATGGTAGCCCGCTTTCTGCCGCCTTGTTCTGTTAAAGTCAACTTCTGAAAAATTCTTGTTAAAGTTTTTTTATAGTACAAAATGCCAGGATTACTTCTTCGCACCTGAGAAATAGAAAATCTTCCCCCACTGTCAAATGGGTATCTTCCATTTTTTTTTTTAAAATCTATGTAGTATAAATGTGTCGTAACTTGAGCACAGAACTTTGCAGATTGCTAATTAAAAACTATATACTAAACCTACCGCTTATTACAAAACGTCAGTTGAGGTTCTCCGATTGGCTCCTATCTAGATCTACCATTATTTTAGATCTGGAAGACATTATGCAAGCGCTGTATGTCACATACAATTCTCACTATGATATTATTATCACAAACGCAAGTTGCACGACGCGGACATAACCCAGTCCACTGAAAATACCATGCGTATACCCTATTTCACGAGTAACCAGCACGCTTTGATGTCTACTGAGGTGAACAGATGATCAGCAAGTGACATTTTTGTAATTAATAGTCTGCAACTTTGGCAATAATGAATCGGGTGTAAATCTAGTAAAACTTGTTTGAGGTGTTTTGTTTTTTGTATGCAAATGAACTTTTCTAAATAAAAAAGATGTTAGCAAATACAAAATGGATCAGTAGCGTACAAAAAACCAAAACAAATACGGCTTTATCTGGCGTTGACGGATCCGTCAGAATAATGTGTCCTGTGCCGATATTTTGAGATATTACTAGATAATCGGCTGTAATTTAATAGGGTATACCAAAATACATGTATGGCTCAATGACCTGAGGACTTAACCTGATTTAAAAGCAGCTAATTTCTTTGCTTTCAAAGATATGTCAAATCTGAAACTATCAAATAAGAGTGTGTGCATACAGATATTGCTTAGCATATTAAACTGAAAATACTAAAATTTGGATTTATCCTAGTCTGGCACTGAGGTACAGGACTGGACTTGCACTTTTATATGTCTATAAAAAAGGAAAAGTCGATTCAGAGGAAATCACAAATCGATTTGCAAGAAGACAAAAAATAAATAATACAAACACTTTCCTTTTAAATTGGATTTATTGTTTAAATCACATTCAGGCTACACCGTATGAGTACACGGGTAGGGTCGTCACTGCCTGCCACCCCACTCATCAATTTTTAACCACACTCCCGTCCCCCTCCGGAAGACGAATATTTGCCTGAATATGAATCCTGTGTTTAAAGTTTAAAACATAAGTACAAAATACAAGTGAAAATCTAATTGGCACTTGCTCTGTTAGCGATAATATGTTAGCGAATGGTATGTTACAGGTAATCCAAGTTTTGGAAAAGCAATTACAAATGGTGCTATCAAGAAAGCCGCACGATTTCAAAAGATTGACTGATTTCATGACAGAAATTACATTTGAAGAAGTGTTAACGCAGTGGCAGGTAACTTAGAAAACCTCTTGATACCAAGTCCTGACGAAAGTTGCGCTACGTGTTGCTTTTCTTAAATTCTAAGCCAGATAGATCGAAGAGAAGAACAGCATATACTTAACATAAATCGTTGTTATAATATTACGAAAATTCTTTATAGCCTTTATTATTTTTAGATGGAAAGAGACAAGGAATTCAATAATTTAATGAATAATAATACCTGTATAATCGAACTTAAGGAATCTTTATCAAGAGAAAATGAAGAGTATGTGATAAGTCAACGTATTAATATTCTAAAGGAGGGCCAAACATTTCCTAAATTTGCAGAAAAGGTAATAATTAAGAGAGAGGGTAATTAAAAAATATACTCCGACAATTGCATTAACCTATACTACTGCTTCAAACTATTATATTCGAAGGATTATGGATTCACTATACTTTCAGAAAACTGGAAAATATATCTTCGTACAACTAAGTAGGAATGAAAAGGAGCTCCTGATATACGACATAATGCAACATTCAAAGGACAAAGAGCAACTGAGTCTACAAGAGAAAATCAGTATAAGTGACATAACACATATTGCAACGGGTCTGAATTGTAAACACGTACAACTGTAAGTTATATTTATTACGTCCAGAATTATAAATTTAGTCAAAAATCGTTGAAATCGTATTCAAAATCACACAGTACTGAAGGAGCAATCAAAATGTTGCATCATTAGTGCTCACCATCACCCTATCTTATAGTATATCGAAATATTTTTGGTTTCTTATTCTTACAATGTTTTATACTGTTGTTAAAGAATATAAGGAGCGCAATAAGAATACTATTTGTGATATCAAAATTATTATTTTTCTAGGTGTAAGTCCCCATCCTTGGCGTTTTCGCTAATAATAAACTCTGAGAAACACATAAACTTTATTGCAAACGATGAAAAGATGGCTTGCTACTGGATTGATGCGTTCCATATTTTGACTAGTAAGTACCATTTCATTAAGTTTCTACACAGATAAAGATAAGTCAGCTCTTGGACATTCATGATTACATCGACCCTTATTCTAGGCAATCTGACAGACTTATTACAACCCTTAGAAATTATTTACCGGTGCTTCTTCTTAATAACATGGTAGATATTAATGCACTAATAATATTATTGCTTTTTTAGATACTTCACGTAGGAGTACCTACTATCACGAAGAACTAGATTCTATAGTTGAAATGGACCTCAGACTGAAACTTCTTGATCTCCAAAACGTCGTCATACCAAAAGTACCCCCTCCTATTCCTCCACCACCTCCCGAAAAGCCTTCTGTTGCCTCAAGAAAAAGACTATCCTCGAATAAGATATTTTAAACTACAGTTTGCCTTACGTTTGTAAAGTGTGTATTTTTATTCGGATAAATAAATTAATTTCAACTTTATTCGTTAGATAATATTATACCCAAGTGTTATTAAATTGGCGTTATATCAAAATATATGGCTTTGATTATTTATTGACCACTTGCATATAGCAATTTTAACTCAAATTGATTCTTCATGTCTTAATCTAATATCTTTAGTAATACAGAATGAATTCGGGAAAATTTAAGGGCAGATTCGGCAGGTAAAAATACCTTCTCTTTGAGATCTGCGCTTTCGTTCGTTAAATGAGTGCCAGCTCGAGTGCCTATAATTTTTGGTCTATATACCAGGAGAAGATGCGACAATGCTGTTCGTGCTGTAAAAGCTATCCCAGAACTTGACGCCTGAAGTACCAGTGGTGCTTTGATAGGGTTGCCTAAATTTGAGGGATTTTTACTTGGGGGATATAATGTTCTGATAGATGTTACACGTTTCGCGGATAGAAAGCACCCTCTCTCTTTGAACCAACCTACCGCTTTCCATTCATAAACTGTGACGAGTAATTGTTTGAAAAAGTAGCAATTCTGAGGAATTTTTGTGCTTGTTCTGGTAAAATTTTGTCCGGGTCATCTGGCAACGCCGTGTTTTGACAGATGCGCCATAATATGAACAATTTTCTAATTGTCTAAGATCCGTCCACTTGAATCTGCAGGTATCCATTTTTTTATAAAACTTATTTTTTATGAACCGTAAATAATAGTAGACCAGATTTGCCAGGCAACCCTGCTGTAATCTACATGCAGAAGTGCAGATTCATGCTGCGGTAGTTGTCAACAACACGGCCAATACGGACCAGTGTTCCTCAGGGCTCGGTCCTAGGACCCAATCCACGACGTCCCTTGCCTCAGCAACTGTGAAGTCTACCTCTTTGCTGTCGACACTGCACTCGTTCACTCGTTCACTTCTGGTTCACTATGGGTTGCAGAGTGCGGTAGACTAAGTACTAAAGTGGGCGGAAGGGTAGCTGTTTAAAATTAATCATTCGGAAACGCAGGCTATTTATTCTACCAAAAGACGTCGCGGCACCCGGCCGAGGTTTCGGTAGACGTAAATCATATACCATAGACAAATTCTTCCAAGTACCTCGGTGTCACCCCTGAAAAAGGCTTGACCTGGCAGAAACACACGGCAGCGTCGAAAACAAAATTTCAAATTGCGTTTTGGCAACTATATCCTTTGTTATGTAGATCCTCCAAATTCAGTTAAGCACGAATTAGTGAAAGGAAAGGAGTCAACATAGGCTTATGATTTTATAGATCAATGAAATAAAAAAAATGTATGAAATTATTGTAGAGCTATAGATTTATTCATCTATCTATATGTGTAAATATAATGTGGTAAAAACCTGAGAATAACACCTTTAACTCGAAAACTTTGACCTGTACTATCAAAAAAGTAATCTTATTGATTTTTTTCCGATAAAATGTCTAGGACGTGATCAGGATCGAGAGCAATATCCAGGTGAATAGAGATCAAAGCGAGTGAACTCAATCTTTCATGGCCCATAAAATTTCGCGGTAGAGTTTTAATTCGTTCCATAGTGGAAAATGATCTTACTACGCTAGCTGTTGTCACTGGCTAAGTGGCTAAGGTAGTTAGAAGTATTGTGATAGGTCCCGTGATAATAATTTTCCATTGCAATAATCCAACAGTTTTAAAACTCCGGTTGATTGATCAATGGACGGTATCTTCGCACACCACAACCTATATTCTGCCTTCACTGCCGTTGATGATATCTTATCGTCGAAGTATGGCGCTAAGTTGTCTAACTCATCGGCTTTACTCACATAAGCAAATCCTGGGAGGAGAAGTTGGATTAATAATACAAGGATAATGAAGGTGAACAACAAATAAATGTCCAATATTGTAGCGATAAAAGAAAATACCATAGGTACGAAAGACGACTTTTTATAGTGGTAAATGAATATCCCTACTTCCCTACCAATATTATAAATGTGAAAGTGTGTATGTTTGTTTGTATGTTCCGCTTTCACGCCAAAACGGCTGAACCGATTTCGCTAAATTTTAGCACAGGTATAGACTAGACCTCAAGAACGGACATAGGCTAAACATTTTCAATTATTCGTTTCACATATTTACATAATATGATTGAGATCACTTGAATTTTCTCAGTTTGTCTTTTATGTTTAAATCTGAAAAAAATTTCTATCGGAATTTCGGGGGGGGCTTACGCCCCCTGAGCCCCCTCCTGGCTACGTGCCTGGCCACCGGCTTGGTGTTTTCTTGCCAAGACACACATGCAAAGCCTTCAAGTACTGCAAAAACCAAAAACGAACAATTTGCAATGCTCCATGGTATGTCTCAAACGAGACACTGCACAGAAACCTTGACATTCCTTACTTGAGAGATTATGTCAAGCTTCAGGCGCAGCGACATTATAGCCAAGCGGAATCGCACAGCAACCCTCTGTTGCGTGACTGAGTGTACTACACAGTGGAGCAAGTACGTAAGCAGTCAAGGCCACCGGCTCGCACTGTGATCAAAAAATTAGCGCTAACTTTCAGTAAACTCAAAATTACACTCTAATAAAACCTGAATCAAAATTTGTTTTTAGTTTACCTCAAAATTAGTCCGTGTACCAAGTCCAAAAGCCTAGGTGTGTCCTCTTAAAGTAATACACTTCTATTTTTCTTTGCTCTTCTCCTTTTTTCTTCTCTTTCCCTTTCTCTTTTTTCTTAACATTGTCTGCTTTCTGGACAACCAGGAGTGACAGATTCGACTAACGCACATTAGACCGCGACAAATGGGCAAAGGCCCTACAGTTTTGGGGTCATTTGTTGGTCATTTCGCCGGTTCTCCTGGTATAGACTCCATGACTAAAGTGAACCGTGGTAATTTGACACCACTGACTACTGTCAGGCATGACAGGTTGCTTTTCTTCGATTTTGACGTGAAGCTAGCCCCCATATTTTAAATTTTTGTTAAATGTTTTTTTGAAACGTTGCGGTCATATTTGTGTGTTTAGAATCATAGGACAACAGAACTACAATAAAAGGCTACCTTGCCATAATATTTTTTTTATTCTACTGCCTTTTTCTTAAGTATCCATACTATCCATTACCGTCAAATATCAGCTGATTATCTAGTCATATATCAAAATTCCCCATATCGACAAAGGATAATTCTGACCCATCTGTCCACACCAGATAGACATAGCCGTATTTTGTTTCAGTTTTTGTGCAATACATATTCATTTTGTACTTGCTAAAAATTTTATTTAAAAAATTTCATTTGCATACAAAAAAATGCTAAAGCAGGTTGCCGTTACGGACTAATATGAAGATGTCACTTCCTGATGGATGCTCGTGAAATAGAGTTTATATAATAAAAATCAGGACAATTTAATTTATTTAGAGTACTGCCTATTTCTTGCATTTATTTTTATCTGTGATCTAAAACTCACATTTCTATTTAACCGTATTATTTGTATAACATGAAATTATTTTAATTAAGCTTTACACTTTTCGGCAACTGCGCTGAATATAGAAAATATAATCTTAACAAATAAGCCTTGCTAGATGCTTGGAAGGTATTTTTTTCGTAAGTACAAATTTTATTAAAGTCGTTCTTATTTAAACTACATTTTTTGTTGATTTGATGAACTTTGGAATCTGGAGTATAACAAATAACATGTTGATGAAATTGTATAGGAGAATGATTGTAATCAACAAAGAGAGCATCCTGTTCGCTTGAAAAAAAGGATTTTTACTTGATTCAGCAGTCACAAATGTGGAGTGCTGTGAAACATTCAAGAAGCAGAGTTGAAGGCAGTTCATTCCAGTGCCAACTGATGCTGATCAGAGATATATAAAATATAGATTTACCTGCTACTCTATTCTACCCAAGGCATATATCTCGACAATAGAGTGCTTCAGGACAATGGCTAATGTGTTTCACAATCATGGCGACTGTAAGTATGTTAAATCGAGTGATTTGTAGTGCTTCTCTGTTAATATTGGTATTCTATAGTTGATATGAGAAACTCACGGCAATTTCCACAGATTTCAAGTTTGAATCTGAACTTCAACATAAAGGGATTTGTTACTTTAGTAAATATGTATAGCTTGAAAAGAAGCTGATGAAAGTGAGTTGAAGGTTAGATATTATAATAGTAAATAATCAACATTTTTGAATTATAAAATCTTACATGAAGTTTGATATATTTTGATGATGCTGTAAAAATTCCTAAATTATATACATATAATCATATTTTCCGTCAAACTTCTGCATTCTGATTAACACTGTCATGTAAATGTGATTAGATATTCCTGTTATAATTCTTATGAAAGCTCTGGTAACTCTAGTAACCTTACAGTTGTTAATGATAACTATTATTTCTTTTTGAAATTTGTTTCCATCACTTATTCTAACAATTTTTCCATGCAGGTGTTGCAGAAGACCATCACCAGAAATGAAAATATTTGGACCATAAATATTATTAATGTGTTCATACAATATAAAATTTATAAGAAAATATATTATCAGGTATAGATTTTTTACTGTTCTCAAAATTTCAAACAACTAGGATTTATATGGATGTATAATAGCCTGTGTTATTGACGCTGCTACTTTAACAGATAAGTGACTACTTATTTGTCAAAACAGCAAAAATATGTTAATACACATTTCGTTATAAAATCTTCCATATATCATTAGTAAATAAATGCCAATATACAGGGTGACTTCGAAGTTGAGTCATTTATTTTAACAGTGAGTAGATCTGATCAAAAGAAATGTTTTTTTCCTTTACCATTTTCCTGGTAAAATTAAAGTAACAAAGTTATAGCCCTTTGGAAGTTTGAGTACCGCCCTGTCTCAATAACAATATTATGTGGTCGTGTTTGGCGACAATGGATATAATCCGCCGTATCGGTTCATCGCATCGGAAACAAAAAAGCGAAAGAATTTGGAACGATGTTTTTACAGGTATCTCATTCATTTGTATACAGTTAGTGTCAGTGAATAGTGGTATGTGTTGCGTGGCTCAAACGAAATAAAAAATGGCACATGTTTATGCGGATCGGTTTCCCAATCGAGTGCAACCAACCTTTGTTAATGTAGTACAACGGGCTTGTGAATCAGGTGACTTAAGACCTCACAGGGGACCTCACGATCAAATACAGGTCCGCACTGAAATACTTGTCGGGAGGATACTTTATAAAACAAGGTAAAATTTTTTTTTTATTTTTACACACATATTTTGGTTTATCTTCCTTCTACAATCATTATCTGAAAATTAATGACTCAACTTCAAAGTCACCCTGTATAATTATTATATTATAGATTTATGCAAAGAGCCGACAGCGTCGCATGCGGCGGTCGTGCACAATCTGACAATTCAGAAAAAATGGCGATTGACACTGACATAAATCAACCGTGTTGCCCTATGGATCGCACGTGATTAAGCCTTCTTCAGTGTATATGTTTTGTGCCAGCAAACATTACAGAGTGATTACAGGGTTGGGACAAGGCTGCATCGGTGCATCCACCCATCCAGACACAAATAAAAATGACAGCAATAAATCGTCATACTTTTCAAAGCCGCCATTTTTTCTGGATGCCAACAGTTGTCAGGCTGAGGTTCGGTAACCGCACTCTTTCTCATTCTTCCGTATGAGTTGACTCTCCATGGGTGCAAGCTCTTAGACTAAATAGTAGTATTTTCTAATTATGTTATATAAACGCCGTTCCAGTAGTTTCTATCTATCCACGAAATTTTTAAATGCCGGAGACCGGAGAGGATATGGTGAATTCCATATTTCATACCCTGTATGAAAAATTGCGACAGCATCGTGAAAAAATTTTCAAGTACACAAGAATGGAAATTGGAACATTCGATTATATATTAAATTTAGTCAGGTGTAAATTAACAGAAAATTGGACCAATTTTAATCTAACTCCAATAGGATCAGAAGAAAGTTTAATTATAACATTAATGTAAGTAACAGGTATATTTACGTTGTTTTAAAATAAAAATAGGAGTATTTTTAGTTACGTGCACAATTTATTTCTTTTGCCACCTCATCCCACAATTTATCCAAAATATACCGATTATGGTGGTTCTGGTCTTTTTGATCCCATAGACTGGGCCTCACAAACACAAAATCTATCAATTTTTGACAATCCATCCTTAAAATTGCAGATCGACAAAGCGGCGAAAACAAAATATTTTGAGTCGATCTCACCGCTCGATAAACTCGCTCGTACTCGTCACGTTACAATGTATGCTTGAATCTGATTTCGGCGCGCTGTTTGCTTGCCGGTCCACTATGTTTTCAGCCACGAATACTCACTCTCCGCGTGACGTCATGCGCGCCGGCGGACTAAATTAAACAGTTGAGCATCCGGCACGTTTTCAGCCTTAACCACAATTTCGTGCTGTTAACTCTAGTTCATGGTTCTGTGCGTTCTATGCTCCGCTTCGGTGTATGTTTTGTGCCTAGCTTCATTTCCATTCCCATTCCAATGTATATGTTTTGTCGTTTTGTGTTTCCATCCCCATCTTTCTGTGTTAAATGTAGGCATTTTTTGAGTCGCTTTTTAACACGGTCTTCGCAACTTACTGCTGTATTTATTTATCGTCGTAAATTTGAAGAAAGAGAAACAGAAGCTAGATTAAAAATTACATCTGTACACTTACAGGTAATGGATTCTCCATATCGTCACCTTGTAAAAAACTATTTCAAAGCCATTTTCTTTAGAGGCATGTTTTAGCGCCAATAGTTTCTGTGATATTTTTTACAAATCAAGTTTCAAACACGTTGAAATTACCTGTTTCAATTGGATTGAAGCCATCACAAAATTTAGCTTTTCACACAAAATTGCATGGAAGTGTGAAAAACAAACTAACTACTGAAACCTCTTTCTGGCAGAATGTCTGGGATAGCAGGCCAACGTCTATCAGAAGAACGCAAGGCTTGGCGTAAAGATCATCCTTTTGGGTTTGTGGCTAGACCAACAAAAAATGCAGATGGTACTCTAAACTTGATGAATTGGGAATGCAGTATTCCTGGAAAGAAGGGAACTCCCTGGGAAGAAGGACACTATAAACTGAGGATGCTGTTCAAAGAAGACTATCCCACCAGTCCTCCAAAGTGTAAATTTGAACCTCCTCTCTTCCATCCAAATGTGTATCCTTCAGGTAAAGTGATACTCCTTATTTTTAAATACATTGAATATCACACTGTGTGAAAAGCACTAAAATAGAAAATAAAATATCAACACTCCACAAACATGTGTAAGAGCCATATCGTTAGTCATTCCTACAATTGTACCGTGTTATGTATGACTTGACCAAGCGACAAATCTGTTTTTCATGAGGATGAATAAACTTTAACAATTCATTAAATATAAACTCTACAATTGTGTTGAATGATTTTTGTTCTGTGAATAGAAAATGATATTACAAATTTATGTATGCAATCATTTTTTCAAACACTCTTATACCTGAAACTTAATGGAATGAAATGGCGCTTGGTCAAATATTGCTTTCAAAAAGAATGCTCATTTTTCAACACAAAAATGTTACATGGTCATGCTATCCAAAATAAGGAAGGCATTACAGAAAGATTATATTTGTATTTTAGTAATTAGCATCAAATTCATTGAAAAATTAAAACTACACAAATTAAAACATTCTGGAAACCAAATAAGAAATTGCTTGAATGATAAATGTAATAAACTCATTTATATACTGATTCAAAAATAAAATGAAGTAAGTAACCACACATTTTTGAAATGAATCAAAAACCTGAATCTAAAATTTGTATTATTCATCTTCAAGCTTGAAATCTGGTTGCCCATTGAACCCATCTATATCTTTCTTTATCTACTTTAATCGCCAACTAGATTACTATAGAATTTCTTGGAATCCTTGGGTATTAGTAATGATTTTAAATTGACTAGCTTCTTTTCTGCTATAGGTTTCTCATTTGGCCACAGTTTTTCGAGGGGTTTACTAAGCAATGCTTGAATCGAAGCATCTGATGGTCTGCCACGTCTTTTCTCAATATTGGTCCCTTTATGCAAAACTTTGATAGTGCTAATGTCTACTACACAAAATCTTGTTGTTTGGTCATGTGTTACAAAATAACAACAAATATTGCGCTTGGCGCTTAGTCGAAAATGTTTTTGCTTTTGAACCTCAGGTCTCTATACTACCTGCATTTTTTTATAGGTAAGTTGAACTACTGTGCATCAGATGGCAGCAAAATCCGCAAAAATTATCAAATGGCGCTTGGTCAAGTTATACATAATGCAGTCCAATTGTAGGACAAATTTATGGCCTTCTTGATCTTCATAGTCTTTTCCCTTAAAATAGAGTGCTGACATGGAACAGAAAAGTATTAAAATCAAGGATGCCATAAAGGCATCCTGCAGTTGTAGGAATAACAGATGATACAACTTTTAAGGGAAGCAAAAAAAGCTCTACCACAGACAGAGATCTGATTATCAAATCTAACCATAAATCAAAAACTGTTTGGAAAATCATCAAGTCTGATAGAAATATAGAATGTAAGCTAAAGTTAAGTGTGAATATTCTGATCACCAACTCTAGTGAGATTGCTGACAAATTCAACAGTCACACACAGAGGACTCAAAAAACCTGAGAGGAAATAATATGCCCAAGCATGTACCTTTCAATGTAAATAGTCTGCAGAGCTTGTTTTTCCATCCAGCCACAGAACAAAATATATCTAACATAATCACAAATTTGAAAAGATCATATTCTACTGGAGATGATGCTTACAGTGCCAATTTACTGAAGAAATGTTACAGGCAGATATTAGACCCAGTAACATATTTGGTTAATCTATCCCTAGAAAATGGGAAATGTCCTGAACAGCTAAAAATATCTAGAATTATCCCTAAACCCAAATCAGGAAATGCCAAGAACATCAACAACTACAGACCAATATCCCTCTTAAGCCCATTTGGAAAAATTTTAAAAAAAATGATGCCAATTTCTTTATTGAACATAACTTTTTCAATCCTTACCAATTTGTTTTTCTCAAGGGAATGTCCACAGCTAAAGCCATTTCTTCTTTGAACATGCTGTTTACAGCTATGGACAAAAATAAGAAAACAGGAATATTTGTAGACCTGAGCAAATCCCCCCCAACCACATGAGGTATTGGAGTTTGTCAGGGCTCAGTTCTCTGATCTATGCTATACATAATCACCATAAGCGATTTTAACAGCAACAACTTTGTTATGTATGCAGATGATACATCTCTCTTAGTAGATGCTACCACAGTGCCCACCTTAGCTGCATCCACATTTGAATTTACATGGTTTAATGAGTGGTTTGTTGATAATGGCCTGGCATTAAACAGAGAAAATTCATTGTTTGTCCATTTCAATCGGAACCAGATCACAATCTGCTAATTAAATCGCATTAAGGGGCAACTGAGCACTTCCAGACAGTGAAGTTTCTTGGACTTCATCTGTCTTACAATTGTCGTTGGAACCATCACATGGATCACCTTTGTAAGAAAATCACTCCAGTGGGATATTGCATCAATAGACTCAGGTTTATAGTTGATAGTCCCCTACTATTAATAAACTAGTTTTCATACTTTCAATCAGCTATAACCTATGGTATACTAGCTTGGGGGCATCTTATCTAGCAAATAGGGTTTTTATCATTCAAAAGAGAATAATAAGATTAATGGCAGTGGTAAACAAATTGAGTAGTTGTAGAGAGATTTTTAAAGGGATGGGAATTTTAACCTTAACATGTATCTATATTTATGAGCTATTGATACATGTCAAATCAAATTTGACAAGCGACTATAATACAAGGAATGATTTACCACTGAAATTCCCTGCTCATATGCTTGGCAAAATGGAAAATGATCCTTGCCTGATCAGGTCAAACAATTGAACACATATTTGTAGTCATTGTCCTTGTGTGAATCAAACATATTCATTTATCCATTCTATGTTATACATATTATGGAGTAAATAAATATCTATAACAGTGTTTTGTGTTTTTAGTATCTTTTCAGTCGATTTTAATTTTTGCTGTTAAATATTTTGTTTGCACTATTTTTTTTTCTTTAAAGGTACCGTGTGCCTATCACTACTGGATGAAGAAAAAGATTGGCGTCCTGCAATTACCATAAAGCAGATCCTGTTAGGTATCCAAGATCTCTTAAATGAGCCAAACATTAAAGATCCTGCACAAGCTGAAGCATATACCATCTATTGTCAGAACCGCTTAGAGTATGAGAAGAGGGTTAGAGCACAAGCCAGGGCAATGAGCCATCAAGAATTATAATAGGTTATATAGCTTTCTATTTGATTACTATTCTCTTAATATTCCCTGTTTGTCTAAATTTACCTGTTACATAATCCAACAGATTCGTATTCTAATTTATTTAGGTAGCTTTTTCTATCAGAGTATGACGTTTTTGTAATACATAATAAATTATAAAACTCTGAAAGTTGACTCTCATTACTTGTGTCATGATAATGGCAGTTGTACATAAAATTGTCCATTGTTATATTGGAATTGTAGATTAAAATCAGTTGAAAAACATCTAAACTCCAACATATTGGATTGGGAAATTACATGAAAATCCAACTTTATACATTCGCGCTTGCAATAGTTTTCAGGCTTCTATCAAATTGCTATCTGTAATTTAATATGGAATCACTTTATGCAAACTCACGAGTTATGACGTAATCCCACGAGACCCTGCATATGCAAAAAAGTATTAAGTAATACACTGTTGTCACATTAGGTGCCCATGTTTCTGTTGTGAGCTTAAGGCCTGCGGCTGAAGGGCCCCGAGGGCGCAGCGAAATCCAGGTCCCTACTTTGCCATATGAATGAATGAATCTTGAAATTAGAGGCATTCCGGACACCATAAGGAGCCAGTGCATAGGCTGCTTAAGCGGGCCCTTATGCACCTCTACATTCCTTAGATCACAAGCCTCGCCCTTTTAGCGAAGTTGAGAATCTGAGAGTTGTCTTGCAATCCACGTCTCCATTTTGCTCCTAATTCTATGCGCGGTTACTCCTAAAGCTGGCTCAGGACGAGCTTCTCGCTGATTCTGTCTTCGCCAGAGCGTCCGCCGTCTCATTGCCCCTTATCCCAGCGTGCCCCGGTACCCACATTAACGATACCGGATGCCTCGCTGCGAGGCAATCCAGAGCCTCACTGCATTGCAATATAAGACTCGTAGTAATTTTACGGGCACTTAGTGCCTTTATTGCATCGTGACTGTCGGATAAGATTGTTATTCTTCTCCTAGGCCCAACCTCCTCCAGAATGCGAGATACACAAGCCAGAATCGCAAAGATTTCCGCCTGGAAAATAGTGGTGTATCCACCGAGAGGCAGAGATAGCCTGGTTCTAGGCCCAGAGATCCCAGCACCTGAGCCCTCTTCGGTGACCGAGCTGTCCGTGTACCAGACCTGCCTGCTCACTCCGGAGAGTCTCCGGCGTCCCACTTGCGATTGAAGCGATATTTAGGGGTAATACCCCTGCTTAAAAAGGCCGAGCTCCTCCCTCTGCAATTCGACTAAGATAGCAGTATGCCCCTTGACAGGATTCAAGAAGGCCCAGCTGCCCTGACTCCACAGTCAATGAGCGACTGCTCTCGCTTCACCGCGGATCACCAGATCCAACGGTGGCAGACCCAACAGAGCTTCCATTGCACTCAATGGCGTTGTTCGCACTGCACTTGTAATGCTAATACAGTCCAAACGCTGAATTTTACTGAGTTTGGCCTTAGTTGTTTCAATTCTAATGCAAGGCCCCCAGACCAGGGAGCCGTACAAGAGAGATGGACGTACTATCGTCGTGTAGAGCCAGAATACCACTTTGGGTTTAAGCCCCCACCTTACACCGACAACACTTCTGCAGGCCCACATTGAATTGCAAGCCTTGCTAACCTTGTATTCAACATGCTCTCTCCAGTTCAGTTTGCAATCCAGGATAATTCCCAGATATTTCACTGATTGGGACAGAATTAATCTAGTCCCCAAGAAGGTCGGCATGACCAGCCCGTCAAGCCTTCTTGTCCTAGTGCTCGGTCTTTCCAGCATTAAGAGAAAAATCGACTTCCCTGCACCACGATTCCACAGAGCGCCCTGCATAATTTCAGAGACTGTTCTACAAAAACGTCCCCTAACTACTATGCTTAAGTCATCAGCATAGGCTTGCACGTAGACATGCACACTGCTGAGCCTAACGAGGAGTTCGGTCACCACGATGCACCACAGTAGGGGTGACAGAACTCCGCCCTGAGGGCAGCCTCTAGCTACGCTGACGCTGCAGCTTACGTCATTCAGCATAGCTGTTGCTACCCGAGTAGATAGGACCCAATCTATTAGGATTGATCCAACCCCGTGCCTAACCAAGGCATGTCTGATAGAGTCTGTTGTAGTGCAATTAAATCAGCAGCGGTGGCCGCAGTAGTAGACTCTTCGGTCTCCTGATCAGTTGCCGTCCGCTGTGCTGGTTCGAGTCCCGTCCCAGGAGAAATTTTTCTCTTGGCTATGGATGTTGTGATTGTCCGTAGGTGGTAGATGGTCTCTGACTGTCGAACGCGGAGGTACCACGCGGCGGATCTCTCTTGAAGGTAGGAAATTTCGGATCACAATTAATGCCTTGTCGACAGTACGGCCCATCAGAGCCGGCGTCGCTCACGGTTCGGTTCTAGGGCCAATCCTTTACTCACTTTTCACGCATGATGTTCCTTGCCCTAGCGACTGTGACGTCTATCTATATGCTGATGACACTGCACTGGTAGCCCTTTTGCGTTCTGGGAATCTGGTTTCACGACATGTTACAAAGTGCGGTGGATGAGGTATTGCAATTCGGCAGATCGGTGGCTAAACAAAATTAATTACTCGAAAACGCAGGCTATCTATTGTACTGGGAAAATTCTGCTAAGTATCTCGGTGTCACTCTTGACAGGGGGATGACGTGACAGAAGCACACTGAAGCGTTAAAAACTGAATTTAAAATTACGTTTCGGCAAATCTACTCTATGCTATGTAGTACCTCAAAATTAAGTTTGATCAACAAAGTTCGGCAATACAAGATGGTTATCAGACCAGCAATCACTTACGCATGTGCAGCATGGTGTTTTCTCGCCAAAACTCATATGCGTTATCTGCAGGTTTGTAGAACAGAACGAGACCCTTCACAGAGACCTCGACATTGCCATACCTAAGGGGCTACATCAACCAACAGGCGCAGTTACGTTATAGTCAAGCGAAATCGCACAGCAACCCTCTGTTGCGTGAGACAGTAGACTACACAGTCGAGCAAGTTCGCAAGCACGCACGACTCGTACTGTGAACAAAATAAAATCATGCAATTCTAGGTCCAACCAAAATTATGGTTTTTGCCCCTCATACAAATTCCTAAATAAATTTTTGGATCAATTTAAAATACCCGAATACCAGTTAAGAATAGCAAGGCACCCCCTTAACTGGGGCACTTCACCCTCTTTGCTCTTCCCCTTCCTTCCTTTCTTCCCCCTTTCTTTCTCCCTGACCTCGCCTTGTATCTGAGCAACCAGACCTGACAGACTTACTGACGCATGTGAACAAAGTTAATGTAACACTTGAAAATTATCGCAGCTGATTTGCTGTTTAAAATGTTCTAAGAACCCAGGAAAGTTTCCGACCTCCCTGGTATTTACTGAGAAAGGCAGTACTGTCGTTGAAGTACCACTACCGGCGTCCACCGCTTTAGCTGTATAGCCATGTTGTTGACAGAATGTATTATACGTTTATTATAATACATGTCGAATAGAAAAGAGATTAAAAAGCCATGTCCCCATCACATTGATATACAATTACAGTTTATGTTTTGAAAGCAATAATAGTGAGGTTATCCAACTTGATGACCCTCGTTATCAGTTGCTAACGCACACAAAACTATCGGTGGGGTCTTGTTATTCAATTAACGCCTGTTGAAACAGTCTCTATACAGGCACCATTGCACTACATCAGCATCAAATAGTACACAGAAGCACATTTTCAGAAACAATCATGGCAACAGGTGGTAACATAGGTAAGTACCTTTTATTTTTAGACTATTAAATTGTTAAATGAGCTGAATTTTTTTCTGGTACAAGAAATATGTCCACAAAATTGATTGGTATGTGAATCCTTGTGATCTTTTTAATATAAACTGCATAAGTATTTGATTTTTATATATTAGGGTGATGCTGGTATACTATTTTATTTTTAACTGCATGTTATAGAAATACTAATAATAGTTTTTTTTAATACATAAGCCAATTTGATATCGTAAAATATTACGGATAATTTTTTGCGAAAAAAAAATTACGTTATGCTTCATACACCATTAGTTCTGGAGGCAAACAATTGTTCATGTTGAAATAACCTAAAAGTTTCCATCTACCAGGGGAGCTCTGGAAGTTTAGCGTAACGGCTTCAAATCCTGATGTTGAATGTGACACATTATGAATTATTCAATAATGACTCATCACTCAATATCTTATTCCATGATATGGTTGAGTACAAAGGTATTTAACGTTCTAGCTACAAAAACATTCTAAGCATCATTAGTGACAAGTGATAATACATTGCGTGTCAAATGACACTTATTTTTTGAATAAGTCAACAAGCTGGAATTCAGGGTGATGAAACTGATGAAGGAATTATTATGTTTTAACATGTTGGATGCCCTTTCAAATTGAACTACCAACTATTAAATTTCAGTTTACTGCTTTAAATTGTTACTAAATTCAATATAGAGTATTTTATTCGCTGAAATTGGATAATTTTCCACGGATAACACAACCACGCATATGTTGCAGGGGCACTCAGCAACAATTTTTGGTCCTTAGTGCCCACTGACGTACACCTGTCGTCACGTTATATATTGGTTTATTTATTTTTTGGAATACAAAAATAAAAATAATATACTATATAGTACAAAAAACATCAAAATAACTTACAAAAAACAACTAAGACATAACACGACATACATGAAATAAGAAACTAACATATTCAAAAAATAAATTAATTTTTTGGACAAAGAACGTAATTTTATAAAAACAAAGTAAAATTGCTGTATAAAAGCGTTCTAAATAACGACATTTTATGAACTATTACTCATTCCTATGAAATTGTCCAAAACATGATTCGAGACACACTTCTGACGCGGTAGACTCTCAACTGCCGGGTCCGTTCCACAGCATGCATTTACATTGGCTGCGTCGGAGACGACACACTGTCGTCATAGGCACTGCTATAGAAAACCGCATGACGACACAGTGTCGTCATGGTCATCGAACGTGTTAATATAAAAATAACAGTTGAAAATTGTAAGATGGCCGCTATTGTGGCATCTTGAAAGACTTTTTCTCATAGAATGACTATTCATCATATGTGATACCTGATTTTGAAGCTCCTTATCAGCACTTTTTAACCATAGTATATAATCTTTCAAAATGACAGACTGTCAGGTTCTAAAAGTTTTTCCTCGGGGTTTTTGAATAGCAACTCATAATCAAGACATTATGTTATATCAATATACTTATGTTGGAATGGTCTATCAGAATGTGTAATAAAAAAATGGGTCATTCATAAAAAAATGACATTTTTAAATAGCATTTATCTCTTAATATAATAATAATTATAAATAATGCTGCTTTTCCAATCTGACAACATATAATTAATTCATAATCCAGGCTTTTTAAAATATAATTTTTTTTCCAGCTTTGTTATCTGTATCAAACAAAATTGGTCTGGTAGAATTGGGCAAAAACCTGCATGGTCTAGGGTATACTTTGGTAGGTAGTGGTGGTACAGCATCAATTTTGAGAGGAGCAGGACTACCGATCAAAGATGTTGCTGAAATTTCTGGAGCACCAGAAATCCTTGGCGGCAGGGTAAAAACATTACATCCTGCTGTACATGGTGGAATTTTAGCCAGGTAATCGGTTTTAGGCGCTTTCAAGCGTAGTATTTATTGATTGTCTACACTTTTATCTAGACTATGTAGATACTGCATAGACAATGCAATCAGTAGCATATCTAAGTGAGGAATAGCCATGTGGAAAAACTCACCATTTTTCTGGATAAAAGCATTCATTACAATATTATTTTTGTCTATATAGTCGAGCAAGTAACCAACAAAGAAATTGATAGAATACACTTTACTGTAGGTTAAGTAAACACAATTGAATATCCTTCAAGTGGAGATAAATGTGAATAAATTAGTAGTAACAGATGTCGCTAATTGCGAACGTTGCAGGCAATAAATAAATAAGCCCATTTATAAATTTCAATCCGCCCAGTAGAACAAATACCTGATTTGGTGACATCTTCAGACTGCTATTGTTAAAAACTTGAAAAGCATCATATAAACAATAATGGGCTAGGTATAATCTACAATGCAATATACATGGCCTACATGAATATCAAGTTGTTTACAGATCTAATTCACTACTGCAGGTAATATCAACTCAAAATATTTAATTATGCACATTACATCAAACGAGGGGTTTTACTGAGCGTTTTGGCTACTTTATCGCTTTTAAAGCTTCCGATTTCAACAAATCTCTGGCACACATCAACCGTTTCGTGTGTTTTACTTAAACATTCAAGTACTACATTGTTTGGCCGAATCAAACATATATATGATGAGGTTCAAATTTGGCTAACGTCGAAATGTGTACGAGAGAGAAGCGTCCAATACGTATATCAGAAAGAGTGCACCGATGGCGTCCGTGGCCGCGTCACTCGGGTTGCTAGGCAACGAGGGCTTCTATATCTTTCTAAAACACGTATTGCACGTTTCTCGCGCCTCTCGTACACGTAACGGCGTCAGTGGTATTTGGTTTTTAGTGTATATGATTTCATTTTATTGCACCACCACGGTGGCTTTGTTCAACTACACTGACAATAATGATAGTAGGAAGACAGATAAATAAAATATTCTGGCATTATTGTTATTGTATTTTAAAAAGGCCACCGTGATGGTCAAAAAATCGTACAATACACAGGAATTTAAACATATATGTGGCTAGACTATATGAACATAAAAACCACATTAAGTTCAAGTGTCTCACAGTGAACTTCTCTGCACTTTTTCAAATCCTCTTATTTTTAATATTGTTTTCCTTCAGACTTATACCCTCAGACCAAGAGGACTTGAAGAAACAGAACATTGACATGATCAAAATAGTGGTATGCAACTTATATCCTTTTGTGGAGACTGTTAACACACCTAATGTCACACTGGATAATGCAGTAGAGAACATCGACATTGGTGGTGTGACTTTACTAAGGGCAGCTGCCAAAAATCATTCAAGGGTGACAGTGGTAGTTGATCCTGATGATTATCCCAAGATTATCAGTGAAATGAGGAATACCGCTAATCAGGATACCTCTTTGCAGACAAGGTGAGCCTTTTGATTACTACATTATAAATCTATATGAACTGGAGACTAATTTTCGTAATATTTGATATCTTGATAGAGATACATTATTGTTAGTTTATTTAAAATTTACAATGTATAAATTGTGGGTATTCAAGAGAATGTCACTAAAATATTAAAGACAAAAGTGTTGCTATCGTTTTTTATATGCAAGCTCTAGCCTCAATTTTCACTAATATATAATTATCACCTACAATATCGTGGAACTAACAAATATTTCAAAAACTTCCGATACACACCAGTCGTTTAGTTTAAAGTAATATAGTTGTAGTCACCGTTCTTGGCGGTTACGTCATCAACGCCATATGAAATAAGTAAACAGATCGAGTCTCCGTATCATGGGAGGAACACTGCACATACTAATCTTCGCCGCATCTGCTACTCTCTCCAGTACGCATGAAGTGGGTAACAGGAGACCGCTGATTTCATTCTCTTCCTGGAAATACTCTAATAAATTTAACACGAGCTGTCGGTCTTCTCCATTGATCGTATTTCCGGGCATTGTACAATTTTATATTGAAGATTGATAACAGGACAACTCGAATTGCATGCCGATGTCAAGTAAGTTATCACTCTGGCAAATAGGATTGAAGGGCATTCATACGTAACGACAAAGTTTCCGAGTCACACAACTAAAAAACGTATGTCTTTCTGCTTACTGAACAAACGTTCACACACAAGGGTAGGTTGTATGTCTATGTACGAGGGAGATGGAGATGTATAAAGGGATACTGGTAGTATTACTTTGACCCGCCAAGAACCGTGACTACAACTATACTCATTTCTCCATACAGTTAGCCCTAGCAACGCTGACGCGGCAATCTGCTGCGATGCAAATATGTTCACCCGTCCCCATGAAAATATGCGTTAGTTTATTCTCTACGCTCAAATAATGGCTTTGAGTGTACACGTTTTTTAAATGTGAATCGAGTCGAATCTGTGTAGGATCGATTCCGTATCGGTTCTAACGGTGCTTCATTTTAGGTCGAAATAAGCGTCGTCCTGCTTCAATGGTTTTCACCTACGTACACGCAGTCAGTGATAATTTGTATTTCGTAATGGTATTTGCTACATTTTTCGACCGCTCGCTGTTGTTTTTACCACCATCGATGGAAATCAAAGATAACTCTAATATGAATCAAAACAACCCAGTAAAATTGAAATAAATAATTCTAATCAAAATGAAAACAAAATATTAAATCAAATGTTCGAACAGACTTCCGTTTTTGTTTTGACAGTAACCTAACTTATTGTAGAAGCCTGTGCGAATATTTTCTGGTTTAACATATTGGCGACGTAGCAGATTGCACGACCTTATGAGTAATGTGGTCACATGACTTTCGCTCTTCAGCCGGCCGCGATTTCTTTCTAACATGTGTTGATACACACTTCTCTCGCTTCTCTCTCGTACACATTGAACTCGAACAGTCCGACAAATTTGTTTTTTGAATTAAATATGCAACGTTAAATATAAGGTGAACGGATACCTTTGCTTTGGAGAACAATATTACAGTTATTAGAGTCACGTGTAGAAAAAAGCACTGCTGAAAGCTATAATATGTTACCATTAATATTGCACGACTTAAGTGTCATATGGACTAAATGGCAACCCTGGCTAAGTACTGCGTGCGCATCTAGTAGACTCAACCTTGCGTACCCCGCTTAAAAAAATCATACACCTTTGGCGGACTGCACCAAATCAGTAAATAGTCAAAAACAATTGATTCCGCTAACATACAGATATCGACAACCGGCACACACATAAACTTGTTAGTACCGTATCGTGCAGTCGTATGGTAGCCGTACCTACGAGGGATTTCTTTTAAGTTTTTCATATGGAAGTAAAACAACACGGTAGGCAGTTTTAAATGACTTTATTGTTTTTCGAAGTATTCTCCACGAAGATTAATACTCATCTGCATGCGTTCGAACCAATTTTCGAAGCACTTATTCCACTCGTTTGCTGGCAGATCCAAAACGGCATTTTTGAATGCGTCAACTGCTTCTTTGACCACGCAGTCTGTTTTTAATTTTCGGGAAAGTAAAGAAATCGTTAGGACTTAGATCGGGACTATATGGAAGATGGTCCAATAATTCCACGTTTTCTTCCGTTAAACACTGCCTTGTTTTTTGGGCTGTGTGCGAGCTTGCATTGTCTTGGTGGAGGATGATTCTTCTTTCGGGGTTGATTTTTCGAAGCTCGGAGATGACTATTGGCAAACAAATGGTGGTATACCAACAGTTGTTTGCTCATTAAGAGGAATTGTTGCAATATGACCCGCTTTTGACACAAATGTCGCGACCATCTTTTTCGAAACACTTCGAGAACGGATGACTTTTGTTGGCTTTTCTTCACCTTGGAACACCCAAACAGCCGACTGTCGTTTATTTTCTGGTTCATAACAGTAAATTCACGATTCATCACCACTAACAATGCTGTAAACATTTTTTGAGTTTCCTGAATTGAAACGGACAAGCGTTATTTGACACCAATTAACCCTGGCTGCTTTCTGCTCTTCAGTCAACAGGTGGGGTATCCAACGAGAAACTAATTTTCTTACTCCTAATTCTTCATACAACATTTTTTGAATTGAGGTCTTTGGGATCTTCAAGATTTGTCACATGTCTATCTTCAATGATGCGTTTGCGCACAGCATCGACGTTTTCCTGGGTGACTGCCGTTTTTGGTGCACCCACCCTGGGATCGTCGCTAAGACTCACCCGTCCACGTTTGAATTCTCCATACCAACGGGAAATTGTCGGCCGATGTGGCGCTTCGTTGCCGAAAACAGACAGTAACTCAGCAAGGCATTCTTGTTGCGATAATTGTCTCTGAAAGTTGTAATAAATTATGGCGCGAAAATTTTCTCGGTTGAGTTCCATTTTTCTAATGACTTGATGAGACTTAAAAATTCACTGTAGTGAGAACGCTGCACGTATTGTTGTGAAACGTTGAATTTAAGTTTACTAAAGAGTGAGGTTAAGATTCAGTACTGACGTTCGATCCGCGCGGCCTACTATGTTTCTATATGCGTCGTATGCGACTTCAATTCGTTTTTCCCACCGCGATCTGACCTGTCAAGCCCAGGTCTGATTCCACCTTGAACTTTACCTACAACAGATATATTGAGGGCAATAAAATTTTGACTATAGCTATTTCTATGCTGGCACTTTCCATATGCTCAGTATCCGTGCGACTAAATTGAAAATTTTATATCTTATTTAAACTTCATATACTTTTTGAAATAAGGACAATTTTACTTTCCAATAACGAGGAAGAATTGTAATCGCGAAAAAAAATCGAAAATGTCTGTATCTTTGGCCCTTCTATAACTAGAGAATTACAGGTCGGATTTTCATTAAATTTTCACAGTCGGTCTAGCGGCGGCGGAGCTAAGGGCAAAAGACGGGAAAAATAAATATTGATCAAACTTCGTTTTTTGGTATATTGAGAGGCACCCGATATTTTCGGAAAAAAATTGTATGGATGAAACCTTGGGTGGCCGTAGGAGATGGGGTGTGTCTCAATTTTTTGGTGTCAGTATACTTATGGGTTTTCAACCCCAGTAATTCAACATTAGTACATATTTCACATATCACAGATTTGCCCGTATTTCCGCGTTTAATACTTTGAGAAATGTTTTTTATACATACGTCGCGTTTGAGTCGCGGTCGTTCAAGACCGATACGAACTTCTACATACGCGCACACTTCGGTGACAGATGGTCGAACTTTTGGACAGGGAAGAGATTTCTAGCATTACCGAATGGGTGGGAGCTATGGACGAATTATATGGGCCTGTTTGGCTGACTTGATCCATTTAATTTAATTGTTATATATTTTCTTAGCTAACCTTTATCTCAGAGGGGCTAACTTTTGCCGAACATAATCCTTTTCGAAATGATGACAGCGTGCACAGTCGCCTAATTCGCGTCATTTTTGTTTGAACTACGTAAAATTTTCCTCAGGCAAAACTTGGCACTGAAAGCCTTCACGCACACAGCCGAGTACGATCTGGCTATCACAGACTACTGCAGGAAGCAGTTCTCTGCTGGAACCTCCCAGCTATCTCTAAGATATGGCATGAACCCACACCAGAAGCCAGCCCAGTTATTCACCACTTTGCCAAGACTGCCTTTAACTGTCGTTAATGGAGCTCCAGGATACATCAATTTATGTGATGCCTTGAATGCCTGGCAGTTGGTTAAAGAGCTTAAGGAAGCTTTGGGTATACCGGCTGCTACCAGTTTCAAACACGTTTCGCCAGCCGGAGCTGCTGTGGGAATTCCTCTGGATAAAACAGGCGTAAGTAGTCTCGAAAGTGTTGTTGAAGTTCTAATTTCCTAAAAATAACTGTTGCTATCTTTAATTATACATTTTTAAATAGAGCAACGGTGTTTTTTTTTAAATACGCGATTTTGTCCGAACACCATAAAACATTTTCTACCGTCTCAAACTCAAAGAAAATTGCGAAACGAATAAGGTGGTATTAGCGGTGTATTATTATTATTTTTCATTAAGTCGGTTTTTCAAACGTACCTATAAAATTGCTTCTGTTAAAAAAAATATTACGGAAAAATATCGAGTGTCTGATAAGAGACTGTAGAAATGTTATAGGGAATATTTCACCATGTTTCAATACAATTTGTCAGGCATTTTTATGAATTGTAATCAAACGCTAGTGCTGCTTTGAAACTCAAAGTGTTATTGTGATCGACGGTATATAGCACGGAAGATTAAATTTTTTTTATTAATATTCTGGTGTCCAAAGCTACTTTGCAATGCTCAATCGCAAGTTTAAGTTGGAAAATGCCCCACCATATTTACTACTGCTGAAAACGTTAATAAATATATTTAAGTAGTGAAACATCTAAACATGTTCGTAAATAATGTCAACAATATTGTTTTAGGCTAAGTTATGTATGGTAGAGGACATCCACGATCAATTGACACCTATAGCGACCGCTTACGCCAGAGCTCGAGGAGCTGACAGAATGTCGTCTTTCGGGGACTTTGTAGCCCTGTCAGATGAATGTGACGGTATTACCGCCAAGATTATATCTAGGGAGGTGTCGGATGGCATCATAGCTCCTGGATACACCACTGAAGCCTTGCAAATACTTAGCAAGAAGAAGAATGGCAACTACTGTATTCTACAGGTAATTTGAAGATACGAGAAATCATCAGGCCATTTCATGAAGAAAAGTTTCAAATCTAGTTTTATACAGATATTTTTACAAGCTTTGTTCAACCATACTTGGTTAAAACAATAAGAACGTAAAACTGTTTTGTCCTAAAGAAAAGATGTAAACCATTGCGGACTGTTGATATGAACTTTTTTCTAAAGTGACCTTTAAAATTATTGAGTTGAAAATTTAGAATAATCCCGGAGATCCGCTCACGTTGAAGTAGTGAAAAGTATAGGGCATTAGTCGCGCATTAGTGTGAAGGACATTGGTTTCTTCAGTATTTAAAGTAATGCAATAGAGTTACTTTGGCAATGAACATTAAAATGCAACAGTAAATTAAGTTCAATGTTTCGCTTTTTTATATCCTTGACAATTTATCTGGTCTTAAAATGGCCTTGAAGATTATGGTCAGGCTCTTTGGCAAGGATGTACTTGAACTTCAAATTGTCCGCAATTTACATTTCAGGAATAAAAAATAGCTGTTTCTCTCATAACCAAGGTCATGGACTTAGTTGAATATAAAGTTTCTTGCTCTTTTTATTTCCGGTATCAAAAATAGGGATTTTCATTTAAGAAAACTGTCTTAGCCTTCAAAGGAGCTTGAAGATCATAGTCAAGGTCACGTTCAAGGTCACCATCAAATGAACTTTTTATAACATTTTTCTTTATGCAACGTATTTTTCGAGATGTTTACTCATTTCCTTACTTTCTGGATACCCTCAAATACCCATAAAGATCAAGGTCTTGGGAAAACATATACTTTAATGCAAACATTTCCGGTGTTAATAATAGGGGTTTCAATGAAGAAAACCGTCTTGAACTGCAAATGACCTTGAAGGTCATGGTCAGAGTCACATTTTTACATTTTTTATCAGAGGGAAAAGGCGAAATAAATGAAACTAATTTTTTTTCCTCAGATTGATCCATCGTATGTCCCAGACCCAATAGAACGTAAACTCCTGTTTGGTTTAACTTTGGAGCAGCAACGTAACAACGCAGTGATAGACAAGTCTTTGTTCACTAACATTGTTTCCGACAACAAAAACTTACCAGAATGTGCGGTTAGGGATCTCATCGTTGCCACCATAGCACTGAAGTACACGCAGAGTAATTCTGTCTGTTATGCGAAAGATGGTCAGGTCATCGGTATTGGTGCAGGTCAACAGTCTAGGATTCATTGTACAAGGTAAAAAATTATGATGTAGAAGCATTTTACATTCACAACACGTCTGAAATAACTTACCTGTAGCTTGATTTAAAACTGGTACTTTGAATGCTGAAATCACGTGAAGGCTTAATGATAATGATGTTATGGAATGTGTAGTTAATGTAGGAGTACGAACTCTATGCTTTTTCGACATCCATATGTAGTCACATGTTTCTAAATACTATTTTTTATATTTTAGATTGGCCGGCAGCAAAGCAGATAACTGGTGGTTGAGGCAGCATCCTAAAGTATTAGGTATGAAGTTCAAAAAAGGAACCAAGAGGGCAGAAATCTCGAATGCTATTGATAACTTTGTCAGTGGCACAGTTGGTAAGTAGCAAACTATATAGGTACCACATATACCAAGAATATTTTCATAACTTGGTTTGTATTGTCATTACTCATTCTTGAAGTTCATCTAACGCATAAACATGAAGTACTTTAATGCAAAATAGAAAACCTAAGGTGGATTTCTAAAGCAATTATCAGGTCGTGTTTACTGTATTGTGTTATTCTAGAGTAGCGTGAATTTCAACAAAGCGATTAATCTGGGAAAGATGATCGAGACAACATAATTTTTCACATATAAAAAAACTCTAAGCAAAATGAATGTATGCACTAGTAGTGTAAGGAATAGAAACAAGTAATTCTTTTCTTGGAACAGAAATGCTTTTTACAAACTAGATTCCTATTTCTTTATTCTTATTTGGTTAAACAGCAATTCAGTGATCAAGCTAGAGAGATATAAAACTTCAGAAGCAAAAGCTTTGCTTTATTCTATCCTTCAAGTATGATCATATATAAAGAAGACAAATGTACTATTCGCATTCGTATACGCGCGAATATCGGCATTTGCGAATGCCTAAAAACTGACATTGCACCTTTAGTCTGTGTACAAGCTCCCTGCTTTTTTTTTCAGGTAAAGACATGGACAGGTCGTTCTTCGAATCTATGTTTGATGAAGTACCAATAGAATTTACCGAAACCGAAGTATCCACTTGGTTGAGTAAACTTAGCGGCGTAGCATTGGGATCTGATGCATTCTTCCCATTCAGAGATAATGTCGAAAGAGCTAGATTGGTAAGTAAAATATATAACTATATTTTTAGCTTACTGCAAGAACCGGCGATGTCACCGCCTCTCGCCGGTGTGCGGATGGGCCGAATTTAACTTGTTATTTGATGCTCAGCAGGTTTATTCACAATTAGATCAAGGCAATTATGTAGTAACCATGATGTTCGATCTATCTAAGGTATTTGATATGCTGGATAAAAATATCATTCTAGAAAAAATCGAATCGCTAGGTTTAAGAAGTCATATTATATTGAAATGGTTTGACTCTGGGCATTTCTAGAGTTCCGTATTAGGTCCTGCTTTTTGGAAATGACTTGCCAGATTTCATTCTAAGGGAAAAAGTTACGTTTGCTGATGATACCACGATCACTGTATCTGGAATCTGGAAGTTCTGTGAATGAACTGCATGAAAACGTCCTAGTTGTATTTGAAGACATGGAAGTTTGGTCCCAAAGAAACAAGTTGATTCTAAGTAACAATTTTCAGTCCTTGAGTTCTGCAAGATATAGAGAGCTATATCAAATTTAAAAATAAGGTTTTTAAGTATTTAAGTGAGAAATGTTTTTATTCTATAACTCAATTTTTAAATTTTCCTATCAGTAAGCAAAATGTTTTTGTTTTAAATTTTTTACTTGGTGTTTTAACAAGTTGCTATTTTACTCTAATTGTGACCTTAACCCCTACTATAACAAAGCTAATTAAGCTTATTGCCTGTATACTCATACTGAACATGTATTTTTTGTCTCGTTTTGTTTATAGTTTGTTGTGACAAACTCACCCTGATTGATATTCACATCTATTGCTATATTTTTACTATATCAGTTTTCTTTGACATGCCATGTGTGAACATTAGTTTGAAATTTGGCTAAATATACTACTAATACTATTTTGGTGACTACCAACACTATCAGGTGAGTCTGGTGAAGCTAGTATAACAATTCTGAATAAACTATAAATATTCAGGATGTTGAAGTTTTTGCGAGAAGAACAGAGTTAACGTCGGCACTTCAAACGTCTATGTGACGAAGCATATTTAGGCGGAAAAATGTTGGAATCACTTACATAGTCCAAACATGTTAAATAACTGTATTACAGTAGGTTAATAGGAGACTGTCATTGATGAATATTTTGTTTACAGAGTGGAGTATCATACATTGGCGCCCCATCCGGATCTACGAACGACGCTCACGTCATCCAAGCATGTAATGAACATAACATCGTACTCGCACATACAAACTTGCGACTTTTCCATCACTAGATACTATATTATGTTTTTGTATTGAATATTCTTACTGTGAAAAATAAAAATTCCACATTTAACTCAATTATTTTATTGCAATCATGAAGATTCCTGTAGTCGAAAATTATATTAGATTGAGCTGTATATTATAGTATAACATTCCTTTGACAAATTCGAAAGAATGACTTCAATATCTTGAAATTTAACAAAGTTATGGCATTTTATATGTCATCGCGCTCACGCGTTCATGTTCAGCTGTGACATCACATAACATGCATTGTGACACCAAGATAGCCCTCAGATTCTGATTTCACTATTCCAACATTCCTTATCTTGATTGCTGTTCGTATTTATGAGTAATCCCGAAATTCATCAATTATCTAAAGAAAAACGCCATAGTATTGTGTTATGCCTCATTCCTAAATTGTATTGGAAGACATCGTTCAAAAGATATATTATTTATCTTTTATTTATTCCGATTTTAAGTTTCAATTTCACTTCATCTCTGACGATCTTGTAATCGTACAATATGTAGGAAGTATGTCTGGGGAGGGGGCGGCCTGCTTGAGGTCAGATCCAGCCTTTGAATAAGGTTACCCAGTCACACTGTATTTAATAAGAAAAAATGGAGCTGAAGCCCCGACCACATCAGTATTTATCATGGAATGTGATATTTATTGGCTTTGTAGCCTGGACGTCAGTAATTATTGATGTTTAAAGTTACGTATAGTTGTAGTCACCGTTCTTGGCGGTTACGTCATCAACGCCATATGAAATAAGCAAACAGATCCAGTCTCCGTACCATGGGCGCAGACTAGTCTTCATCGCATCTGCTACTCTCTCCAGTACGCATGAAGTGGGTAACAGGGACCGCTGTTTTCATTCTCTTCCTGAAAATACTAGAATAAATATAGTATGAGCTGTCGGCCTTCTCAATTGATCGTATTTCCGGGCATTACACAATTTTATATTGAAGATTGATAACAGGACAACTCGAATTGCACGCTGATTTCAAGTAAGTTGTCACTCTGAGAAATATGATTGAATGGCACTCATACGTAACGATAAAGTTTTCGAGACGGAGATGAAATCTCGCGGGAATTTTCAATAGTTGATAGTTTCAAAAATCTCGAAATTTCTTCCAAAATCAATCAATGCCTAATTTTAAATAAAACCTTTCAAAATTATTTGCCATTTAACAATAAAATAATTCCGTCCTAATCGAACCTCATCTTTCCAGTTTTTTATTCGACTACGTGTTCCCTTCACTGTTGTTTAAAAAACAATTTCAGCAACAATCTCGCCGACTTACTCCAGACGATGAAGAAAAAATTCTTCGAAAGCTTGAGATTTTAAGTTATAAGAGTGTACTTTTGCAATACTTTGCTTTCTACCCAAAGAAATTAAAGGATTATATATATATATATATATATATACATATATATATATACAGGTTGTCCGCAAAGTTGGGGTTTTCCTTTACACGACGTGTAGATCTTGAAAACATAAGCAATTTTTCTTAGTACCATATACACCAATGTCTTAAGGGAACCGAGATAAAGGGATCTGCAACATCAAAAATATCTGAATACCGTCCTGTAGCCGCGACATCCCCCCGTGGTACTACAACACTAGCTCAACCCGACGACAGAACTGGGTCGGGGTCAGTGTGTCAGGTCAGTATGCAACCTTCAACCGACGGTTACGGTCACGCGTGTAGAGGTAAACGAACCCGAATAATCGATTGCGTTTCAAAAAACAACAAGCACTAGAGACGTGGCTGAAGAGGGGCTGTATCCGTTTCACGTCCAACGTGTACAAGCCCTTCAACCTGACGATTTTCCAGCAAAAGTGCGGTTTTGTGAGTGGTTGTTGCATCAACATGACAATAATCCGGACTTTTTGAAGTGCATATTGGTGACAGACGAATCTACATTCACGCGTAATGGGGTGAATAACTTTCGCAACACTCATGTTTGGTCAGTAGAAAATCTGCACGCTGTCCGTCGGGCACATTTTCAACAAACATTTTCGGTGAATGTTTGGGCTGGCATGGTGAACGGTATGCTCATTGGACCATTTATTCTCCCAAATCGATTGGACGGGATGCAATACCTAGACTTTTCACGCAACATTTTGCCTTCCTTGTTAGAAGATGTGCCATTAAGTGTAAGACAATCAATGTGGTTTCTGCACGATGGTCATATTTGTTACCTCTGTTCGTGGCCTGAACCACCGCCGGCGTCTGCTCGGTAGCGCATCAGCTGATTTCATTTTCTGTTGGAGCGGTATGCTTTCGGGCAGAGACGTACTTAGCCCTTCTCGTCAACTGGAGAGTGAGTACTTTTTCCTTTATTTTTTTTTACTTGGTCGCCCTCGTTTCACTACACCTTAACTTTGTTATTTCAAGGGTAGTTGTTTCTGAAAAGGAAAACCCCAACTTTGCGGACACCCTGTATATATATATATACGAATATATATATATATAAAGGGATACTGGTAGTCTTACTTTGACCCGCCAAGAACGGTGACTACAACTGTAGAAATCGATTGACACTGACAGATCCATAAGTAAATATTGATGCTAAACATTAATCGTGTGACATTCCCCTAAAAGATTCATCCACATATAGGACGATTCACGAATCCCAATACACTCTAGTTCTCTTATCTCTTGAGATAATGAATAAAAAAATACCCGATTAAATTGCGTTCGAATGCCAGCAGTTATATTTGATGTCTTACAAGTTCCAATAGTAATATATAACAAATACTTGACTGCCAAAAGCTACTGCCTCTGAGGATGAGAAACTTTTAGTCTTTAGTCTATCGAAAATTTTTATTAGTTAATTATAAATCACCAGTGAAAAACAAATTGATTTCCATTAACTAACAAAATAAATAAATGTTCCAATACTCTTTATTACCTTTATATAAAAACTAGCTTTTGAATTGGAATCACACTGTTTTAACATACACCACCCATTGATCACAATCATAGTTATTTTATCAATCTATATAAATTCTAGCTCAATATCTGAGGAGTCATATTAACCATCAACAGAAGAATGTTGGTTGGATAGTTGGAAAAGGAACTTACTCAGCTCTATTAATTCCACTATTTCACTTGTATTCCACTCTTTAATATGTATACCCTTTGAATAAGGACAAAAACTGTTGCCTGAAGTGAGGTACAATGCCTTAATAATTTGTCAGTTGGATATTCACACACACATATTTATGTAACACTGTGGACCGCTTAATATAATAGTTCTACATGCATGGATGGTACGATACCATTTAGTATCTACTAAAACAAGTTATGATAAAACTGGCAGAACCCCTCCAAAATCACAGAAAATATGTATTATGTTCGCAAATAAGTCGAAGCAAGTTGACTGGGCCAGTGTGACCTAGCCTGTATTGTACACTCACCAGCCAGATATGTTTGCAAATATCAAACTTCTTGGTAGCATAACTTTTTTATTTTTTGGGATATATGTAGCATGTTTTTAGTGCTGTAATTCATTTTACTTAGACTATAATGTGAAATATGTTTTAGAACGTAGGGAACTTCATTTGGAAACAAAATAAAATTACGGACCAAAATCATGAAAATTTTTTAGAAGTTCAAATGGTAGTTAAAGGATGGAATATTTCATAAGCTCTTTATAATGCATAACACTATTATTTATCTAAAAGAAATGTTTAATGAAACATAAATAGTAACAAATTACACAATTACTTTTTGTAATAAAAAACCTACATATATACATTGTACTGTTAATAACTTACTGCTAGGCAATTTTACTTCTATCCTGTGCCAGCCCAAGAAGTTCACAATCTGCTTCTAATAATGTGAGGTCCTTTTCATAACCCAAAAATTTTGAAGACAGCTCTAGCTCTTTGATGCGTAGTCTGACTTTTGCTCCTCTAACATAAAAACTGAAAATATTAATTATTTTACTATTAATAACTAATGACTAATGATTTCCTAATCAAATAATAGAATAATAATGTTACTGAATTTTAAAATAAAAAATATATGGAATGTTTAATGATTATTAATTATTAGTGACATAAAAATTAAGGTACTGAAGTCTAAATGTGCAAGTCATTACATTGCATTTACAGGCTACTCATACATTTTTGTCAATACATCATTAATGGGTTAGATTACTGCTTGCAACATATAACATTTCTATCAATGCACATTGCTCTTTGTGAATAATTTACTAATAAGTAAACTTTGCAACACACTTGACAATGTATGATCAGCGAAAAATGAATCAATGACCAACTTAGATTGGAAGAAGATTCTTACCTAGCATTTTTCTTTGGCCTACCACAAACACAATGGAACTTCCAACCAAAATCTATATACAAATCATCGTCTATGATATGAAATATTTTCCCAGTAACTATTTTTCCTTCAGGATCACCTAACTGAAGAATTCCAACTGGTAAATAAAAGGTTACTGTAATATAATATTCATAACTTACATCAATAAGCTTTGAGTTTCTGAGTAGCGAAGCAAAATTATAGCTAACTGGTTTTGAGCTTTCGTCTTTTATTTGTTCAAACTTCTGGAATGCCTTTGCGTAGCCCCCAACTTCATCCTTAGGAGGTTCCTGAGACGTCGGCGGTTTTTCGGAGTTGTGAGTACAATAAGATGCTAAGTTGTTCAACATTTTCGTATCTTTCATTACAGCTCTGCTGAAAAATAATCGTACTAGAGCCATTGTAAATATTTTTATTTAAGTTTAAGATGAAATTATTTAAAATGTTTAGGTTATATGGTACTTGACAATAAAATCAGTTTGGTTATAAGATCTAAGCTCCGTGACGTCACGAATCAGCTGTTATATGTCATAGTTACCACCGCAAAATTGTGGTATTTACCCAACTCAAGAGTAGTTTTATATTTATGGTTATTATTTGAAATGTGACAAGTTAGAATTTTGCCGGGTATTGGATATTGTTATTGTACTTCAGCTTCATTTTTGAGAAAATTGATACAGGCTGACTTCAGTTTTACCATAAAGTGGAGCACCTTATTAGTTATACTCATTACGGTTGTTGGGGACACTTTAAAAGTAGTTCCTATGCTTAACAAAGTATCCTGTGTAGCCGTGTACAACAAGAATATTAAAATATGGCCATATAAACTCACTAGATGATATCCACCTGTATACGGTTTTGCTAATTTCTTTTTTCATCATTTCTGCTGAATCAATAAATGTTTTCTTTGACATGCTGAAAAATTTAGAGAATTGAAAGTTATCATAGCTACAAAGCCATGGTTCCATCATTAAAAAAAAATTGAAAAAAACATTTCTCCCATGAATATTATGAAAGGTTTCTTATTTAAACTTTCCATATACAGTTGTATACGAAAAAGCACCGATTATTAAGTGATAATAAAAATAATCAGAGATTATATACGCGCTTTTCTAAAATAAACAACTTGCAACAAAACCGCGGTTAAAACCAACGCGTTCAAGCGATTCGTGTAACTGACGTCATCAACCCGTGTGTCATCTTGAACCATATTATAACCGCGGCACATAACACAGAAATTTTGGTCATTCGCTTGGATTTGATTATTGTATTATGTATTTGACACACGTCATAAACATTTGTGATTTCTTGCCAGGCACAGAACTTGTACATGTCTACAGAATGTACAGAACAAATATAGACTTAAATCAAATCCAAGCGAATAACCAAAATTTCTGTGTTATGTGCTGCGGTTATAACATGGTTCAAGATGACACACGGGTTGATGACGTCAGTTACACGAATCGCTTGAACGCGTTGGTTTTAACCGCGGTTTTGTTGCAAGTTGTTTATTTTAGAAAAGCGCGTATATAATCTCTGATTATTTTTATTATCACTTAATAATCGGTGCTTTTCGTATACAACTGTATATGGAAAGTTTAAATAAGAAACCTTTCATAATATTCATGGGAGAAATGTTTTTTCAATTTTTTTTTAATGATGGAACCATGGCTTTGTAGCTATGATAACTTTCAATTCTCTAAATTTTTCAGCATGTCAAAGAAAACATTTATTGATTCAGCAGAAATGATGAAAAAAGAAATTAGCAAAACCGTATACAGGTGGATATCATCTAGTGAGTTTATATGGCCATATTTTAATATTCTTGTTGTACACGGCTACACAGGATACTTTGTTAAGCATAGGAACTACATTTAAAGTGTCCCCAACAACCGTAATGAGTATAACTAATAAGGTGCTCCACTTTATGGTAAAACTGAAGTCAGCCTGTATCAATTTTCTCAAAAATGAAGCTGAAGTACAATAACAATATCCAATACCCGGCAAAATTCTAACTTGTCACATTTCAAATAATAACCATAAATATAAAACTACTCTTGAGTTGGGTAAATACCACAATTTTGCGGTGGTAACTATGACATATAACAGCTGATTCGTGACGTCACGGATCTTATAACCAAACTGATAACTACACTCGCTTGAACGGATCGGTAAATACCAACCCAAAATGGTAAATACCATTTCCATTTGGTTATCCGCTTGAATTTAATTGTTGTTTCCACAAAACCACAATAAAATCAAATTCAAGCGGATAACCAAATGGAAATGGTATTTACCATTTTGGGTTGGTATTTACCGATCCGTTCAAGCGAGTGTAGTTATCAGTTTGGTTATAAGATCCGTGACGTCACGAATCAGCTGTTATATGTCATAGTTACCACCGCAAAATTGTGGTATTTACCCAACTCAAGAGTACTTTTATATTTCTGGTTATTATTTGAAATGTGACAAGTTAGAATTTTGCCGGGTATTGGATATTGTTATTGTACTTCAGCTTCATTTTTGAGAAAAATGATACAGGCTGACTTCAGTTTTACCATAAAGTGGAGCACCTTATTAGTTATACTCATTACGGTTGTTGGGGACACTTTAAATGTAGTTCCTATGCTTAACAAAGTATTCTGTGTAGCCATATACCACAAGAATATTAAAATATGGCCATATAAACTCACTAGATGATATCCACCTGTATACGGTTTTGCTAATTTCTTTTTTCATCATTTCTGCTGAATCAATAAATGTTTTCTTTGACATGCGGAAAAATTTAGAGAATTGAAAGTTATCATAGCTACAAAGCCATGGTTCCATCATTAAAAAAAAAATCTGAAAAAACATTTCTCCCATGAATATTATGAAAGGTTTCTTATTTAAACTTTCCATATACAGTTGTAGACGAAAAAGCACCGATTATTAAGTGATAATAAAAATAATCAGAGACTATATACGCGCTTTTCTAAAATAAACAACTTGCAACAAAACCGCGGTTAAAACCAACGCGTTCAAGCGATTCGTGTAACTGACGTCATCAACCCGTGTGTCATCTTGAACCATATTATAACCGCGGCACATAACACAGAAATTTTGGTTATTCGCTTGGATTTGATTAACGTGACCTTGTGGTGACATGTGACGCACATCGTTGTCAAATGTGTCATGTTCAGGAGTTTTATGTGGGTCCCACATGACGCTTCCAATGTTGTATACAACGTTCGGCACCCCAGAATTGGCAAGTGTGTCTCCTACACGATGGGTGCCAACGTCTATTATCGCTGTCAGTGTTACGCTTGAACCTTTACAATTGAAGGAAAAATTATACAAAATAAACGAGGAAACAATTTTTTGAGCGCCGAAAAATAATATCAGGTCTGTCCTCAGCGACCATAACTTAAGTCTGTCAGAAGCCTCAAAAATGTCGAAAGACGAAGTTTGACCGTTTTTTGTTTGTTTTTCGACTATAGCTCCACCGCCACTGTACCGATTTTCAAAAACTGCGGAGCTTTTTCGTCGTTTTCATAGTAGTAACCTAGGGTCAAAATTCTGATAGAACTTTCGGAGTGAGCATTTATTTAATCTTTTTCGTTAGTTATGAAATGGAAGTCAATATATTTCTCAACTAGTCTTGCATTGCAACACGACATTATAATGAAACAACTGTAAGCACTTGATAATGTATAATTTACTAAAATACATATCCTTAGGCCAGCCATAACTCACATGCGAAACGTACGAAATATTAGCAATATGAAAAAAGTTGTTATGGCAGCCTATGCCTTGTAAGAATATACATTATCATTAATAGGTGGGTATTCAAATCAAAATACGTTCCACATACCACTACTTCACCACAACCACACAAATAAATAATGTTTCTCGCCGCTACTGGTTCTAACATAAAACCATCAAACACATGACATCTCGTATGGGAACGTAACGTACCATGCTTTCAACGTTGTAAAGTCCTTTGACGCGGGTCAAATCTACCGACAAGAGCCCGAACGTGCCATGTGGCGAACGTTGGACGCATGCGATCCGTTAGCGCTCTCCTCCAACTTGGTAAGGCATTCGCCACTTCGTGTGGGAGCGATTTTAGCGAGTTTAGGAACAGGAAGATATCAACCCAAAATGTAAATAAAAACTTCCAAGTTGGGGGTAAGGGATAAGGGTAAGGACGCAAGGAACGATGGAGAATTATATAAAAGGAGAATGTAAAGGAATGTGCCCTGAGGAAGAGATCAAGTTGAGAGAAAATGAGAGGCTGCTGCATATACTTGAAGTACTACCTGGTACTGAAAAAGATAGAAAACCCAAGGCAGATATAAACAGAGTAGTGAAATGTTTCAGTCGATCTGCAGCCGGGAAAATCATGGAGAATCCCAAAAACCTTCGCCCTGCCAATGTCTTGCTGCAAACTATAAGCTATCTGTTGACTGATGTTATATCAAGGGAAGATGTGCAATATACTGTGATTTATGATTTTATAACTGACAGATTGCGCTCGGTGAGGCAGGATATGATTATACAGAACCTTTCTAGAGGTTCTAGCATCACTATTTTACAACCAATGATAAGATTTCATGCATATTCTGCTTATCAGTTGAGTCAGGGAGACATAAATGTTTTTGATCCTCATATAAACAAAACTCACCTACAAGAATGCTTGAAGAGACTTCTTAGCATTTATGATGAATATGACTATTTGGAGAAGGTGGCATGTGAATACACAGATGCATCTAGCGAATTCATGAAGAGGAACAGACCTCAGTTTGAAGCATTGTATGTGCTCTTCAACTTAGGAGATACTAATGCGATAAATAGAGCTTTGATTCTTACACCGAAATGGAAGACTTCTGTAGTGCATTTATCTTTGCAGATATCTTTACATTACAGTGAAAATAACTTTGTGAGAATCTTTAGGAAGATTTTGAAACTACCAGTTTTACTGGCTCTTACTGTTAGTCTAAATTTTCCTGAAATGAGAAAGAGATGTTTAAAAATGATGTCTATTGCATACCATAGCAAAAATTTGACATTCCCTTTGGATGTTTTGGAAAAACTTTTGTTATATGATAGTCTAGAAGATGTGAAGAATGATTGCCAGTATTATGGGTTAGAAGTACATGAAAATAGTGTATCATTTAATAGAAGTTTGTTTAGTAATAAACCTGTACCAAAACCCAAGCACTGCAAGTTTATTGATAAAAAATTATGTAAAATTAGTATACCAAGAATGTTATTGTACAATAGCTAATGAAAAATAAAAGTTTGGTATATGAAAATCAGTGACTCATATGTATTTGTAATATACCTAGGGCAGTGTTCATTTGAGTGGAATAGTTTCTATATGGCACTAAAGAAAACTGAAGATCTCATTTCATTTTTGCTAATTGCAATGCGAGCAAAAGTTTTACTGTAATAATCAGTTAAAATATGGTAGGTTCTTCCTTGCAATGGGAGCAACTTTTCTTTTAGTTGTAGAATCAAATAAAAGTATTGTTACCAATACAAGAACATTGTAAAGTTACTTGTTAGAGCTTTCAATAGGAGATCTTTTTAGCACTGGAATATAGTGTGGATATAGTGCTGACATGGTGAAAATTATGAAATGTTCACAATTAAGGAAAACTTGGTGTAACTTTTTACTCATTTTGGAATTATTATATATCTTGGAAAATATGCGTAAGTGGACGACCGTGTGTTATTTTGACCGTTACACTAGAATTTTAATTACTGATGTGACAAATACTAAATTTCCGTGCAAGAACATTGCAACTGTATTCGCCGGATGTTTTATGAGCAATATCATATTACACTCCGTTAGGGTTAGGAGTAATAATTTTTTCTTGCAAGAATATTTTAAAGACGGCTACATGTACCATGTTTTAGTGTAATCGATGAGACGCGATAGACTCCTATGGCGTATGGTTCTTTACAATCAATATCGCTCATAAGTGAAAATAGTCAAAATTTCATTTAAAATGTTCATTGAACGTATGTATGGATATCCTATGTTTCTGTTAATTTAGAGTAAATCTGGTAATGTCTTTGCGAAACATAACTGAACAAACATGTTATCCCAGTCCAGACTGATATCCAGTGTTGCCGAGACTATCGATTCGTCCTCATTTTCCACGCATTTTTAGAATGATTAATATTTCTAGATTTTTCACCGAAAAGATGGTACCAAAAATAAAGCAAAAAAATGAGTTATATGTAGTTCTTGTCCCAAACCAGTCATACATAAGCGTACACTTGAGCTGTCGCTCACGAGGGACGTAGATTTGAATTGCCTACAATTATGCAGGCATCTCCCTTATTCCGCCTTCCTTATATTGTTTCTTGCGTGCAACAGGTATAGACTGGTAGGTCACTGTCATTATCATATCACTGGACAGCAATGAGGAAACCAGAGCTCATCTGTATTTAATTGAATATATACAGGGTGACTTCGAAGTTGAGTCATTTATTTTAACAGTGAGTAGATCTGATCAAAAGAAATGTTTTTTTCCTTTACCATCTTTCTGGTAAAATTAAAGTAACAAAGTTATAGCCCTTTGGAAGTTTGAGTACCGCCCTGCCTATTATATGCTCGTGTTTGGCGACAACGGATATAATCCGCCTGACCGGTTCATCGCATCGGAAACAAAAAAGCGAAAGAATTTGAAACGTTTATCACGATGTTTTTCGTCAGTCGATAAAACGTGAGTGAATAGTAGTGTGTTGCGTGGCTCAAACGAAATCAAAAATGGCACATGTTTACGAAAATGCTGAACTTGTGGACATGATTCTTATTTACGGGGGGGCAGTCTTTACGAAATGCTCCCGGATGCATCACGGATTTATGCGAATCGGTTTCCCAATCGAGTGCAACCAACCCCTTGTGCCTTTGTTAATGTAGTGCAAAGGGCTCGTGAATCAGGTGACTTAAGACCTCACAGGTGAGGGCATGCTGCTCCAAGACCGCACGATCAAATACACTTTATTAAACAAGGTAACAGGGTGACTTTGAAGTTGAGTCATTAATTTTCAGATAATGATTGTAGAAGGAAGATAAACCAAAATATGTGTGTAAAAATAAAAAAAAAATAAAAAAAAAATTTTACCTTGTATTATAAAGTATCCTCCCGACAAGTATTTCAGTGCGGATCTGTATTTGATCGTGAGGTCCCCTGTGAGGTCTTAAGTCACCTGATTCACAAGCCCGTTGTACTACATTAACAAAGGCACGAGGGGTTGGTTGCACTCGATTGGGAAACCGATCCGCATAAACATGTGCCATTTTTTATTTCGTTTGAGCCACGCAACACATAACCACTATTCACTGACACTAACTGTATACAAATGAATGAGATACCTGTAAAAACATCGTTCCAAATTCTTTCGCTTTTTTGTTTCCGATGCGATGAACCGATACGGCGGATTATATCCATTGTCGCCAAACACGACCACATAATATTGCTATTGAGACAGGGCGGTACTCAAACTTCCAAAGGGCTATAACTTTGTTACTTTAATTTTACCAGGAAAATGGTAAAGGAAAAAAACATTTCTTTTGATCAGATCTACTCACTGTTAAAATAAATGACTCAACTTCGAAGTATATATATTTAGGGATGAAACAGAGAAATATTAAGAATCTTATAAACAAGAATGGTAAAAGGAGTTTCAATGATACTTACAAAAAACTTTTTTCAGGAACAGATGCCCTCAAAAAAACCTGTGTTGTGGTCCTGATTTTTTCCTCCGACCGATTCTGTACCTGAATTTCAACGACACTGTCTACCGATTTCGTCTTTTTCGCTTCGGCAACAGTGCTGACCACGTGCTGACATCATCGTCGACGTCTCCTCTGACGCCGCACGCCGCACGTCACGGCCACAAATTGTCAGATTGTATTGTCAATTTTTGTGTTGTCAATTTTTAATATTTCTATAGAGGTTCCGGTGGTTTGTAATTTTCTTCGTTTTGCTCTAATTGCTGTCGTGGTTCCTTCTTTGACTCAGCGTCTGGTTCACGCAAGATATTTTACTTCTCTCCTACACGCAGTGAGTAGAATTTTTCAATCCATACCCTCAGGATTTTGATGAAACCATAGGTGTGGTTTTTGAGACACTTTCCAATATATATTTTTTTTGTTCTAATAGATGACACCCAAATCGTGCGACACATTTGTTGTACTTCCCCCATTGACCAAGCATGGGGTGGTGTTTGGTAAGAACTCTGATAGACCCCAAGGAGAGGTTCAAGAAGTTGTATACTACCCGGTTAGTGAATCTGCTGATCCTGTGAAGGTAATACACAGATTCTCTAGCATATGCTACAAATTTAAAGAAGTTTGGTATATCCTTGTGATCTCTTTAGCCCTTCCATTGATTGAAGTTTTTTACTTAGTAGTAAAGTTCATGAGTGTCTAATGCAATATAATAAGCTTTTAGCATACTTAGACTAGAATAAATTTATTGTTGCAGTGCACCTATATTGAAGTGGAAGCAGCTGGCCCTACCAGGGCTGTAATTTTGAGTAAACCCAGCTGGATGTGGGGTGCAGAAATGGGAGCCAATGAATGTGGTGTTGTCATTGGAAATGAGGCTATTCACACCAATGACAATGAGGGTGACCATGACCCTACAATAAAGAGATTGCTTGGCATGGATCTTGTAAGGTATGTCTTCCATTTTTAAACATGTAATTAATAATTATTTTATCAGTCAAAGTCACTGCTTACTAAAAATATATTGTCAATATAAAACATGTTTAATAAATATTGTATGAGGTATGGCTAAACATGCATAGGATCTCCAACTGGTTTTAAATTTTTAGTATTTTGTCATGAGAGCATTCTAATAGATCCTTTTCATCTACCTGTTTCTTCAATTCGATTCCCTTATAAGTGTATATTATACTGCTAAACCTCAGAATGTGGCTACAATTAGGTTCATCCAGTTAGGAGGTGTAGCCACTGGCAATTGGATAGGTGAAGCATTTGTATGCATGGCTAAATCTAAGATTAGCCTGTAGTATTCGGTTAAAACTAGGTCTAGCCAATTCCATCCTAATAACTAATACTCATTTCAGGGCTTAGCCATAACACATACATGTATTCAATAGCTTTGAAATCTTTAAATGTTGAATGTTTACATTTTGTGTAACAAATGTTTAAACACAATCAAGATTCAATGAATTTAGTTTAGTTTTAAGAGTTTTGGAAATTCCAGTCCATCATCATCATCGCACGTCTTTATTACAAAAGCTGCCAATCTCTTTCATTGTTTTTATTCAGAAACTGACAAGCATGAATAAAGAAATTATTCATTTTCTTCTGTTTTGCTTGTCTTAATTTCCATGATCAACTTGAGTTTGAATTAATTTACTTAGAAAGGTTTTATCCAATAAGTTAACACATCCAATCTTATAATAAGCTTAGGTTTAAATATAATGACATTGTTGATAATTTATTGGGAAGACAATTGGAAAAATTTGGTTTTTGCATTCAAGTATATATTCCGCAAAGTTGGGGTTTTCCTTTTCAGAAACAACTACCCTTGAAATAACAAAGGTAAGGGTAGTGAAACGAGGGCGACCAAGTAAAAAAAAATAAAGGAAAAGTACTCACTCTCCAGTTGATGAGAAGGGCTAAGTATGTCTCTGCCCGAAATCATACCGCTCCAACAGAAAATGAAATCAGCTGATGCGCTACCGAGCAGACGCAGGCAAACAAGGAAGGCAAAATGTTGCGTAAAAAGTCTAGGTATTGCATCCCGTCCAATCGATTTGGGAGAATAAATGGTCCAATGAGCATACCGTTCACCATGCCAGCTCAAACATTCACCGAAAATGTTTGTTGAAAATGCGCCCGACGGACAGCGTGCGGATTTTCTACTGACCAAACATGAGTGTTTTGCGAAAGTTATTCACCCCATTACGCGTGAACGTAGATTCGTCTGTCACCAATATGCACTTCAAAAACTCCGGATTATTGTCATGTTGATGCAACAACCACTCACAAAACCGCACTCTTGCTGGAAAATCGTCAGGTTGAAGGGCTTGCACACGTTGGACGTGAAACGGATACAGCCCCTCTTCACGCAGCGTTTGCCACACTTTAGTTTTTGATACTTGCACTTCTCTAGTCACGTGTCTAGTGCTTGTTGAGGGATTCTCGTCTTCGCGATTACCTCTACAAGCGCGACGGTAACCGTCGGTTGAAGGTTGCATACTGACCTGACACACTGACCCCGACCCAGTTCTGTCATCGGGTTGAGGTAGTGTCCTAGTACCACTTGGGGATGTCGCGGCTACAGGACGGTATTCAGATATTTTTGATGTTGCAGAGCCCTTTATCTCGGTTCCCTTAAGACATTGGTGTATATGGTACTAAGAAAAATTGCTTATGTTTTCAAGATCTACACGTCATGTAAAGGAAAACCCCAACTTTGCGGACACCCTGTATATACAAGTATAGACTTTGTAACAATAACCCAATTGTTGAAAATAACTTGCAAGTTTTTTGATTTTGTATCAAACTACATGACAGGTCCTTTCTAAACATCTAAGCCTTGCTCCAGTTGAGTTCAGACATCATTGTAAATCATAAACATTGAAAGCTGGTATGAATATAAAAAACTCAGCATTTCCCTTTTGGCTAACCATAATAACTAATTTCTCAGACTGGGTTTGGAACGCAGCTCAACTGCTAATGAAGCTTTAGATGTGATAACTCAGCTGCTTCAAAAGTATGGCCAAGGTGGACCATGTTCTAAAGATGATCCAGGCTTTGTCTATCATAACTCATTTCTCATTGCTGATCCTACAACTGCTTGGGTATTGGAGACGAGTGGAAAACACTGGGCTGCTGTTCAAGTCACCAGTGAGTCAAGTTTAAAGATTACCAGTAATCTCCTCTTAGAATTATGTATTTGTATTTGAGATTGTTTCTTTTGAATAGTCACTGACATAAAAGGACTACATTGTAATATGGTGTTTGATTTTCATGTTAATACTGGAATTCAAATTGAAGTATACAAGGTGTAAACGTTATGGTAGTCATTATTGAAATGGGTAATAGCTGGGGTCAAAACAAGTCAAAAAGTTCATATGACGCATGGTCCAAAAGTCAATAGATTTTTGTCTAAATCGCTTTATAGTTTACAAATTTAAGTGCTTTATATGAACGACAATCACCACAATCTTACTAATTTTTATAATCTAATCTAAAACGTTTTTAAATTGGGTAATTAACAAATAAATGGCATTAAGTTTTTCTAAGTTAAGCCAAAATTTGTAGTCAGTAAGAAAGTAAGTTTCATTAAATTTAGTATTTAAAACACACATGACAACAGCGCGTCGGTTATCATCACTCCTATTGAACCGGCAATCGATCGCAAACGGTAACAGTGGTTAGTTATCCTTTTGCATAGTTTTGCGGCGTTGTCAGATTTATTTTATTTTAAAGTCGCTTTTCTCTAAAAAAATGCCGTTTTGACCCCCATGTTATATGAAAATTTTTGCTTCTTTTGACCCCCTCTATCACCCAATTAAATAATGACTATCATAACGTTTACACCCTGTATATTGTCTAAAAGAATACTAGATTACCATTTCTTCATAATACTTTACTAGCTTAAACAGAAGCACTAAATGTGAATTTATTTTTCAGGTGGATATAGAAACATATCCAATGTGTTGACCATCACTACCCAAATTGATAAAAAATCTGCAGGCCTTGAGGAATATGTTAAGTCTAAAGGACTTTGGAGTGGAGATGTATGTAATCATTCCAGTTGCATCTAGCTGGTTTAGATTAGAAATTTTTACAGTTGCACTAGAAAAACCACTTTGTAATGTGCTCAATAAAGGATAGCATCAGCATATATTTTTTCATGCCATACTCTCAATTCAAGATACATACTTGTTGTTATCTGATTTGAGCAGTTGTTTTGCAGTCATACTGTGTGTTAATGCTGTTACTTTATTGTTCAAGAAATATATTTGATGGTCAAATATCAATTTAGCATGCCCAAATGCAAGCTGTAGAAGTGCTTGTTTGGATGGTTTTCAGTAGATCCATGATAAAAATCTCTTCAGTACATTTTTTCTTTCCAAAATTATTATGCACATTTGTTTTTGCTTACAGGGAGACTTCAACTTCTGTGAAATCTTCAGTGGAGAAAAAAAGCCGGGAGCTGACAGATATGTAGCTGGGGGAAAACTGCTTGCTGAGCATAGTGCTTCAAACAATTTCAGAGATACAGATATGTTCAAAATTTTGCGAGATACTGAATCTGGAATCTGTAGGTCTTGTGACGAGCCTTTTCCAACAGCTAGTGCACAGGTGAGTTTTTTTTATCCTTTTGGATATATTTTAGGTAAAATGATGACTCTAAATTTTTTAGAGAGAGACATTCTTTATACCTTTGTAGGCTTAAGCTCATTGTCTTATATTGCAGGTATCAGTTTTGTCTACAAACAGACCTAGTGTTCACTGGTTTACAGGAACACCTGATCCTTCAAAATCTGTCTTCAAACCATTCATCTTTACTAAGAATGCTGTTATATCGAAACATACAAGATGTCCTAGTAAAAATGTAAGTTGCTCATTAAAACAGATAATGAATGTTGGTACCTTTAAACAATTTTCCATGCATTCAATGTCTGGATTATGATCTTATCAATCTGCTTGCATTTTGTATATAAACATTCAATCGTTTCGTTTCTACCATTTATTAACATATTCTTCAAGAAAATGCCCAATACATGATATGTTTGGATATTAGCTTGCTTACATATGATTTCCATTATTGCAGCTATGTTGGCCAGTAGGTCTGCAGTAATTTCCACAGAAGTTATACAATAGACTATATTTTTCTTTTAAAAGAAATTGCTTATTATAAAACATGACATCAACCTTCCATGTAAACATCATCTCTTAAACATCCACATAATTATTCCTAAGATGTATTCTGTGAGATCCTCCAGAACGAAAAAGGAAAATTACTCTTAAACTAATAAAATGAGAAAAATAAAATAAATAAACAGGGATTGGAATATACGAACTTTTCGTCTTTTAGCCTCACTAAATTGTTTCACAGTTGTTTCATTAAGTAATGCCACCCACTATTTCTGCTTCCATTGATAAAGCAGATATAGTCTCTCTTCACTCGTTGTGCGTGTCAAGTAGCTCTTAATCAACTTTAGTTTTGAGAAGCTTCTGTCAGCAAGCCCTCATTGAGCACTTTGAATCGACATTTGGTGTTGAGTATGATATTAAAAAAGCTAACTCTTCCAACATATTGTATTGATAATATAACATTTGAAACTTATCCTGTGGTATTTATGTTGATAGCATTTGATGATCTTCTGACCAAATGAAACCACATATGTATGAAATAGTTTTTACTGACGTTTCGGCCATCACGCTGGTCTTTTTCAACGGCAGTAAATAGTATTTATGAATATGTTGTTCAATTTGCTTTTGCTTTTCTTTTTTTATTTAAATTGAGATGGAATTCCATAACTGCTATCTCTACAAACATTGCAGGTTCAGCAAAGCATTTTTTAAATTCTGTGTCACGGAATTTTTGCATCCAGCAACAGAAAGACTAACATATCAATAGCGACTTTCAAGTTCACTTGAACTGATTGCCATAGTTTACTTCTTCTTACATACTAAAATCTCGTACCACACGTGTATTGCCATAATAAACTCAAAAATTAAAATTACGTTCAAGACAGCTTTATAGTCTAATCCAGAATTTCAGGAACATCAGTTTTATTTTTCAGGTCATCCACGAATTCAAATGACATCATCAAATTGTAAAAATATTGCTCTTCCTGCCTACCGTGTTTCAAACTGAGATTTTGTGTCAAATGTAATTTAGTTTTTACAATCTCCCAACACTTGCGTGACTTGGAAGCAGATAAATTTTAATGCTAAAGCTGAAACACTTTCTGACTATTTGTGGTTTCTGGTTGTTTTTGATGTACTCGTATGTTTGGACGCTTTTTTATTCGTTGTTTGAATAACGGAGGAACTAAATCTTGGGTCAAACGAAGGGCAGTCTGCAAAACAAAAAAACTGAAAGTTGCCTGTAGGCAGTAGGTACTCACAAAAACCCTCCTCTTCTGAAAAATGTTATCGTTAATAATGACACAATTTACTAACTGACATTCGCAGTCACTGGGAAAAAACTTCTTATCTGTTATCTCATTAAGTCTTATAAAACAAACAAAAAATATTGATTTTTGCATACATTGATGTTTTCTAGGCGATGTTTTTATACATTGAAGAAGAAAACCTTTGATGCATAAAAACATCGCCTAGAAAACATCAATGTAGGCAGTTTTCTTCTAAAACACTGATGTATTGATAAATTGATGCTTATCTCTACAATGGTTGCATCCTTCAAATTCAAAATTCCTTTAATTAATAAAATTGTGTAGTATAATTACATGTGATCCATTGTAACAGTTGAATAATTATGCGTCAGTACAAACAAATCTGTTACCAGGCACCATATAATGATAACAGAAAATCAAAATACAAAAATGCACTAAATATACATACGCACAGCTTAAGTGTTGAAAAATACAAACTTGCAAATGAAGCTGATCAGTTTTCTGAAAAAAAATAAAACTAACACGACACTGAATGTGAAACAGGTTAAAATTTTGATTTTATAAGGTTCCCATTCCATGAGGATATTCCTAAAAAATAATAAAATTATTCTCTACCCTTATGTGATGCCGTCTTTTATAAAAAAAAAATTATACACGAGAAAGCTGTGCCTTTTTGCGTTGCGATAAGTATGTGTCAAGGCCACAGTACCTTAAGGTCTTTCATAGGCTTTTAATTGTCCTCTGCTTATAAACAAAAATAGGAGACACTCAAAGATATAAGAACCTGGTAGATTGAGAATATTCAGTTCTAAACTTTCCTTAAACAGAAATAATTGACAACTCGGGGGTTCCCCGACGACCGGATTTCAGTTCTTTAACCTAGGATCGCCCGGTGCCAAAAAATAAAATGTTTTTAGAACTTCCTTGCTAGGCCTCCTGAAGCGCGAGACCGACGCACAGTGCTTTAGGTTCTAGAACACCGAAAAGCTGGTATAGAATACAATTTTTATGGTATTTAAATGATTTTCAGTACAAAAGGGATCTTCATAGTTCAACTAGTCAGTACGATTTTATCTGTAAGTACTTCAATGTTTTCAAAAATGATTTATTTCAATTGGGGCAAAGGGCGGAACCTTATTAAAAAACCTCTTTGAACAATAGAAGTGAAGCTAAAAATAATCAGTTTCATTCACGATGTACACGAAAATAACAATGATGGTCAAATGAAAGTTTGTAATCTGTTTATTTTCATCTATATATGTGTGCCCCTATACAACCATCTACCTAATGATATCAAAACTTTAGTTTCTACTACGTCTTTTAAAAAACGTGTGGAAGCATTTGTGGTAGAAAAATGCTATTATTCTGTTAATGACTTTGTATCGATTTTGTAGTAACTTTGTTTCATTGTATTCAATGTATTTTGACGTTTAATATCCGCGAGGCTGACGCGAATAAAAGTTATTATTATTACTATTATTATTATTACATATTATTATTATATCCAATAAATAAAATAAATATTTTCAACACACAACACATCGGATGACACAGAAACTTTCCACCGCTGCCGTTAAAAAGTAGTATCGAATGATACACCAAACATTTCAAGGTAAAATAGTCTGCCATAGTAAAGGCAGTGCAAGCAAAGTTATCATTCCGTCTCAAACTTATTGTTTAAGGTATTAACTTTAAAACGGAAGATAATTTTCATTCATTTCCGATACTTTGTTTTTTATATTTTTGCTAAGGTTTTCGAATAAATAAACCACTGTGCGTCAGCAGTTGTCGGCGCCTAACGCCGTTACTGTATATAGTTGTTAGCATAAGTGATTAGGCATTTTCTGGTGGAATAAATGTTAAATAGTGTTGCTATGTACAGTTATTTTTGAGGTGTTTATTCAATTTTTAGGAACCACATACTCTGTATACTCTGCATTCGGCAACTATTAAGAAAGGCAGTGACGTTCAGGAGCTGTTGAAGAAAATGGAGGCTGAGTGTGTGGAGGAATTAGAAACCGTTATAGAAAACGTAGGCGAAGATTTGTCCGAATTTGATGAATTAATGAAAGATTGTGTCGAGACGGAAGTCAAGTTTTATCGTTAAAGTTTAGGAGTAGGCTTTAACGCTTTAGTACTTTTATATAAAACAAAAACAATAACTTTCAATTTTCCTACTTCAAAGTGGAATTTTTGTGAAGTAGCGAAAGTCGTACGCGTAAACGTTTATTTAGTTTTTATTTAATTGGTTATTTGATGCTGAGTTGAAATATTGAAATTTCCACAGACCAGACGATCGATTTCGTGGCGACTTCATGTCCTAATGTAATGGGGATAAAGGAAAGAAAGACTGAGAGGAAAAATATTCGAGTTAACAGATCTCGTAAGCATTCATTTAATGCTAATGAATTACAAATACAACAGGCATAATAGTCTGCATAATTTTAAGGGAGGCAGTATTTCAACTGCTACCCCAAAAATAAGTTTTGAAGACTCGAAGACTTGAAAAGTTGTGACTGGATTATGGGGACATCTTAGGGCTAAACGCACGCTGAGGAGCGGTGGGGGAGAGCATCGCAAAGAGTGAATTTGAACGAAAGTCTTTCGCTACAAGTGATGGACAATAAATTCATCGAAAAAGAATGGTCTATCTGGAAACACCAATTCCATCTCTACCGAAATGGCACGTGGTTAAACCAAATAATAGTTATATCAAGGGAAGACACATATAAGGTGTTCATTTGGAAACTTCTTACCACGGATTTATCGAAAACCACTGATTAAAAGAAGAAACGCCGAGACATGTCAAAAGATTTGTCAAGAGGGACAACTTTTGAACCAAAAACTACTTCAGCCCCTTTCACCCTCTGCCCCTCAGGGTCATCTCCTTAAAAATTTTAAATGACAACATCTATTTTAACTTTGATTTTTTTAAATCAGTCGATTCGTTTTCGAGAAAATTAGAAAAATCTATTTATCTTAATTTGTTTAGTTAAAAAACAAAAACACACGAAAATATAACTTTTTATTTCAATAAGTGTTCAAAATGTTCCTTTAATTAACTGTGATAAGGGGGACTTTTTTTGGACCCATCTGGCAACGCTGTGCTTTGATGTATCCACCATATGAATACAATCCTAATAGTCTAAGATATCCGGCCGCTTGAATATGCAGGTATCTGTTTTTTGACAAAACCTAATTTTCATGAACGTTAAATAATGGTTGAATATATTAATCTTACATCAGGGTTGCCTGGCCGACTCAATCGACAGGAATTCGTACTATTAACTCAGATACCCGCAGTAGCTGCAGTGCGCCCTGTCAGGTGTCAAGTGTTGGGGTCTTTTTCCCATTCCGCCGGTTCTCCTGGTATATAGGCTCTGTAGACACTTCGTGGAATGTCTTTATAATCCGCCGGTCGGCTCCATTGGCTTTGGGAGTCTTCTGCATTATAGTAGTTAAGCCGATCGCAAAGGTTTGATTATATGCGGTGTAACTAAATGTTCGCGGTTGGCTCTTGGACCACGATTGGTTCACAAATAACAAAAGCGATCTACGAGCGGATCATCTTTGGTTTATCAATTCGCTCATAGATGGCTCGCATGTACCGAAGCGGTGTTGCTAAACTGCCATAAAATTTTTAGAAAATGCTACATTTATACTGAGCTGAATGGCGTTGTTCTTTTCACTGTTTTTGGGGGCTACGCCAAAAAGTCATACGAAATAAGTAAACATATCGTCTTAGGCTAGGCTGTCTAGATAACTGGTACGAGTAACCATGTCAAATACGCTGACGATTAGTTCCTCTTCTGTTATTAAACTAAATCGTGTAATATTCCGAGTATGTCCCTAAAAGTTAAATAGCTGTGTGTAACAACTTACAGCTTTTGAGAATATCTCCTCTCGCGAAAAGTGTGATTTTTAACTTGAATGAAAAATATATTTCGTAGGTTGCAAACAGATGATAAATATCCCCGGTATGAATAATTATCCAAACAAAAGTAAATTTGAACAAGAATGCTTTCACTACAAGTGAATGAATTCACCCTATCTGTCAACATCACATTGATCTTCAAATAAATAAGAACGCCATAACCTGTTTTGTGGAAGCCCTGTTTTTGGATACATCTCTCTCTAATTTGTTCTCCTTGTCCAGCATTCTTCTCTTGATATAACTGCTCTTTGGTTAAACGTAATTTTGTCCCTCTCAGTTTAATTTTATTCAATTTCTTTTTGGTCTATCTCTGATTTACTGTGATTGTTCGTTCCAATTATCCCCATTACTCATTTTTACGTATCTCTCGTATATCTTTGGGACAAGTATACGATTTTTCGTTAAACATTTCGTAAAGACGGCTGTCCGAATTCGATACAATTTTTTTGTACAGCTTAGACTGATGATTACTATTGTTTGGAGTATTTTATGTTCATCGCAGAGATATACCTATATTGTATAAGCAAACAATATGGTCTAGCTTTGATGGGTTGCTTCAGAATGCATGATAGCATAGTGATTGTATCTTTTACTCTATAGAGATTACTCGTATCTTATAGTATTTTATAATGTGATAATTTTATAATGTTTTTGACGGATGTTTATTTATATTTATTTATTTAGATTCTACATATTGTAGAATAGGCTTGTGAACACTTGGAATTATACTGAGATATATTATTTGCACATTCCTTAATAATAATCAGATAATATGAAGCATGAGCATTTGTTTTATTTGTACGAATACTACTTGTAACGAAAACACCGATTTTACTGTTCAAAGTCTAATTTATTATGCTAACACTAATTATCACATCACTTGCAACTAATTTATAACAAATTGATAACCATGTCGACTGGATCATAGCTTGTGACTCATCGGACGCTGTCCGTTGACTGACTGCTTCTGCCATCTGTTCGGTATGTATCTTCAATCGATGATTTCCAGTTGCACGCTCCGCGTCTTCTCGAACGTGATCGGTCTTCGTGGAAGCCGTCTAGATATAGTGGTATATAGGTATATCTCGAACCTCGGCCGGAGCTTAAAGATATCGCCGCAATCTCTGACACGCTTGTTGTAACTCTGATTGCATTCATCCGTCGTTCTCGATGACGCCGCGAACGATGGGGTGCGTTTGTAAATTACTTGGTAATGTAGTACCGTACATAGTAATGGAATGTGGATTAACAGATGAAATTTTACTCTGGAATACTGTGTAACTTTATTTTTGGAACGCCTAAATTATTACAGAGTTATGTAATGACACTTGATGATAGCCGACTAATTTCTAAACACTTTTTTTGCGACCATTGTTATTATTATAAGAGACCCTAGGGATACGAGATAGCAGTTATCATGAAAAGTGTACATTCTGCCATTTTTGAGCAGTTTTTGATAATCAAACAAAATAAACAAACAATGAACCATGAGAATGACAAATGACAGAACTCTTATTCCCAAGGTTTTAAGTTCGAGAAGAAAAGCACACTTTTGAAGTTTCAGAAGGATTACTTTGTTCTATTTCCGAACTCAAGTAACAGGTGTAACAGGTACGTCAGGCAATTACGAACGCTAAAGTTGTTACAGAGTAGTACAAAGTAGACTGTAACAATTTACGAACGCAGCCCTGATGTACAGTCTGCGAAAAGCAATGCCAATTTTGGCACAACAAATAACGCTGAAAATTGCTTTAGGATAAATTAGTTTCTAATTTCCAGGGTTTTTCAAGGGAAGGTTTTATCTTTAATTTAGATATCTGGCAACCTCAAAAATATTGATTTTTTAGCCGAGTTTTTATTGAAGATAACCATTTTTAGTGGTTTTCAGACATTGAATGGCGTATAACTCGAAAGCGGTCAACTTCAGAGAAAAGTTACAGATCTTTCTAGTTCATAATGATCGGAGTGAGAAAAAACTTGTAATTTGTTAATAAAAAATGATTAAACAAATCTTATCTGGGTTACTGACCTGAAACATTTTGATGCATATCAAAGGACACTGAGCAAACCCGATTATGAAGAACAAAATCGAGTTGGTAAGGTTTTCTTATGAATGAGGTTTTGGCTCATCTGATATCCCAGCAAATGTTCAAAAATGATCATTGGATATCCTGGAAAGCGTCAATTGATCAGTAATAAGTAGCTGACAAACAAATTCCTTACATTTTCCTCGAATCCGAAAATCCAAAGCTCGCATGTGTCAGCCTACATTAAATTCATTGATAAACTCAACTGATACAATATGGCAAAGATGCACAGCTCGCACAGGGAAGCCGCCTCTCATATGATAGGAAAAATATTCTGATTCGGATCGGTGCACACTGGATAAAATTTGTTTAAACAATATTTGTTAAATTACATTTTTTCGGTCTGATCATGTAACATATTCTGATTTTTCGGATCATTCTGGATAAGAAAGGTCCTCGGTAACTTTCCTCTAAAGTTGACTCTAAGAACGCCCATTTTCAATGCTCGAAAACACGGTTAAAAACTATTAGTTTTGAGGTTGCCGTATATCTGAAGTAAAGTTAAAACCTTCCCCTACAAGATCCGAAGGGCATTTTGAGATTACTTTATTTTGAAGCGATTTTTAAGCGTGTTTGTTAGGCCTAAATTGGAGAAATTTCTTGTTTTCACAGACTGTACGAAGGTGTCTCACTAGTACACAAAGTTCCAGTTACAATGTCAACAAAATAAATTGACGAGTGAACGAAGCTCAAAGGTCCCACTTTCCATTTCGATGTCACTCTGATGAATTAGGTCTCTTTCAAAGAAAGTAAAATATGTAATTGGACCTCCAAAGAAATTGATGAAAATCCCTTCACGGCCCTTCTGAAAACCGTTATACATTATACTGGAGGTTTCTATGTTCGAAAATTTCTTATTGGTGGCAGTTTGAAATTGAATTCAAAATAGCGGCGGGATATGAATTATTTGTCGATTTTGGATCTTTAGTGTTGTTTTCACCACTTCGATTTTCATTGATCGGTGGTCAAATTCCATATTTTTGGGCCTGGTACTTTTGATATATCAGAATGGTTTTTTAGGATTTGTCGAAAGCATCAGCTAAATCTAACTGAACCTTCTACCACAGAAAACTTCTTAATTGGCAATCTTTTTTGGTCGTTAAATGAAACCACATATGTTTAAATGTTTCAGCACCCTCAATGACTTATTATTATGGTTTCATTCATCGGCCAGAAAAACATGCAGATTACTCCTTCTGAAACATACTCCGGCCAGTGGAAAATATTGCAGTTTTAAGGATATCTAACAGGTATCAAAAGCCTTTTGCAATTAATTTTTCATCATGAAATCATGAACGATGGATTATCGCCAAACTGTTGCTATTCTGTGGATTTAGCCAAGAATCAAATTCAAATCAATTTATTCCATATCTTGTCAACTCGATGGAAAGTCTTCACATGAAGATAGCGCACTGACCTGATGGCAAGAAGAACATTTTAATGATATGAAAACCTAGATGATTTTGCCAAAAATGGATGAATTCACAAACTGTTTGACAAACGTTAAAAGCCGCGGGAAAAAGCCCCAAGAGTAGTAGAACTATGATGCACACTTCCTACCGTTTTCAAGAATTGTCCTCCTGCTGTGATTGACCACGTTATTATAAAACTTTGAGTAACTTTTATCTTACTATTCTGATTTTCGATATCATATTTTGTCTTAAAATGGGATTCGTACGACTAACCGTATTTAAAAGAGCTACTTAATAGTATTTTGTATGTTCGAGCATTTTTGAAAAACTCGCGTCAAGTAGGTTGACTCTACACTTCCCAAGCAACGCCGTCATCAGTTCATAAAAGATTATGTTCAGCACAAGTTAGACCAGATCTAAATTAGATAGCGCCATATACGGCCTTAGAAACTATCCTGGATAGAGGATAGTTGCTTTGATTTCGTTCGTTCTCCCAAAAAAGCACGAAACAGTTGCCTGTGTTTGGCTGTTTTTGGGTGGACGGACGAAAGCAGCATGCTTAATCAAGTTAGACCCTCTAAGAAAAGTAAGGTACAAACATATGTAACAGAGAACTTGAACAGATTTAATCTGTCGAACAGGTCCCTACAGTTAGTCCGTAACATCTTTTCCCTACCTTACCCGTAGAACCATCCATACAGAGCAACTGTCATGCAGGACCTATACGAACACCGGCACGCTGGCCGCTACCGTAGAAGTCGGCACACGCAGCGATGCTTGTCGAAAACATTTTTCTATCGCCTATCGCTCTAAGTTTTAAGGGCAAATGTAGGGGGCAATCTATAATATCTGAAATACATCTATTAGGTGCGTAGACTTAATGGAGTTGGAAGTGTATTAATACTAACATCAAAAAACTGCGATACACCCTACCCCACCCCCCTAAAACCATCACCCCTCAATTTTTTACCCCCGGAAAATCTTTTAAAAGATGATCAGGATCCTCTGAAACGTCAAAAAACGATTCTTATCTTTTTCGTTTTTGGCGTTTTTCACCGTCGCCACTGGACCGATTTTCAAAAACTCCTCTGTATAGTTGTCAGATCGTGTGAAATTTCGTCAAAATCCGACCGGTACTTTCCAATTTATAGACGGGCCAAGGATTAGCGGACAGACAGACAGACCGACGGGAATGAGCGACATGGTTTTTCGTGATGTACATGTCATATAACATCCAAGAAACATAATACCTATGTCATTTTTGAAATTTCTCATGATTACAATACGTCCTCTCCACTAAGCCTGTAAAGTAAAAGATAAATTGAAGGAAATTTTCTGGTAAATTCTAAGTAGAAAATTGTAAACTCTTTACTAAGTAGAGTAAATTCTCAACGCCCTGTATAAAAAATACATTGACATCATGTTGACGTTGAGAAATGCCATCCAAGTTAACCTTTTTCGATGTTCTTTTCATCGCGCCTGTCGGGTCGTGAGCACCGCATCAGCATCCAACATTGCAGAGCAATCATCTCCAATTTGTGCGACAGGTTGAATCGCGTCGCACAATAGGCTCAGATCGGGTGTGTACAGTGGCCGTCCGTGCGGTGCCAGCGAGTGTCCGTGCCCTGATGACAGTACCACACAGAGCAGTACCATCGCCATGGATTTCGAGACGCTCGCCGCAGGTAATAATGGAACCCCATCCAACCAACGCACCCACCAGATTTCAGCCCTATTGAAAAAATAGAACGAGTCGCGCGCACTAGTGAGGTGCAGTGTGTAAGATGTAGTATAATTTCTTGTTTCCGCTACTTGTTGTTCGTCTTGAGACTAGTTCGTATTTTATTGAACTTTTATGTTGTGCGTATTATACAGGATACGTAAAATGAGCTAGTGAAAAGATTGAATAGAGAGGCAGAGGACGATAAGCTTGCATTGAAGCGATTTGTCTTAATAATCCAGTCATATTAGGGGTTTCACCTCGGAATGACAGATAATAAGCTGTAAAGTCGTAGGAACCTTTATTTTGTCATTCTAAAGGTGTTCTCAATAGTCGCAGAAAATCTCGTGTCCGCGTCTTAAGATATGAAAAGCCAAATGTCTCAAAAAAAGTTTTTTTTTGCAAAGATCTGGCTTCCTATAGGTTCGATGCTACTTACAATTGTTATAAATATTGCAGACAATAAAGTTTTCTACAACTTTTCTCTCAAACATTTTTTCATACAGTAAACCGTTTTTTAGATAAAGGACGGATAGCGCGCAGCGCTTTGTTGTTTACTGCATAATGTAAGGTCAATCGTTAGTCCGGATAAATAATACGCCGCATTAAGTATCCTAAATCTTTAAAATATATATTGTTATGCATAATTAGCTTTCTTCTTAATTACTGCATTATATGTTTGGTATATTTTATTAATGAAATCTCGTAGAACCCAAATATAAAATGGACCCTATAATAGTACATATCTAGGGTAATGCTTAGCAAAAAATAACGTTTTATCCCGAACACTTGAAGATCTTGAGACAAATATCATTCATGACGACAATGATCATCAAATTTTCCAGAGACCGGAAGACGATGATGAAGAAAAATTAAGGCTCATGTTCCTATTATTAAGTTTTTTTGTAGAACCTCCCTAACTTTGGTTTTAATCGTAATAAATGTATGAAATATGTCTAAATAAAAATATAATAGAAATGCATTTCCTCGATTTTTTCTGCCCATAACGTACGAGTAATTAGTCTAATTTAGAATATAATTAAATAATGGAAAACATTAAATATAATGTAATGATTAATAAAAATATGCTGATTATGTACAAATATATATTTTTTAATAATTCGTAGATTTGATACGTATTATTTATCGGGGCTAATGGCTGACCTTGTAAATAGCTAAGCGCTGCGCGTACTCCTCCCTCTATTTCAAAAACGGTTAATTATATGGAATAGTGTGATACAAAAATTTGTAGAGAATCTTATTCTCTACAATATTCATAATAAACGCATATAGCATAGAGGATAGATAGATAGAATGCCATCTTTTTTTGCAAAAATCGATTTTTGTACCTCTGACCTTTGGTATCTGAAGACGCAGACACGAGATTTCATGAGACTTTTGAGATAACTTTCAGAATGGCAAAATGAAGATTTCTACAAGTTTACAGCTTATTATCTCCCGTTCCGAGGTTGACCTTCTTTTATGGCTTATTTAATTGAACAATAACTAATTTTAAAGATACAGGAACTTCTTTTTTTCACTAATAATAGGAGCAATCATCACCATTATTGACCTCTGAGAAGTAGCTCTACCTAGGTAAGTAAGGATAACTAAAAACGGATTAGTAAATAATAATACCATCTTAAAATTGTATCCTGCTAACTTCATTATGCCAGTTTGATAACTAAACTTTATATTCACAAATATTTTAAAATTATAGAAATAACCAATATTAGGTATAACTCGACACGTTCTAAACACGTGCCTAAATGACATGGCGCACATCAATAGAATGTGCTAAGAATATAGATATTATAAACCCCTATTAGGGGAGTTCTAAGAACGTGACGCGAATTTGGCATTAGGCGATTTGTCAAAGTGCTATAGCATATCCAATGAAAACATGTTCTAAGAATGTGCTCTCCGTTCTGAGAATAATCTCACCAGGTGATTTGAAGTATTTCCAGAGAGATTTCATACATCCAATCTTTGTGTATTAGACGTCCACGGTGGATAACCAGGACATTCACTGGGTGGACAGATACATCCAATGAATATGTACCTATTTGGATATCCAGATGTTCGCCTATATCCAAGAATCTGAACATTAAAATACTCTTGTTATGTATACTCAGTGACATTAGAAGTGTTACATCCAGAAAAAATAATTTCTTCAACTTGATTTTTTAACAATGAGGTCGTCTCACATCGATAACATTCTCACGAAGTTTCATTGATAAGTAATAAGGAAAAAAAAATTAATAATGTTTTGGGCAACCCCGCAGCCCAATACACTCCTGTATACGTCTAGGCATCGACAAAATGAGATGATCGATGTCTGGTTAGCTGTGGCAGAGTCTGTGGCGGATGATGCAAGTGGATAGTCTCCTCCCCATCATATCCCGCATATGTTCGATGGGATTTAAATCCGGTGAACCGAGTGGCCACAGGAAAATATTGACGGCTGCTTCTTGAAGAAAGAATGTAGTACGACGAGCAATATGGATGCGTGCGGTATCTTGCTGAAAAAGTACGTGTGGACGGCCCTTTAGGTACGGCAGTGAAGCGGTTTGTAGGACATCATCAATATAAAGCGCAGCAGTCCTATTACCTTGAACAAAGAAACGGGGTGATCGACTACCATAGGCAATAGCCCCCCAAACCATTACTCCAACAATTCTGTGAATATCACGCCGTTCTCCACGGTGGCGTCCCACCTTTCTACGACCATCGTGCGTACCTAGAAAGCGGAAGCACTAACCGTGGATGGTATGAAAAAGTCCAAAGGCATGCGGCGATAGAATGTACGCATAATAACAGATCTACCCTCTTCTCCAGACCATTGGTCAGCGATCTGACGCGTAGTAGCAAAACGGTCTCATAGGGCTAGTTGTCTGAAGCTCCAATCTCGCTCTGTGGACAAATTGGCCTTGTTCGTGTTCCTCTACCTTCTTACACACACGCATTACCGTCATTGCAGAACAACTAAGACGACGGTCAATTTCGCGATAGGACAAAACATCTCAATAGGCAATAATTCTACCACTGTCAAAGTCGATAACATGGTGATAATTTGGACGTCTTCGAACTCGAGGCATTTTGTTATGTTTAACAATAGCAAATGAAAGGGCAATAACTAAGGATATCTGTGCTACTCAGCTCTCAGAAACTGCTTTCTTCGCAAAAACTAAGAGATAACATTTCAACAAAGGTAAACAAATAGAGATACACAGCATGCTTTGAATATAGTCATTATATTGCCAAAAAACAAGTTGAAGAAATTATTTTTTCTGGGTGTAACACATCTAATGTCACTGAGAATATTTAATATTCCCAGCGGATATTCAGTGAATGTTGGTGAAGTATCCAGTGGTTCAACACAGAAACATCTACTGGCTTCTTCTGGAGGACCACACCATTGGCCCGGTCCGTCTGTCGGTCTGTTGGATTGTGTGTCAGCCTGGTCGCACGTTTATAACTTAGAAAGCACTGCTAAGGTTTGGATGAAATTTCTACACCAGGTTGTTATTATGCCACGGAAGCAAAAGCCTTGTAGTTTTTGAAAACCGCAATTTTTTGATGTTAGACATATTTCACATATCATAGATTTCTCCGTACATTTGCTCTTACGGTAAGGACACGCTCGTTGCTGCAATCTGAGGGATTTCTTTTCATGAAAAGTCAAAATTGTAAACTAATGGTTCTGACAAAACCTACGTCTTTTTGACACCATTGCACTACATGGAAAATTGTACTAGAGGTTGTTTCGAAGGCGTGGGAAGTGTAGAGTCAATCTATTTGACGCCATTTTTTAATAATCCGTTGCATTTGTAACTAGTGCCCGTCTTTGGTAGATATTCCACCGTTTTCAAAATACTCAGAGGAAGTTGCCAAATTATGGCAATGCTTGAAAAAATAACAAGAAACACTGCCAATTTATATTTCTGATATGCAGTAACAACAGCTGTATACCTAATTCCATTTGCTTTTATGGCATCCAGTCTATAAACTCAGTTCTAGTGGTTTACTAAAATAAGAGCTCCCATTGCTCTCGCTAACTATTGTGCTAGTTAGTAATAACAATGTTTACCCGCCATTACAATTCCTAGGATTACACTGTTTCCTTTTCTTTGTAGGTGCGACTTTTGACTTATTCATTTTAATTTCCCTGGCGTGTTTTAGAGTCATTTTTTTATTAGCACCGACTGCCGTGGGTAGAACGCAAGCTACTAATTTTCGGAGCGCCTCGTTCAAGGTATTTAAAATACCGACGAAAGTGAAAATTATAAAATGTTTTACAATACTTGTCAATAATAGTCTAATAATGAAAATTTTGATTGAATCTCACAAAAAATAGAATTTTTGAGCAAGCTCTATAAACCCATGTTAAAATCATCTTAAATGTTGTGTTATGTAACTTACAATTTTAGTAGGATAAGTTAAATTAAGGAAATTAGACAAAATAATTGAGCCGACTGTGAGGGAGGGAGGAAAGGTACATACTTTCAGGTTTTTGCGTAAGTTTATAACAATGTCTTTATAATTCCTGCTACATTAATAATCTACATTAAATTTACAACAAATCATGTCAGACATATTTACTGAACGATCAATACTTTAGGAGCTACCGGGTACTACCATAGTTAATAAAACTGAGACATCAACTGGAAAGAATACCAATTCAATTGTGCCGCCAAGACGAATCTAAGGACACCTCAAAAGTCAAAATCTATCGAGGCGTTTGGGCCATAGCCCATTAAATATAAAAGTTTAAGTTTAAAAACTCTTTTGAGTTTGGTATAGTCAGTGTCGGTAAATTACAAGCACACAATTAATTCTTATGATACCTGTTGTTGATGAATTGGAAGTACAGCTACGGCAATATTCATTTGCCTACGATCAAAATGATAATTGTTTTGAAGCTGTTCCAAATATAGCTCTGGTTACATTTTTATGTGATGAGTA